ATTGAAGTTGATTAGGTAACGAAAGATTAGCAAGGATATAAAGTATAAAAACGCGTGCCTGTGCGTCAATCAAATCATTTGTTCACATACACAGGCTTGCATGCATATCTGATACAACATCAACAAAAAATTACAGGCATGAAAATTAAAATGTATTAAAACCAAATAAATACACACACACCTACAAACTAGATGCACACACACACATGCTTGACCATCAGATGCATACAAACACATAAAACACACTCACACAAACAACTTACACATAAAACAACTTACACACACACACAAACAACTTACACACACACACAAACAACACTCACATAAGAAAGATGTAAACGTAAACTTTACTTAATCTCGACATCGCACAAACACATAATATATATATATATATGTGTGTGTGTGTGTGTGTGCGTGTGTGCGTGCGTGCGTGTGTGCGTGTACATTTGTATAGGTGCGTGCAGTGCACGTATGTATAGCGAGAAGGTCGTAAGCGGAGATAGTGGTGACATTAGAGAGGACAGAAGAGGAGCATGCATATGATCAGTGTATATCAGATGACCTGGTTCGTCCCTGCGTTGATTAGTTTGACCGCTGGACGGGAAAATGCGACTGGACAGGCTAATTGCAGCATGTGTCTGCAACGTAAGACGACGTTTGTGCGAGAACGCATGCGCGTGCTTTGATACAAAACATAAACAACTGCTTGTTTATAGGAAATACTTTTTATAGTATGTTCTTAAAAATGTCATTAAGTTTGTATCGTTAAAATGTCAACAAAATGAGGTATATAATGATCGAAACACATTTATCCATGTGCAAATAGTTTAATGGGTTTACAATGCTTATAAACAACCAAAACATGTGAATGAATTTGTTGTTTACTTTCAAATAAAAACTGATCATTTATGCTAATTGTATGAATGCATAAATGTGTGCATAATTGAATGCAAACAATCATATACGTATATGCATACATACTTGTATATATCGGTGACAACAAGCGTGTGATTTGTCCGTCAACAAGTGAATGAACGCGTGTTGCGCGCGGTGATGATGCGTGCAAAGGTGCACATTTTTTGTACAACCTCCAATGTGGAAGGTTTTTGAATCTGTGAGGATCTATCATGGAATTAAAATTTCAGGAGCCATTTTGATCAAAATCGAAATTGTTTGATCACACAAACAATTTCTTAGTACAACCAATAAATTAACATTTATGTGAAATGCTGAAGTTTATCTAGTCTCTTAAAATAAAAATTTCTTCGGCCATCGTTTGCGACCATTTCGTTAAAAAATTTACATCTACCGGCAAAATCTCTTGATAATGAAGCCGTTAGTCACAAAAAACTAGACAGCGTTTTTTGTTTTTGAAAATCTTTTAATATTTTTTAAAAATTTAGAATTTTAATAAGGCGTACTTACTAAATTTGTGGTAAATCTTCATAGGAAATTTTTATTTTTGAAATGTTTGAGCAGTAATAATTTCTGATTAGAAAGTATTCAATTGTCATCAATCGACAAATATTATTCATCTTAACACGCCGGTGTAATATGTTGTTGATTCAGAAATTCATAAGCAACTAGCAACGTTCGGTGCTATCATTTGTTTGCAGGTACCTCTACGCATTTAACCAAAACTGGACAGAAAAGATACAACGTCGTACCATCCGACCTGTCAATATCTCAATTAAATAATACGATAAATATGATCCTTGGATGGATCGCAAATTCATTCTCCAGCATTTTCCAAAACAGCAAGTGAGTAAATGAATAACAGACAATGCAAAATAGCATCAACGAACTGAACATTCATTATCTAGAACAAAACGAAGGCATGATTAAAAATAACACTGATGTCAACACGAATTCGAACGTCAACTACACCAAACATATAAATCAAACATGCATTAACAACAACATCAGCAACGCCATCAACAACGTCAATAACAGCAACATTATCAACAACAACATCAACAAAAAACACTTGCTAACATCAATCAACCTTCTTTTTTTAGACTGAGCTTCAGCCAACATCAGTCGTGGTGCCATTTTTTGAGATTTCATTTTTATTTATTTAGGTCAGGTCATGTTTCAAAGTTCAAACAAGAGAGCAGATGGCAATAGAAATGAAAAAAAATGTATACATGTATGTATATATATATATATATATTTGTTTGTATATTTATATATACATATTAATAAACAAATAGATAAGATATATATATATATATATATATATATATATATATATATATATATATATATATATATATAATATAATATAATATAAGCGTATAATAACAATGTCTTTATCCGGATTTCTGCATATATGACCTCATTATTGTACAATGTACATAGCTATATATCAGGTATGATCTAAACTCATGAGTTTTTCATTGAATATTTGTCTTGTTTTTATAAATGGTTAATTAACTGCAAGGTTTTTGTTAATTTTATCTTTCAGATGCCCACCATACCTTGCACCAGATTAACATACAAACAGACACAAACACACACGTGCATACATCGACCTACACGCACATGCACGCACACAGTACAATCCTCTAATAGAACAAAGAATGAAACATAAAAGACATGAATCCGGATGAAAACAGATTTAAACGTACATACAGGACATACACACGCATGACAATTTGTTTAAATTAATAAATGCAAATCACGAGTAAAAATAAATCAATTAAAATAAATAAAAATAACAGCATCGTCATGTATCAATCCAAATCAGTATCCAATGACTCTCCGTAATTAAAGGTAAAACATTCTTAACTAAACTTATACATATATATATATATATATAAGTGTGTGTGTGTATGTGTGTGTGCGTGTGTGTGTCTGACACATAAATATTTACACATACACGCATACACACACACACGTACAACCACATGCACGCATGCATACGTACCTACACACACATACTTTCTTGGAGCAAATAAGAGAAATTTCCATTTTTATTATCGACTACGACGACCATTCTTTTATCCTGCAGGATGTAACTCTTAATGATGGCATGGATTATCACGTGACCGATGCATTGTCCGATGATTGCCTCTCGAACACACGCTCACACGCACACTCATACATACCTAATCCCTTGTTTTAATCGTTAATCTTGCTGTTGGTGTTATTTTAATTCCTTCTCTTTGTTTAGGAATGCTTTAAATGATACTTCATCCATTTGATTTTAATGAATTGTTGTTCGTTACTTGCTATAATAATTAAATTCAAGTCTTATCTTTCAGGCAAATAGCAGTTTTAAAACACAAGAATGCATGCTCACATAACAACAGCAAAGAAACATTTGCACAAATATACAAAGCATGCACCATTACAAACACATACACACACAAACACACAATCAGACATAATCACAAAGATGAACAAGCCTTGGTTCAATACACACAAACATGGTTCTCGTTCTAAATTGGTATATCCGTATTATTTACATAAACTCTGCGTTCACACAACATCAGCACTTGAGCTACACGTTCGTACACCGCTCTGAGAAGCGTTGCATGAGAGCATGTCTGGAGAATAATTATCATTAAAATATTATTTCATAAACTGTTCATCTCTTTGACTACACTGTGAAGGTAAATTTAGACTGGTAAATATTTTTGTGTTATTGTTGGTTAAATAACAAAAATTTAGGTGAAATATTAAACAAACAACAATTTTAAATAAATCATCCAGTCTCCGATGGAGAAGATCGATCGAGACATGAAAATCATGAAACTGGCACGCACGCAACAAGACATGTCGCACGCACGCATTGCGCAATCCAAACGCACCTAACCTTACAACCAACAACGATAACGACAGCAGCAACCACAACAAGCAACAGCAGCAGCAACAACAGCAAAACAACAGCAGAACAACAGAACAACATCAACAAATCCCAACAGGGCACACACAACATCACCACACACTCGTAGGAGGAGCGCGTATTTTAAAAATCTGAATAATGGAGCAGGGATTTAAGCATATCTAGCAAATGGATGAGTAGCATTGGATTGATCAATTAGTTGAACCGACCAGCAGGTCACGTGTTCATGACATTGACGTAATAAGGTCACATCCGCATAAACTATCCTCCCATTCTTAGCTTTTTCTTGCATCAATTTTCATCTACTTCATTTTTCCAAAAAAAAAAAATAAAAAAACAAAAATTGGGTTTTAAACAAATGAAAAATAGCGTTGAGTTAAGAGTAACTGACGGTAATACTGCATGCAAAAAATTGATTATAATTTCGTTCTTAAAAAGATTCCTCAAATATCAAAAGTTTATAATTAAAGGCGAAAAAAAATAATTATCCTTTAGAGAAACCGAATGAAAAATAGGAAGGCCAATTCATGAGGCGCTCCATTCAATTAAACTTGCTTACGACCTCGTAGCGCATTATTAAACAGCTCACGATTTTTTTTCGCACACCGATATGAATTATAATCACCCACTCTACAGGGAAAAAAACTTCACCGTTCGACCCCAACGTCTTTCTGGATTATAACTTGAATTATGCTTACAGATCATGAATTGTGACGAAATATTTGCTATAAAGCCAAAAAAGAGCATGCACAAACACAAGAGCGCTCTCAGGGGATTATTTAGAAACGCGGAAAAGGGTTGGGTCATAATTTAGGAACTTGAATAATACTCGAGTCACAGATGTGTCAGACAAGTGCATGAGACAAACTCTATGGCACATAAAGATGCTTTGCCTCTTGAATACGTAATGGAATGCTCCTAACGATATTGACTTTGATGCGTGCACACTTGTCTCCGTTATGAATATTAATGTCCTCTTCTTGGTTCAATCGTATTCGTTTCTGCTTTTGTCTAAAATAAATAGACGAATGAACGAAGCTTATACATTTTATTTTTTCAATAAATAAATAATCTAATTAATATCCCGATAAATTAATATCTGATATAAAATATTTAAATACAAAAAAAAACCAAAAAACAAATTAATGTGTTAAATATTTTTTTGATTGCCCAACAAATTGTTGATGCTCATTGAATTTTTTGCGGTTGGATGTTGACTACCCAGACCAGAATGATTGCCATTTGTGAAAAAGGAATGGTTTTGATAGTACGTGACGGCAGAGGGTAGATGCGAATAAGTGGAAGCTACATTATCACTAACACTATTGAAGTCGTAGGGATAGTGATGCGTCGATTGAAAAAACGGTTCCGTCTGCATCGACTTGACAGGAAGTGATGCATTCGATTCTGCTCCTAATCCAAGTGGAGGTGGCAAGTCCGTGAAAAGATTGCTAATGCCAAAATGATGAATGGATGGAAGAGCGGATGGCAATCGTTTTGCAGATAACGGAATATGAGATGAGCTCAAAGAAGGTTGCTGCGTCAAATCCGCGATGGATGTCGAATGATTGGGATAAAAATTTAATTTGATGTCGTTAGATTGATGATGTGAACCAGGCAAAGGAGGGATTAGAAAAGAATTTAAATTTGGTTCAGGATTTGGCTGGTAAGTATTGTACGATGGCAGAAAGTCCTCATCATTGGTCAAATAAGTTGGCCGGTCGTGAGATGCTACGTAGAAATTAGGAGGGAAGTTTGACGTATCGTATCCTGATTGGTAATCTAATTTTTGATATTTTGATGATTCGTGTGAAAATTTTGGATATTTTTTTGAAGAAAGCTTGTTTTGAATTGATATAGGGCGCTTTGAGAAAGGTTTGGCAAAATTTAAATTAACAGAATCTGGAGATTTGTACTGAACATTCTTTAAGACTGAACTGGTTAATTTTGACGGTATTGAAGGAGACGATCGAGCGGTTAAGGGGTATGAATCTGAATTCGTAGACAAGTTGAGATAAGGAGTGAAGGTTGTAGGTAAATTATTTGTTAAGTTAAAATGTGATCCGTCCTTTAATTTGTACTGACTGTTTGAGTCAAAATTGGGATATTGATTTTTTGTTGTACTTACTGAAAAATACTGCGAACTCAACGTATTCGATGAAGAGTCATAATATTTTGAAGTAACAGGATATTTAATTGACGTTGTCATTGGATAAAGATTGTTTGTAGAAGAAATTGCTGAGGAAAAATTTCCAGAATCAGAACTTTCCGGAAAATCAAAAAAATTGTTAGCCTTCAAGTATCCTGGATTAGATTCAAATGATGATTGCTTATTGACGAGATACTGATCATTCTTGTTAACATGAAAATTGTCGTTTTGATGCTTGTTCATTTCATTGTATGACAAAGGATAAAACGAAAAAGGTTTGTTCTTGTTAGTCTGGTAGTCAGTTTGATCGTTAAATGGAACGACACTACTAGAACTATCGTATGAAGGAGGAGCAACCAAATTTTTGTTTTGATAGGCAAAGTGGTTGTAGTTGGAAGAATCATTTTTCTTACCAGACGCTGAAAATAATGGTGTATCGAAAGATTTTGTAAAAACAGTATTACTATTATCATTATTAAAATTATTATTTCTGTTATCATTGTTAAAATTGTTATTTATGTTATCATTATTAAAAATATTGTTATTTTCAAGATGAGACTTATTTGCTGATGGAACGTCAACATGAAAATTAACTATTTTCGGCTTCTGAAATTGTTTTGACTGAGCATTACTTACGCTGTTGGCAGAATGTTTGATTGAGTCACCATGAGAAAAGCTGAACTGAACATTCATGTCATTATTAAATTTTCTGATGCAACTATTTTCAATTTTGTGTGAAAAAATGTGAGAATTATTGCTAGAAGGTAGAATATTGAACCTGCAGTGATTTTGGTTTGAATTATATGACACTTTTGCAAAAACAGAATCTAATTCATTTGAAATTTTTTGATTTTCGAAATCTGTCGCTTTGGTGATGTCGCTTGACGAATTTTTTTGGAGATCAGCAAATGGCTCCGACATATTTGTACAAAACGAAAGTTTCTGATTTGAATTTCCAGTTTTCAAAACATTACTTGAGCTATTAACACTGTCATTAGAAACCCTACAAAAATTTTGAAAACTTGTTGACTTGTATGCAAAATTATTTGCAGTACTCCCTGTCTGCTGAAAATCTTTATCATGTAAATAGAAACTGAAATTATTTGAGAACGAATCATCTGCACCGAAGTTGTCATTGTTGTATTTGTTGTACTGCATGTCTGAATGTCTAGCAACCCAATCTTTGGTTGAGTTCAATAGCTGCTTCGATGAGCTGACAGATTTTGTTTCTTTGATGGAAGTAAATATATCATCATCAAATTCAAAGTTCAACACGGATTCATTTAAATAATTTTCAGCGTTCGTAGAAAAAGCAGCGATATCTTCCGTATAATTTTGTAGAATATTCTTATTAGTAGACGTTTTATCACAACTCATTTGAAGATTCGTACTAGAGCTGGTCAGCAGATTTCCAATGTTGTGATAGCTGCTCTTAGATTGAGAAACTGCATTTGATAGGGCATTATCCAAGCTCTGGTTAATAAATTCGTGTTCATTGTTTTCCATGGAGAAACCGACGGAACCTTCCATAACGTTAATAAATGAAGATTCATGAGAAGATGCATCAGGAATGTTTGTGTCGGTTGTGTTGTTAATCACTTCCTTATCATTTGTCACAATTTCTTTATTTGCTGTACTCTTCATTTCATTCATCTTGCACGTTGGATCTTCAATGTTCTTTGCTACAGTCCATATCGGTTTTTTCATTTTACTATTGACTTGTGCGGTTGATTCAAGATCAGATGTTGAAAATGCAGTCGTCATGTTGTTGTTGTCAGCGTCATTCTGGTTAGAAATTGATGAATCAGTGGGTGGAACACTCATTACACCATCATTCTGAGTACTTACATCATTTTGATCATTCACATCATTCTGAGTACTTACATCATTTTGATCGTTTACATCATTTTGAGTGCCCAAGTCGTCAACAGCATTTACATTGTTATGATCATCTACTACACCTTTCACACTTGATCTATTTTGACTCTGCACATCACTTTCATCATTTCTGGTAACATCTATAGTTTCAGGAGCAGCATTATTTCCTGATGATTCACTGCCTTCTTTCACAGACTTCTTAATTTTTGTAAATTTACTGTATTTAAATTTATATTTATTTTGTAAATAATTTGTTCTGCTCAAATGACAGCAATGGAAAACTTTGAATCTTCTTCTGTTTGGAACCTGCTGTTTGTTTCTATAACCACCTTTTTGCTGGTCACTTCTACTTTTGCAATTAACATCTTTTAAAACATCGTTACAACTTGTGCAACCCTGAGATGAAAACATATTAATGGGACAATCATCCTTGCCGACATCACATATGCTTGCATTTGAATGTGGTTGAATTGTATTGATGTTTGCAAATGGTTGAACTGTTAGAAATGGGATGATATTAAAGCCCAGACTGGCATTTGATACTGGTAATATCTGACCAGATGGACAAAGAAGGGCAAACGAGTTGACGGACTGACCACATTGAATGAATGTTGGAGTCATTGATGTGTTAACATTGTTCTTCTTCGATGAGACCAGATCAGTAACTGTACTGGAACTATTTAAGTTATTAACCTTTTTATCATCGTTCCTGAATGTCACAATGCTGGCCAATGATGAACTACTTTCTATTGTAGTAACAGACACCTTCGTTGTGAGACTTGTAGTCAAGAGTGTGCTCGTACTCAGAGAAGGTTGCTTGAAATATCGAGAAATTGTAAAACATTTGGAAGATTTTACACTGCTAATGCTGGCAGTGATATCATTTTTGTTGTTGCAGCTGCTATTTTTGTTGCAGTTGTCATTGCTGCTTTTGTTTTTGCTGCTGCTACCTATGTTGTTGTTGTTGCTGAGCATGGAGGTACTTCCTATGAAGTCACATTGTACCTGACAGGATTTGCTTTCAGTTGATCGCTTGGAAGACCAGTGCTGGGCAATGTTTGCGAGGTTTGGAACATTTATACCTTCACAATAATTTTTTAATTGAGTTGATAATTATAAAATATATTCTACAAATTAATTTTGATCAGTAACAACATACATTGTTTTTCTATTATGTTTTTCAGCTTTCCAATCTCTTTAAAACAACTTTCAAGTTGAGCTTTCAAGTCAACGATTAGTTCACCTGTAAAAATTGCACAAGATAAATTTACATCACATATACTTTTATAAAATGTATGAGCATTGTAACATTACCTTTAGCAATGTCAGCTCCTTCCTTTAACAACTTACTGTTTTCATGTTCCAAATGTTTCATGTATTCTATGGCTTTCAACAAAATTTCATGATGGGTCTGTTAGTTTTCAGTTTATGATAAAATATCTTTAATGATCTTTAATGAATGATAATAAATAGATTTTTAAAAACTTGCCCATTTTTGATTTCTCAATATAGAAGTTGGCAAATATTTTCTGAAGTCATCAATTGCCATTTTCAATTTATCTTTTCTTCTTTTTTCTACACTGTTGTGACTTTGTTTCTTTTCTGATCTAAATTTTTAATGTACATTATAAAAATATTACATTATTATTATTATTACTACTAAAAAATAATAAAATAAAACTATCAATTTACTTTTTAACATTTATATAAATAATTGATTCATCAACACAAAAACAAACAGAGAATAGAGATAAAAAAATTATTTTATTATTAGATTAATTAAAAATTATAATAAATAATTTATTAGATGAGATTAATTAACATTAGTTAGAAGGATTAGTAGGTCATTGTCATTAGATATTTATAATATTTGATAATAATTTAATTAGTGAAAATTTTAAATTTTTTGTTTTTTTCTACTAATTTAATTTAATAATAATTAATAGTTAATTATTCAATATACTTATTAAATTAAATAAAAAAAAACAAAAATTGTTTAATTTTTACTTTTCTACAATATTTAATCCAGTTAACACAGCATGCATAACATTCAACAAATAAAATATTTTTTACTTGTTTTCAATATTTTCAGGCATCTTTAAAATGGATCTTTAAAATAAAAACTTTGATCACAAAATATAATAACAAAAATTAAATAACATTTTTAGTGTTTACTTTTAGTTAAATATGTTAAATGTGCACGGAAGTTAATAAAATTTTCAAAAATTTTGGTATGAATGTCTTCGTGTTTCCCATCTACTTATAATGCATATCTCCGTCACTACTTCAATTATACTAAATAATTAAATGCTCTACTTGTTTATATGTTACCTATTTTTGAAATTTGTTACTTTAAAATGTATTAGTTTTCATAATTACCAGTTTTTCTATTTGTCTGAAATAAACATGCCACAGAATTTTGTCCCAAAAATTGAGCTATAGTTGTGAGCTTAACGGAGGCCATGAAAAATATATGACCTATCAATCATCCGAAAATTAAATATTAATTTGCAATAAAATGTTTATGCATATTTTTAGAATATAGTAATGCGCGATGTCAATGCTTTTTGGCTTCCAGTGAAGTGTAATGAGAAGAGTGGGATGGGACAAGCCCGCGAGTCTTTGTACGCATTTTGATAAAAAATGAAACGACCAAAACAAGGTCGTCAGCCACAAATGAACATCTTAGCAAATTCCACCCCACCGGTCAACGGCAGACAAATTCACAAATGCGGTCCTTCAAAGGCAAAATAGTTTTCAATGCGGCCCTTACAGCAAAAAGTTAGCCCGCCTTAAAGAGATCCCAGCTTATCGCATGCAATGTGTGTGACGCGTGCATTATACAGCTATGTTATTAATTACAATAGTAGCAGTAGTAGTATAAGTAGCAGTGGTAGTAATCAAAACAATAAAAATATAAAAAGTGTCTAGTTGAATGCACAGTCAAAACAATGACATCAAATAAAAATAATTAAAAAAAGAATAATTTTTACTACTACTACAAATTATATAATAAATGAACTTAAACACAAAAAACACCAAAGTATAAAATTTCTATTTCTTATGAACTAGTGTTACGGCTTTTCAACGTTTCACTAGTCGATGCTGAAACATCAAAGGTTTCATTGTTGTTGATTCTCGGAAGACATCGGCATAAATTATTACAGGCAAATTTCTAAATTTGTTCAAAATTTTTTCAATTTTGAAAACGACCTCACACAATCAAGTTATAGTGAGGATAATGTCAAAACAAATTTGTAAACCATATACAAATTTGAATGTGCGAAGCAATGCAACCAAAACTTTTGGAAAACAAAATAACAACAAAAATAAAATAATAACAAAATAACATTTTATAACTGATGTTAATTCATATTTGTGCTTGTTGTTGTTTTCAACTAATGTGATGGTGTACATATTTTCAAGTAATTTTACTGATTCAGTTTATTAAATATCTTCCCTTCCATTTCAAAAAGCAAATTATAGCCATCTTCGAGAGTTGTTTGAAAATTTTCCCGTTACATTGCAAAATCCAATATCGATTTAATGCTGGTCTTTTGTTACACTGCCATTAATTTTTTAAAACAGCCCATTCAAGTGCAGTGCGTCACTAGGCGTTCTTTACAAAATTTCTTGAATCTAAAAAAGATAAATCAGCGTAAAGATTACCATACTCAGAAAACCTCCGTTTTAAATTATTAATCACTTGATCCTTAACTACATGTGAACAATGGCAGGAAATTCATCTTTTACATTGTCATGCGATTGGTTTGCAATTCTTTTTTTCCTTCCAAAAAGTATGCAACTCAATGTCGAGATTTTTTTTATCTGGTTCACTGTTTGCAAATTTTGAAAAATTTGTAGCTGCCTGAAGAAATAAATCGAAATTTTGCTGTTTTAGGTTATAACCACTGACCTCGGATGCTTATTAAAGAACGAACGAGCGAACGAATTATGTAAATATATTAAGATTTCTTCTATAATGATTTTGCTTTTTCAGTTCAATAAAAACTATTATTTAAATTTGTCATGTAATTGAAGGTAATTTCTGCTAAAACGAAAAACGTAATAACTTTTTTGACATTTGGCAGCCACCGGCCCGCCGAGAATTTCTTGGTGTCCTGCGGCCAAGTCCAAGCCAGCTCATCATCGTCGCCATCATCGTCGCCATCATCGCCGTCGTTGTTGTTGATGTTGATGTTTTTTCTAATTTGAATTCTTAATTTGGATGGTCAATTTTTTGTCGCAACTCTGTGCAATGATTAGAATTTTTGAAAACATATTAAATGATTTTTTGTCAGGATGACCAACAAAACGAGATTTTTGCCCAAAGAATATGCAAATTAATAAAATGAAATAATGAAATATGCAAAGTATTATAACGAAATAGTATTATGAAATAATATAATGAAATAATAAAATTTTTTGCCACGTAAATTATGAAATAAAATATGAAATTATATTTTGAATTATCATGTAATGATCAGATTGTGTAATGGGTTAAAGCAGGGATGGGCAAACTACGGCTCGCCAAGCCATTTTATGTGGCCCGCGAGTCCTTGTACACATTTTGAAAAAAAAGAAAATGAAACGACCAAATAAAAAAGCCGTCAAACAATTATTATGACCAATAAAATTTGTTAGCCACAAATAAACATCTTAGCGAATTTCCCCACCGGTCAACGGTCGAAAAATTAACATATGCGGCCCTCCAAGGCAAAATAGTTTTCAATGTGGCCCTCACAGCAAAAGGTTTGCCCACCCCTTGGTTAAAGAGATCTCAGCTTATCACATGCAACGCGTGGCAGCAGCAGTAGTAGCAGCTGCAGTAGCAACAGCAGCAGTAGTAGCATCAACAACAGTTGTAGCGGTTTCTGGGCAGTGGGTAATTTTTGAACGAAACGTTTTAAAAATAGTAATCATAAAACTTTTCAATGTATGCGTGATATATATTTATGACGGGTATCAAATATACATATATCACATGTTGTATGTATGCATGGTTGTCTCTGTTTGAATGTATCTACCACACAGGAATCAGATATTTTTCTATTAACAATAAATGTTTTGGTCTATATTACGGAATGGTTAGAACGCATGATATTATCATTATTATTATAACTATGTAATATCTAGTTGTACACTTACGATCCATTCCTTCATTTATATTCATTCATTCACCTCTTGCATTTGCACAGTCTGTTTTTGTTCATTCAAGAAATTTTTAATCTCAACTTTACGATGGCGAGACACGTTTTGTTTGTAACTTTTATTTTATTAATTGAACAAGTTATTTGTGGAGGTAACAAACTGTTTTATGATACTTTTGTATTTAAATATTTATTTAATCAAAGTATAATACTAAGTGAAATTTATTTTATTTATTAAATTCATTGTCATCTGCTTCAATGAATGAAAATTTTTTAAGCCATCACAAGACTAGGTAAACTATAAAGAATGTTATTGAATCACAGCTAACGATACAAAAGATGTAAAAGTTGTAAGATTTCAGCGTGGAAACAATTTGAAAAGTAATGCACTTGTATTGTAAAATTTCAGAATAAAATGATGTATTACCTATGCTTCAATTTTTAATAAACACTGGTGAAATTGAGCTAGCTGACGGTAGAGGAAAAATATTAACTAAAAAATTCATTGCATTTTTAACCAAACTAAAGCATTTTTTACTTTAATTAAAAAGATAGGCAAAATTAAATTAATGCATATGACTCTTGCGCGGGATGTTTTGAAAATGAAAAAATGTTTTAAAATATTTAGTTTTAGTTTTCATCTACTTGCCTTCATCCAATAGTTAAAACATGAATTTTTCGAAAATAATAAAATGATTTAACAGAGATACTTGGTACCTGTTGGAACTATATTGACGCACAAACAAGCGAGTGCTTCAGTCCTGTTGAAAGCGCAGTCACGAAGAGAGCATGTTGCAGAAGTTCTAGCCTCACCAGAAGAGGCTGGTCTCCGAAAGTTCTCTCAAACACTGAATATGCTTTGTACAAACAAGTTGGATCACGACATGACTGTCAACATTGCGTCGGTAAACAATTTTATCGATTTAACTCTTAACCTGTCAGAGAAACCAAATTCATTCAAAATAATTCCTCGCGCCTCTTTCAGTTTCGTGCAGAAACATACAATGCGGTTTGAATGAGGTGTGCAAAGAAGAAAATGATAAAGCTGTTTGCAAATGCAGTGACTGCGCCGACGCTCCAAGAAATCAAATTTGTAGTTCGGGTTTCAAGACGTTTGACAGCGAGTGTCACAGGATTAGTTATCTTTGCAAGAATCCAGAGGATAATTTTAATTATTTTAATTACAATGGATCCTGTAAAAGTATGTAATTTTTTAAAGAAGTGAATGAAATTAATTTAAATATTGGTAAAAAATAAAGTAAATTTTGAAGGTGACTGCAATATAACTTAAATTTATGTGATAATTTAGCATTTGAATGAGATCATTTTCAACATATCATAACCTGCCAGGTGATTGCTCACAAGTCATCTGTCCAAGCGGGCGTCACTGCGTTTATTTTGAAACTCAGCCCATATGCATCCTGTGCAGCACGTGCAACATCGACTGGGGAATTGACGGACCAGTCTGCGGCACGGACAACCGCACCTACGATAGGGTCTGCACACTGAATAAAGATAGCTGCTTGCGCCACAACGGCAGAGTGAAGCTCGCTTATAATGAACCATGCAGAGGTAGTTGTTTTGTTACCTGGAATGAAAATTAAGTACATTATTTGTTTCAAATATTAAAAATTTACTCAAGTACATCAAGTAACAAAGTTGCATGCCGAAAAAAATTTAATGAAATGTTTTACCAGTTTAGTTTCATGACGGGACGTTCAAATAATGTTGACGTGCGCCAGTGTAGGTAAATTGTTTGTTGATGATATTTAGTCAAGCGACTAAAATATCTTTGTAAGCATTAAACAAAACATATAGCATAACATCTCAAAAATTTATAAAAAATGTCCATTATATAATAGTGTTTAAAACTAAAATTGCTATAAAATGCGAATAGAGCAAATAAACCACTAAGGTCTTTAACTTTTAAAAAAAGCTCCAAAGCCCTCTCCGCATATTCTTGGCAACGCTAATTCTTTATAATATTGTGATTCAATAAAAGAGTTTTATTGATTGATTTGTTTATGTAATTTTTTATACAAATATTCTAACGCGGATGAAAATTAGTTCTGACTAACTTGCACTTTATTCAACAGCATCAGCCTCATGCGACAATGTGAAGTGTAATGATGGACTTAGTTGCTTGGTAAGTCCCGACACCCACATGCCCAGATGTTTCGAATGTTACGACTGCCACACTCCTCGGGTATCTTTTCAAGACGACGGTCCTTTCTGCGCTACCAACGGCAAAACGTACCAGAAATACTGTAGGATGGTCGAAGATGCTTGTCAAACCAAAACTTATATCGGAAAAGTAAAGTCGGGGCGATGTTGACATTAATCTTTCTGAGAAATGTATAAACCAGATTCATATTTTTATGTTTCTCTCAATAACTTTGAATTTAATTTGTTAGCGTTGTTTTTCTGTTAATTTGTTAAATTTTCGAAATACTTTCTATTTTATGGTTGTACGGGATTTCAATTTGCTTTCTATTGCAGTTATGTTATGTTTTATTAATATTTTAATAACGATGAGATGTTACGACAAGTTTTTTTGTAATCATAATGTTAAATATTTTACCATGCATGTAAGTAAGGTTTTATTTTATTAATCTCTTAGATCATCTCTGCCGACTGGCTACATTTGTTATGACTATCTGAACAAATTGAACATTTTTATTCAAATACTTTTATTTCACAACGATGGTAATTGTATATAACACTTACCAATAGCAAAACACAAATGGAGTTGTCTCTCTGGTCTCTGTCCACTCATACAAATAACTATACACACCAATTAACACAGTCGTTTCAACGTCTGAACCAATAAACTTGTTGAAACTGTAGTATATTTCAATAAATGTAACTCATCTGAATGACTTGTTTTTAATATATATATATATATATATATATATATATATATATATATATATATATATATATATATATATATATATATATATATATATATCTGCAACTTGATATGTGATGTCAATGCCACTCCATTTTTAATGGGAGTAATGCGATAAAGCTTTCTATCTAGCTAGCGTGTTCCGAAAATGTACTTAGAATATACGTTGTATTGTACATGGTACACGGTTAAAATTATATAACGATACCAATAATTCCTTTTTCTACACAATTTTTCATCTTAAATACATTTTTCTATTCTAAGTACATGCTGGTAAGTCCAAGCCGCAACGTGATTTCTTCTACGTCGTTTAAAACTTAGATGCACTTTTACCTCAGGTAACACGATAAAAGAATAAAGTGTAGAAAAAAGTGGGAGGTGTTGATTGAGTTGATGGAAAAGTAATAAAAATCAGAAAAGCAGACGAATGAATGATGTTTGTTTTGATTGATTGACTGATGTCTTGATCGTTTAAATTAAAAATGATGTGAATATAGGGCTTTTTTTTGTTTAGAAAGTGTCAGAACCTGAAGCAACCAATCCAAAGGCAATGATGACGATGAACAGCAGCTGCAGCAGCGGTCACACCAGGGAGACGGTGATGGAGGATTCTCTGATAGCCCAACAGATCCAATGCGAGGAAATGATCAGGAGTGAGCAGGAAAGATGGAGGATTGAAAACAGTGATAAGGTGTGGTTTTGGGTTGGTGAGTTAGATTGAAATTCATTTGAAGTTTGTACTCTGTGACTGTGATGCATTTGTTTTTGTTGTTCATCTCTAATTGTCCTATTCTATGACTTTCCAGCGTATTTTAATCACAATTTATTTTTAAATCAGTGATAATAAATGAATAATCTATACAAATTTATTGAATTTCAATAAAAAACGTTTTTTATGGCTGCACTTTTTTGCTCAAAACCATTTTGTATAAGTTTGTTTTATTTTTAATAACCTTTTGAATAATAGAAACAGATTGTTTCAAAAAGCTAATATAGTTGTTAATTTAATCAAATTGTTATATTTTGAAAAATATGAATTTTAAGGTTTTGTAACAAAACATTGACTAAATATTTTAGTTCAATGATTAATTTTTACAGAAATTAGCAGAATCAATTCAACAATTGGAAAGCATTCGGGCCATGCTGAAAAGAAAAGAATATAGAAATAAGAAAAAGCTTGCAACCATGTTCCTCTCATCCAGCGGCAGCAACTGCAACAATAACAATAGCAGCAACAACATTAACGACAGAAGCAACAACAGCAACAATGAGGATGACTTGTTGGCTGAGTTGATGCAGGAGGTTGAATGTTTGAAGCTTGATAGGAAAATTGTTAAGAAAAAGATAAATCAGCTAATGAATAGCAACACTAAATGCAGCAGCGCAGAAGATTACATATTAAAAAAATATTTGAAAAATGAATTAACTTCACTGAATATTGAGCACCAAGCTGAGGAACAGTTACCAAATGTACATATCCAAAAATATTCATACCATGTGCCAAATTCTGAATGTGCAACTCGTCTCCCTAGACAAATCATGCAAAACCAGAAACCCACTACTTTGCTACAGCAGACCAGTCAACAACAACTCATTTGTCAGCAGACTTTCCATGAAATTTTTCCATCTCAACAGCATCACCACCAACAACAACACCAACAAAACCAGCAACAACAACGTCATTACCATCAGCAAACACCAGGGCAGCAACATTGGAAACAACATCAAATCTTACTTGAAGGATCTCAACAACATTCAAACTTGAAACCACCAAGCAGTTCATTAGTGCAAACCAGCAACAACTTTTTATTTCCTGTCAATAATCATGGTAACATTTAGTCATTTGCAGGAACATTTAAAATTAAAAATAACAAACTTTATTTGTTATTCTCTAACTAATAATTGACTTAATTTTCATTTGATTGCAAGGCTTAATTTATTGTCAGAGGCTGATCAACATGTTCTTGGCATTAATGAGGGCAAAAGATCAAACATCCCTGGCGAAAATGGCTTCAGAAATAGTGACATCACTAATAGAAACAACATATCCAACAATGCTAAAGACGACTACATCACCTACATCAACAAAGCCGACGACGGTCCACACAACATTAAGATTAATGACAACCTTAACATGAATGCCAATGCTGACATCATTTTTACAAATCACAATTTTCCAGAAGGTAACGAGAACCTGGGAAGAAGCAGTTCCAATATGATTGAAAATAAAAGCAACAGCATTATTGACAGATCATCAAATATTGCATTTGAGGAAAGAAATAAGAACAATATGGATTTGAAAAACTGCACTTCAAATGATTTGAGTCTACCAATTGAAGAATTATCACCTGAGACCCATGGTAAAAGCCAACAAATGCATGCCGATGGAACAACCTTTCCAGATCATTCCATGTATTTAAAAATCTTTCATTTTAAATCATTGCTGACATCACATTGATTAAAATAGATACATTTAATTCCTTTTTAATACTTTTAATAGTTAAAAACTAGTGATAACAATAATTGGAAATCTGTATCATGATTCTTAGTAAGAATTGTTTTAAAATCACAGAACTTAAATATTTATAAAAAGATTGTTTTGCTCATTTTTTACCAGATTGTCACACAACATATTTGCAGCTATTGATCCGACTTTCGTCAACAACAAAACAGACAACAGCAAATCTATTACTCCATGTGACAACAACGTGAACATCATAAGACGCGGTTTCATTTTCGCTATTTTATTTACATTTTTATGAATTTCTGTTATTTTGTGTGCTGCTGACATGTGACTAGTTATGTGTGCGTGTGTGTGTGTGAAATTAAATATTTTCTTAGCAGGAAAGCTGTTGATGCCCTGTGAGAACTACTGCAGACTGGAGGACATCCAGGTGCGACCAACCACCAAGCAACAACATCCACAACAACAACCACAACAAAACAAGATGGACGGAGCATTTTATTTGGTTCATGGACAGAAGAGATCGAGTGTGCACACAAAGAGAGGTCGTAGCGTTGATGATCGTGTTGTTGTTGCTGATGTTGATCACCGCGTTGATGTTGATTTGTATTCGGGGAACCAAAGACAGTGCAAACAGCAGTGAATGAAGCATTCAAGGGTGTCGTGCGTTGCTGCAATGCATGATTAAGAACTCCACCGATATTTTTGTGCTCTCATTTTTTCAGTTAACACTAGCGGTCGTTAGTCAGTTGTTTGTTAGTTATGAAACCTGTTGATACGCGTTCATTAACGCGATTGTTACGCATTTATTTTTATTTTTTGATATTGCGCACACATACATACGTACATACACACATGCTTACGTACATACATAACATGCATACATACATACACATATTTAGTTTGTCATTTTCAGTAATTATTTTTCATCATTTTGTCATGAGTTGTTTGTTTGTGATTTGATAGTCTAGAAAGTCAACTTGAACTTTCAATTAGAGTATTTCTATATTAATTAATCTATGCATTCTTTTTTTTAATTTCTTCAACCTGCAAGGTTGAAACGATATTCCATCGTTAAACTGAGCGCCGAGTTTGAAAGTTGAGAAGTTTATTTTCGTAATGCTGATATTTATCCGCAGCATGTAAGAAAAGCCTGATTTGGTCGATGATTGAAAATCAAATTTTTGTTTTTCTAAAAGCACATTCCCACCTATTGAGTTCTATTTTGTTTTCACACTGTGAATAAAATCCTTTAAGAAGCATAGCACATAACTTGTCATCTATAAATAAATGATCAAGTAACAATGGAACAAAACCTCGGATAAGTTGAAAGTTTATTTTTTAAATACATTTCCACGTATACAACAACACAACAACACACGTTTAGACGGCATTTTTCCCGAGATCGGGGGTTGCCGTTTGGCTACCTATGATGAAACCGAAATACCCCTCGACTCCATCCACATCTGTCACTCGCCTCAGTATCACGCAACCCCGCTTTCACCCTGTCCTTCTCCACCTGCTCTCTCCATCCCAATCGCGGACGACCCCTTCCTACCACTCCTTCAACCTCGAACTCCAACGCTCGCCTAATCCCGACCCTTTCATCCCTTCTCAACACATGTCCATACCACCGCAATCTCGATCTCCTTATCAATGTCACAATGTCCTCATTCAGTCCCATCATTGACATCAGCTCTGTACTACTCCTCCTATCCTTCACTTTAACCCCACACATCATCCTCACCATAGCTCTTTCAGCCCTCTGCAGTACACTTTCCTCCTCTCTCCTCAACACCCAAGTTTCACCACCATATATCATCGCTGCTCTCACACATGCTTTATATACCCTCCCTCCCATCTTCACTGACCATTTCTTTCCACACAATACCCCACCCAGTTCCCTAAATTTCATCCATCCCACACGAACTCTAGCCGTAACTGCGCTCAAACATCCTCCATCCGCATTCAGCTTATCCCCTAAGTAAACAAAGCTTTCCACTCTTTCAATACCATCACTCAACCCCGTCCTTGCGTCCGTCCTATTAATCACACCATGAACACATTTCTTACATTTCCACGTATGGAGTTAAGAATTAATGTCAATGAGATAAAAATGCATTGATAGTTTACAATTTTTTGATGAGATAAGATTCATTTGACACGAGTTTTTGAAGCTCAATGCATTCAACTAGCCAGTCAGGATGTACAAAAACCAACTTCTCATTATCTTTTTTTGCCTGTTGGAAGTTGAAAAAGTCAGTTACACGCAAAAAGTTATTAATAATATTAAAGTTCATAACTACATCGTGCGCATTTACTATCAGAAGAGGGATGAGGATTTGTGGAATTCAATTTCCGGTCGTCTAAAAAGACAGTAAAAAAAAAGTAAAAAATGAAAAGACAAAAAAAAAAGTTTGATTTGTACTGAAAATGATAAAGAAAATGGCAGTTACCCATAAAAATGACGTCAACAAATTGATAAAATAAATTTCAACCAGTGGAGAAGACGCAGCAGCAAGCACGCCTCCGATTACCTCGTCAAAGTTGTTATCCCACTTTTCGTAAGTTACGACATTTGTGACGCCGTCAGTCATGTACTCTGATACAATCCTGGTTGAAGTCATTTTACAATTTTTTCAAAATATTCTCTGTAAATCATCTCCTAATTCACATAACAAACCAACCAACCATTCATTCGCATTCTTTGTTCATAGATCCATTTAGATAGTATCTAATCATTTTACTCATCCATCTATTCGGTCAGCCATTCAACATTCAATCATCTATTCAATCATCTATTCAATCATTATTACAACCATCTGTAAACCAAACCGCTCATTCAACACCTCATGCTACAAAAAAACATACATACACACACACACAAACAAACAAATAAACATACATACACACAAACAAACAAACATACACACAAACAAACAAACATACCCGTCATATGCTTGAATGTATCTGTTGATACACTTCCTATCGACAGAACTGAAATCCCCATAGAGAAAGAAATTCAATCCACGAAAGAAGGATGGAAGATCTGGAAGACTGCTAATAATCTCCTGCATGTGTTTGCTGGAGTAGTGAGAACGTCGGTGGTGTTCTGCAGTTGATGTGGATGTTGACGGTTCTTGCGTGTCAACTCCACAACAACTTTTTTTGGCTACATCTTTTTTCTTCCGCTGGTATTCATCGAACCTATGGCGAATTTGTGGCCAGGTTGTTGTTGGCGTTATAATTATTACAATTATTAATATTATTGTTATATTATTTTTAATCAGGGCTATCAAAATTATACATACAGACATTGAATGCTTCAAAAATCAAGCAATATTATTAACAGTTAAATATTTAAACAGTTTAAAATAAATATTTCTGGCTGAATTGCTCTGTCAGACATGAATAAACATACAAACGATGATAATAGACTTTCAAATATAAACAAAAACTAGACACAAACCAACCAAACACAAAATGAACACAAACCTCCTGACTTCTTCATCCGTATCACACTCAGAGTCTGTAGGACAATTGAAACACTCATCCTCTACGTCATCCTCTACGTCATCATCTTTAAAATATTCCTGTTTTTTATTTCTTTCAACGTCATCATCATCAGCTGCACCACCACCATCATTTCTGGTACTTCTATGATCACCATCGTTTACGGCAACAGCGGTGATAATTTCATCATCACCAATTTCATCATCCATGTCTTCATCATCACTGCTACCATCATCCTCTTGTAATTTGGGATCTTCATTCTTATTTGGTTTTATTTTTATATCCACTTTATTTGTATCACTATTTTTATTATTAAGATCATTCTCATCAACGCCATCACTGTTATTTTTAAAACTGTTGTCGTTATTGTCATTGGTGTTGTTGTTGGTGCTGTTGTTGTTGTTGATGTTATTGTTGTTGGTGGTGCTATTTTTATTGAAGGATCCATATAACTTCACGCCGGCATCGTTTCTATCGCTTCCATTGTCAACATCATCTGCCCTACCTGATGTAATGGAAGAGTTTCTATTTGCTGTTGTCGTGACTGCACGTTTATTAGAGGCTCGTGGGTTGGTTGACGCGGCGTTCGGGTGTTTATTTTTTGACGACGGGGTGGTCGATACGGTAGCTGCATTAATATTTGCTGATTTTGGTGTAGTTGATGTAGTGGATGAATATTTATTTGATGACTTTGGAGTGGCTGGGGTGAAGGTGGGGGTGACGTCACCATCTTCTTCATCATCGGCGTCTGATTTGGAATTTGCTGGTGAAGGTGCTCTACCAAGGCGATACCTGACATTTTTGGGGTTTTAAGAGGCGTTCAAATAAAATATGATGCTTGTGCCATTAGAGATGTTTCAAATGTAAGTTATATAGGTCTTCAAATTAAACCTTAAAAAATAGCAATAAATAAATGAACAACTGAGAATTTTTTGAAAAATGTTATAGAACATTGAAAATTCTGAAACAAACATCCTCCACGGAAGAAGAACTTCCTCTTTGAAGCAGTCCACGATCCACTCCTTTGATACAATCCTCCCGAAACCTTTTACTTGGTTGTACTTTGGAGTGTTCTCAAATGCACAACTACGCACGTTCAAAAGCGTCCAATATTTATCAATTAATAATATCAATATTAATAACGTACGATCAATTACAACCACGCCGTTCAACGAAATGTAAAAAAAACTATTCCAAGAAACAAAACCAACAAACTGAACTAAAATAAATGGGTGCAGTTTGCATTCATTTGCGCTGTCAGGTTAGGGAAATATTACAACAGTTTTATCATCACTTATAATTTAATGTAATTCAATTTTTTATTATTTACATTTCAACAAAAACACAAAATAGGAGTTTTGAATGCAACGTCATCGGCATAAAGATGCACCAATATTAAAATAGACTGACATGAGGTGTGTGCAGTTTTTGGACCAGTCTGCTTCATACTTGGCCCCCATATCGAGGGCCTTGTCCCTCAGCTGACTTCTCAGGGGGTTCTGAAATCCACTGAGGACAAACCTCACATCATCCATCAGCCTGTGGAATGAAACTTTTGGTTTTGTAGTCCTCCACGAGTTTGTTCTGCTTTTTTTGCATTTAGACTTATCAAAGGTGTTAGTTTTATTACTGGTCTTATTATTATTGATGTTATTACTAGTGAGGTTAATGAAGTTTTTGTTGATGTTAGTAGAATTGCTGTTGAGTTTGTTATTGTTATTGAAATTATTGTTAGTGTTTTCCATCCTTCTATTGCTACTGTCACTTTTATTTTTTTTGTCATTCTTGTCGTTGTTGTTTTTATTGTTGTTGTTGTTATGGTTAAAATTGTTGTTGTTGTTATGGTAAAAGTTGTTGTTGTTGTTGTTAACATTGCTGTTTCTGCCTTTCGACGAGATTTCTTCCCTGTCATCCTGCTTGTCTTTAAAGGGCAAATCATGGTCATCTCGCGTCAAATATTAAAAATTGTTTAAGACTATTATCAACTGACTTGAAATCAAGCCATTCAATGAGAAATTAGTAAAAATAAATCTTAGTACATTTCAAACCATACCACATAAAAAATTAACAGAAATATAACTGGGCTTAAAATACTTTTGAACTTTTTCTTCGGAATATCATAATCACCGCCATCGTCGTCATCATCATCATCATCGTAGTTCATTCCGATGTGTTGGTTGAAGGTTCGTTTCAGTTTTGGATTGTTGTCCTTATCAATTCTTTCAACAGCAGAACCGCTACCTCTACTGCTGCTGCTACCACTTTTACCACAACTACTACTACTATTATCACTACCAATAACACCACCACCACTATTACCTCCAGATGGACTGCCCACCACTTTTCCTAATAACAAGAAAGCAATTACGATTGTGAACATTCTACACATGAAATCAAACACATACATTCATCACATAATATAAGCAAAGTCATTATCAACCAGGGTTCCCACACGCCCCACGGTTGGCAACTTCATTTTCGAGGTGGAGCAGTAAGGCTTCACGGGTTAGGGTGAAAATGGAAATAATTGGTGCAAACGGCATATAATAATAGGAAAACACCATATTCAATCATAAAATTTAAGAAAAATAGATGGTTGATTGATTGATAAAATAATCACAAAATTAGAAATAAAGGTCATCAACTTGTCTTGAACAAACGTGGGGCATAAAATATTTCGTGCCAGGGATTTTACCGCAACAAGGTTTTGAAAGCCCTGTTATAAACGATATCACCACTAATGCATAGTGAAACAATAAACAAATGAACAACACGTTAAATTATATAGACACATTAAGTTAAGAAATTGTTGAACAAAATGATCAACTGAGAGTGAGTAACAAACAGACTGTTACCTGATGTCTGCAGGGTTGTCGAAGCGTTCCGAAGTGTGGCAGCAACTTCAAATCAATGATAAAATAATTTAAAATTTTACTGCATGAATATTTTTTGGTTAGTATGTAATGTTTTTTAGAAATATTTATAATTTAATAAAATATATATCAAATAAATTAATTTTAAACTGATGAAAACTAATACAAAAAGTGCAAATCAATCAATACACAAGATATCCTGTTTTTTCTTTCTTAGATTTTTTTATTCATATTTAAAAATATAAAAAAACTAATTGAACAAAAAGACGAATATGATGAGCAATCCAACCACTCATAGCAGATGATGTTGAAGATGGAGAAGATGCTGCTGTTGCTGATTGCTTGTTCATCTTGCTGCTCTCAAACAATGACCCAACACCGAGACGAGACAAAGATAGTTCTGATTGCGACTTCAACTTGAATGAACCAAGATCAATCTGTCAAATGAAAGAAATGACAATGAATTGAGCAGAAAATTCATGACATTAACAGACCCTCTTCAACATGTTGGTAATTCGTGAATCAATCTACTGCAAATGTAACCTGTACAACTTTAGCACCAATACAATAAATATATTTAAATTTTTATTGGTTGTTTACTTTAAAAACGTTTATTTTGAGCAATAAAAATGTTAACATGTATTTGCATGGGAATGTTTAACATTAGCTACAAAGTCATAATCACCTTGTCTGATGATGATGATGGGGTAGGTTGTGATGATGATGATGACAAGACAATGAAGGATAATCCGTATTGCATCGTCTGGAAAAAACGTTTTTAATGATAATGGATCAAACAAGAACATTATTTTTAGTTACCGGGTGTCATCAAATACATTTTTCAAAAAGAAAAGAAATAAACAAAAAAATAAATAAATAAACAAATGATACATGACAAACTTTGTTGAAGGGCTGCGAGCATACAATCTTAACAAGATCCCACTTTTCGTTGGCTGCCGTCTGACTCAAATGTTCCTTCTTGAACAACCTTACCTTGTTGACATTCTGAACATTTCGACTTTCAAGAGGAGTCATGAATGATGATGCCATTAGTATCACCTTCAATCAAATATTTCATTATAAACCTTAGTGGAAATAATGTAAGTAATGATGGAAAGGCATGAAACCTGGAAGGCATCGATATTTAGTGAGGACCTGCCAACAAGCACCTCCACAAAGGCAGACCCCTCATTTCCAATGTGTATCTGATCAATGACACTTGCCTGACTCAGCTGAGTTGCAGAAAAAAAATGAAAATGATGTGGAACATCAAAACAAATTGAAAGTTAATAAAAAGAAAACTAAGTTAACAGAAAACAGATGAAATCATAATTAAGCACTTCTTCATACGTCTATTCAACACTCCAGACAAATTAAAAGCTAGTTTCGTAAAACTTTATACCAGTTTGACAAAAAAGCAACATACAAATGTGCAAGAACTTTCAACGCTCAAGTACATGCCAGTAAAAACTTTCAAAATATAACAGTTCATTGCTTGTAATAAAAGCTTATTCACACAGTTTGTACGAAAAGTCATCTCCATCAACATCGACACTTCTTGTTGAGACAATGTTTTGGATACTGCCAATACAAAGAGAAGCAGAAAAATAAAACAAGATGGAGAAACTATTTGTGGCCACTTAAAATTTTGTAAAATAAATAAATAAATAAAGAATAAATACATTAAACAAATATAAACAATACAAATACATCTACCAACAACCTGAATGACTATTGTCGCTTTTGTTTCACCAGCAAGACATTTCCATTTTTTAAATTCACCGCACTTTAAAATATTTTCAGCGGGGTAATTCTAGAACAAAGTATTTAAAAAAAGAAATATAATGCATAGAGTCAATGCACTTGGTGATGTATTACATGTCAAGTGTTATATTATATTATAAAATAAAAGAAGAAATTTTTTTTTAGTTACATAATTCCTATTTATTTTCTAAATTTCAAATTTCAAAATTCAAATTCCAATTGTAATATTGTTCATTTTTATATATTTCAATGACAATTTTTCCGTAATAATGGAAGAAAAAGGAGAAGCATCACACTTAAAGGAACAATCTAACAAAAATGAGCTTATCATCATAGAAACTTTATTATATTTAACAATTTTTAAAGTTATTATGTATAATTGAACTTTAAAAGAGAAACAAAATTTTAACAAGATTTTTTAGCAAATAACTCTCCAAACTACTACTTATCATCTTATCTTTTTAGCCTTATCTTTTGAATTTTTAATTAAATAAAATAACCAATGTTTTATTTTATTTTATAATTTCATCATTTTAATGTTTAATCTTTAATTTTTAATATATTTTAATAAAATTAAAATACATAATTTCTATATAATTTATTCGTGCACAATAAGAATACATATTAAAATTAAATTAAAATTATTTATCATTATGATTACATAATAATCTATTTGTTCAGTATTTGAAAAAAATAATAAATATTTAAAAAAATAAATTAATTAAATTAAAAAACAAGCTGACACGTGAACAAGCAGGAACAGAACACACCGACATGGAGAAAAGAACAGAACATTGAGATTAGGCTAAAAAACTGAGGAACTAATTACTAATTAGTAATTACTAATAAATTAAAAATATGAACATGAACTAACCTTATCCTCACTAGAAACAGATATGACTTTTGATAATTTTATATCAGGCATGTCAAGTAAGTATATCAACTACAGAAGAGTTTCTTCAATGATTGATCAGCTGCCGTACAAGTTCGCACAAGTTGCTTAATGTCAATTGATCGATTAAGAAAGACAATCAGCAATTTAGTCCGTTTTTATTTGTTTTGGATACAATGTTTAAAAGTTGATTGCTATCAGAACAAGTCAAATTAATACTTCACGTAGATGCTAATGCAGATTTTTTTTTTTATAATTTTAATTTTTTCAAATAACATACACCAAAAAAATTATTAAAAAATATATAATAAAAACTTTGTAATAAAAGGTTGTGATATAAAACTAAACGTTTTCATTTCGTTAATTGGGAAAACCAAAGTAGCCGATAAAACGTTCAAGTTCACCGAATGGGAGACACGAAACGGAACAATCAGTTCGAGGTTCGCAGATAAAAATTGAACTTTTCAAGATTTCACTAACATCAACTTGATGAGGTTATCAGCCTACTCTATTTTAGTCTATTCTATTTCAACTGTTTCTCTCTTTTCTTATTTTTTACACAGTAACTATAGACCCGGCCGCCGTTTCTGAACGTAAAAATATTAAAGACACGGCGATCGGTTATATAAATTTTTATCCCGCTAAAAATTTGAAAAACGGCAAAAAAAATCAAAATATATTTATTTCATATTTATATTTACTTTAGATATAGGGACAAATTTATTTTTTTAACATAAGTTTTTTAAACTAACGCTTCGTAACCAACTTTTACTACGTAATTTTGTGACGCAATATATAGAATAGAGTATCTTTGGTTATACATTACGTTCTCCATTGTTGCTCCTCTCGTTCCATGTTGAGGTTTTTAAGTGTTTTAGTAATTTAGTAATTTTGACGCAAATTTTCTTGTTACTTTGTTTATTATGTCGCTTGTTGAAGGAGAAGAATTTGTTAGTTTTATAGATTTTAAGAAAAAATTATCTGAATATGAAAAAGAATCATTTGTTAATTATACTGTTGTTGATTCAAGAAGCATGAAAAGAGCATGAAAGAAGCAACCCAATAAAACATTCAGGTGAGCAATTTATGATTACTTCTGATAATTATATTATTTTAATAATTTTGTTAAAAATTGTCATAATTCATAATTAAAGGCCGTAACTGATTGATTTTGTAATTAGCATGCTATTTAATCACAACATATCTTTGTCACCAAATTAGCCTGCTTGTAATTGTATTGTCTGTTACACAATGAAAATCAGTTCGAGTAAAACTGCCATATGCCACGTGTGTGCTTATAATTGTACAAAATCTAATGCTTTTTGTGTAGTGCTGAGTTGTAGTTTTTGGCACAAAGATAATTAGCCAATGTTATATTTTTACCCATATTTTTAAAGATAAAGAAGGTTTTTGGGGTAACATTTTTGAGACTGTGTCATCACCATTGCCTCCATTTCAACAAAGAATTGAAACGGAAAGTGTTGAAGTACTCGAGGATGATCAACATACTCTTTTTGCATTTCAATTATGTTTTTTAATATTACTTTTTGTTTTTGCTAATTGTTGTATCTATGTCTTTTCAGGTGACAATATTGAAACCTTATCTTCACAATTGCTGTCACAGGAAACTGATGCTGACAAAATACCCATGGTAGTCAAAGTATATTTTTTTACATTAAAACTATATGTATCATTATTTTAATTAATGCGCTTGATTCTGCAGATGATGAATATTCTTCTCTTGAGGCCTTGCCACTGCCTTCATAGCAACAAAGATTTGACACTGAAGAACCATGCAGTAGACCTATAGGTATTTTTAACTGTTTTATTGAACTTTTTTATCAACATCCATAACTTAATAATTTCCTAAAATATGATATTCTCCCATGTACTATATTTAAAAGTGTACGAATATTTACTTAAATATGTTATTAAATCAAATAGATGAATTCCTGAAGCGTTGCCAGCCACTTCACAGTCACAAGAACTTGCAACAGAATCATCATCATTGCCATGTTCAGAGCTTCTTTTTCCCCAAGCTTTTAAATCAAGAGGTCGACTAAAAGGAGCAACACTAACCTGCTTAGGCATGCCTTCAAAACTTTGTAAATCCATATCTTTTGCTTTGGAGCCAACAAGAGAAAACCAAAAACTGATGTTACAATGGTTATTTGGTAGTGGACAAGATTATAATATTAGCAATATTCAATCAGTACCAAGTCAGTTCTTAGATGGACAAGTACAAGAATGTCTATATTTATTAAGAGATTTTTTTAGATCTAAATGTTTTGAACGAAATGATTAATAAATGTTCCAATAAAGAATGGATGTGTGGAACCTGTAGCAATGATCTTAGGGATGTTCGAAGTGTTTCCTGTGATTCTTGTCTCAAGTGGTTCCACCGTTCTTGTGCAGGCATCAAAAGGCCTCCAAGTAAAAAAGAATGGTTTTGTAAAACATGCAGGAAATAATAGCTGAACAATATAATAAAACATTTTATGTATGACTGTATATTATTGGATATATACTATGTTGTAGATTAGTGTTGTCGTCGTTATTCCTTTCAATGTTTAATAAATACAATTCGTCTGAAACGTTTTGAAAGTAAAAACTCATCCGGCAATTCAAAGCTGTATTTAAAATTAATCGGATAAGTGACATTTCTAACAATTTATGTATTTTCTTAAATGTGCTATAAAAAAAGGCAATTTAGAAATTATAATTAAAACAAGCAGTACAGATATAATATAATAAATAAGTAATCTGTAAAAAAAGCAACCTGCAATTATAATGCATAGAAAAACATTCAAAATCAATTAGATTCACTAAAAGCGAATATTTATAGAAAACATTCATTTATTTATGATTTATAAAATGCAATTTAATTAGATGATTTTTTGAGCATACCATGTACCTCCACGTAAGGTGAGCGAACTTTATTGAAAAACGGCCGCCGTGACCACAATTTTTTGCGTAAGGAAATGGCCGCCGTGTCTATAAAACTTTTTAACATTTGAAAACGGCCACCGTTTCTATAATTATTTAACATTCGGAAACGGCCGCCGTTTCTATAATTTTTTAACATTCGGAAACGGCCGCCGTTTCTATAATTTTTCAACATTCGGAAACGGCCGCCGTTTCGATAATTTTTCAACATTTGGAAACGGCCGCCGTTTCTATAATTTTTTAACGTTCGGAAACGGCCGCCGTGTCGCTAGGTTCGGCGTATTTTTTATTGTTTAATAATTTTTTTATTTATTTTGATTTTTATTTATTGATTTTAATTTCAATTAGTAACTGCTTAGGTTATAAATTTTTATAATAATACTATGGAATAGAATAAATAAAAAAGATTTTTTATTAGCATTAAATTAACTATTAAGACATTAAGTTTAATTATTAATGAATGCCAAATAGCCTAATTAATACTATTAGGCCCTAATAGTATTAATTAATTAGGCTATTTCGTAGTAGTATTAAACAATTAATTAGTATTAGGCTAATACTAATTAATTGTTTAATACTAATATATATAATATATATATTAAATGAGTATAACTTACTCTTTAAGGCTTTACGCTAAGTTTTACATTAAACTAAAACTAAGTCTAACTAAACTAAAACTAAAAAATTTCAAAAAATTATTCAACTTGAATTTTTTAAATAAATTGTTATAGTTATACAATCAATTTCTTTACTGTATAAAAATTAAATTAACATTTATTCAATCTTTTTTACCTTTTGGAGATATGGTAGATTTTAAAATCTATTTTAATTTATCAATTATACAAAAACTAATTTCTCCAATTAGACAATGAATAAAATCGTTGATTTTGTGAAGAGATACAAAGTAACATTTGTTTGCATACCATCCTTGGTCCTTCTCCATTACGGCTGGTACAGATTACAGTTCAATACTAAGTTTGTGAAAGAATCAGAACGAAATCTTAATCCATTTCCCATGATAAGTGATTATTACAAAAGGAACTTTCCGTCAAATAAATAAAGTTAAAAAAAAAAGCAAAGGACTGTCTGATAAATTTTTTCACATGTCTTTAAAATTATTTCAATGTTTTAATAATAATGTTGTAAACAAAAAGTTAATTTTTTCAAAGTGAGTTTATTTTACCTATCAATATATTAAATTCATTCATGTTGAATTTTATCGGTAACCTAATAGTCAATTAAGTTATTTAGTCTGCTATCTCTTATCCTAAGCTAAGGCACCGTTTATGCAAGCATGATTCATATGTTAATATTTTTATAAATCAATTGGATTATCTTTCAATTCTTTCTTAATTTTTGATGTTTGTGATGATTTTTAAAATCTGGCAAAAAACTTTTACTTTAGTTTTTATTCAAGACAAATTAGGAACCATTATGAAATTTTGGGAATTTCTGAAGATGCTAGTGCTAAAGATATAAAAGATGCCTTCTTAAAGCTTTCCAAACAAGTAATTTGCTATACTTCAAACCTTTAACCTTAACTATGTCTTAACTTTTGATATAAATTACCAAAAAATTTTCAATTTTTACTTAGCATCACCCAGACATTAACAAGAAATTAATATCACATAATAAGTTTGTTGAAATAAATGAAGCATATTCTGTGCTGAGTAAACCATTGAAACGAAGGAAATATGATTTAATGTTGAAATCTCATTATAATCACCACAGAAATCCAAATTCGTCTTCCATCAATCAGCATTATCAGTTGGTGGGCTTTGTTATTTTTTACGAAGCAACATTTTGTATTTATTTTTAATGAAACCAGTCATTGCTGCATGATTTCAGCTGGTGTCGGGGATAGAGCATCAAAAGCAGGGATCCGTCTTTGTAAGGCTTGCAGTAGCTTTTATAAACAGGTCACAACCTACTTATTTTGAACATATGAAACACGACCCTTAATGTAACGATACAAGATATGTTGGATTAAGGCTGGAGCGTATGCATCTAACACCTAGGATGGGTCTTCAGTTTCGCCGGGTAAGAGAACTCGGAATGGAGTGGGAATTATTACCCTATGAATGCTTCTGAAGTGTGAGCAAGTGCAATACTGTTTAATGGAAATTTAGACTGAGTTTCTGTCCCAATATTCCTCTTTTAATGAAGTATTGATGTATTGGTACTGCTTGACCAATTGTTTCAAGTCATTCTAAGTTTTTTCAAAGAGTTATGATTGCCGTATTTATCATGGACACCGTAGTTTAACAGTATATCTGATTTAAAGATATGCTATGATGATGATGATTGTAATGACGATGATAATAATGACAATGGTGGTTACGATGATGATGATAAAAAATACAATTTGATTTCCAGTTCAACATACTGGCATCCAAAACATGGAACCAGATCTTCAGAATTCAATGAACAATCTGAGAATTTCTCTTCAACCATTCAAGACATTAAAAAGCAATCGAACGCAAGAATAATTGCCGTCTGCTTGTTAATAATAGCGTTTGGTTATTTACACTTCATCTTTCTATATAAGTGCGTTTATGCTTGTTTTCCCAATTTATTGTTTATATATATATATATATTGTTTCAAAATATTTCAGCTATTCAAAATATAAGCTGAAAAAACATTTTGATAATGTGGATGCAAAAAACATTAAGCTGTATGAAGAAATTGTAAAAAATGCTAAAGATCGAAGGTACAGAATTATCTTTGTAATTTATTTGTTAATTGAAATTTTGTTTATTTTACATTTCATTTCAGCAATATATCAAGTGATGTTGATACATTCACATCCCGTGGTTCCTAAGCATTTCATTTTCATCTTAATGAAATCAATAAATTGTACGTTTACTAATTCTCTGTTGTAATTTCATCGAACTTAGCGCACTTTTTTAATAAATTTATTGAGTGAGTTTGATTTTGAACCGTGAATTAAAAAATTGATGTCAAAACATTCAGAATTAGAATATAAGACATTATTATTGTAACTCATTTTACTATTGTCTTCCTGATTCTACACTCTATCCTGTAAGAAAAGAAAGCTTTTAACTCTACTACTCGTCTAGTTGCTCGTGTCCCTATATTTTCTCATATCCTTTTTTTTACACTGACTACATATAGAACGTAGAATAATTTTTAAAATTTGCATATCGATGTACAAGTCTCAATTTAAATTATTTCCTGATAACTTATCAGATATATTAATTAAACCTTTACGATCGTTTTCTTGTTGTCAGTTCTTCTTAACTTCTGATTCCTGTTAAACACTCTTACTCTAGATCTGCGTATGCTCTTATGGCCCTTGATCTCTAGAACATTTTATCACCTCTAACTACTTTTCCATCACTTACAAAGTTTTGATCCGATCTCAAGACCCGTCGGTTTATAAAATTCTTTGAGGATCGCTGTTGCACATCGCGGAAATGGCGCTTTAGAAACTTATTGATTGATTGAATGACTGTTAGCAAATCAAGTGATTTTTTCACATTTCGTAGAAAGCGAAAGTGACAAGAATATTTTTTGGTGAACCGTTTAATATACAGATCTATTGATAGATTACTATCAAGGATGACTCCATGGCTTCGAGCAGACCTAAAGAAATTTATGGAATGTATATACGATATGTGCGTGTGTTTGTGCATATACGCCGATTTCGCTTTCAAATTTGGATTTTTGATTGACTTTAGTCAAAAAAAAAAACGTTTAAACGCTATCACCCATATCATCATTATCAGCTAGATTAAATATTTATAAGACTGTCGGAGTCGGATGAAAAATATCCGACTCCGGCATCTCAAAAATTCCAGCTCCGGCCTCTCAAAAAAATCCTGTTTTTGTTTCCTACTCCCGAAAAATTTTTAAACTTTTGCATCACAATTTCACATTATCACTACTAAATACAAATATTTTCAAAAACACTTAAAATTTGTCAATGTAATTGTTTTTCATATTAAAATTACTTTTTTTATGTTTTAAAACGTATCTACTGAAAAAAAATTATGTGATTTTAGTTACATTAATAGCATTTATTTTAGTATTATTAATAATTGCATCTCGCTACTTATATTTATCTTCTAAAAAAATCGATCTTAAAAAAATTTCATAAAGAAATAACTATGACATTTTCCGGTATCGGATAAAAAAATCCGACTCCGACACGGCCTCTCAAAAAACCCCGACTCCGACAAAATCTCTGACATTTCTTTATTATACTTCTTCGCTTTTTGCTCTTTGCACTGGTTTGTATCGATTCATTTTCGCTCGCTTGACGAAGAATGTCATTTACAAGATTTGGTGCGGTTTTAAGGTCTTTGAGACCCGTCGTCAGAAACAATGGCTAGTGTGGAACATTTATTTTGTTTTTTTTTGTTTTATTATTCTAAATATTTTAAGGTCATTAATTTTAACCTAATTAATTATTTCGAGGTCATTAATATTATTAATTAAAATTAAATTATTTAATAATCAGGTTGGTTAATCTTAAATTCTTAATATTAAAAATTAAGTTAATTTACTTGCCAAATGGAAAGAATCACTTGATTTCAGAACATTTATTTATTCGTCTGATTGCTCATTTGATTAAAATAAATTTAATATTAATTAAATTATTTTATAATTTGGTGAGCAAATTGCTGATAATGGATTTTTATATTTTATGCTTTTTTTCCATTTGTCTCACAATCAACCAATGGTAAAATCAATGTTTTAAGTTTTAATAATTAAAGTCCAAATCAAATGGCATCTGCACCTACCTACTTTTTGGTTTTTTCAAGTTTTAAATTGGGTGAATCCATCATGTTTGTAGTTTAAACAATTTTTAAAGTGTTTGAAAACATCCAAAATAATTAAATATGAAAGTTATATGATTGTAATCTCTTTTTGTTATAACATAGTTCGTCAGAGTTCAGGCCATGGCAGTGATATGTCAGCTGTGTTGAAGGAACACAAAGGAACTTTTAATGACCTTCCTGTTCCTGCTGGGTCTTGGCAAGAAAATTACAATAAAAGGAATGCAAAGTTTAATATGCAGCTTGGAGTTTCATTTGTAATTTTTGCAGCCACCTGCATTTTTGTAAGTCTTGTTGTAAATTGTAATCAACATCTTTTCTGTTTATTAAGCTTAAAGACATTTAAAATTATATCAGTTACTATCACTATTGTCACATCTTAATTTAGCTTTATGTTTAATTAATTTGCAGGTGATCCAGTCCAATGTGTTTTATCTTCACTCAATAGGAGATGTTAAGAAGATAAAAATAAACCCTTAAATTTCATATTGGGCATATTCAGACAAACAATTTTGAAAGTTTCATTTCAAAAAATATTAATACAATAACTCTCAATTCAATGTTGTTGATCTATGATTTATTTTACATACGAATGATATATTAAAAATTATTTCAATAATTAAAATCATGTTAAACTAAAACAAATATAAAACATTTAATAGTGGAATGAATGATACACAAATGACTGTTAAATCTTTATTAAGAAAATTTAATAATTATCTGAGTTTGATGATGAAAGCCTCATCTGATAGATTCTTTGCTGCACATAAACCAAAGGACCACCACCATATAAATCACTGAGAAAGTTGTAAGTATCTTCACCCATCTGCCCATAATCAGAGTTTTGTAGTAACACTGGACTCGAAGAATTTGACCTCATTGTGCAAATATGAGAGTTTTCAATTTTTTTTGGTGGGATGTCACTGATTCCTCTTACAAAGTTCTCCCATTCTCTGAACCATGTCATGCTTATCGCAACAACTGCACTGTTTCCTGGTTCGTTTTCTTTAAAAGCTCTGTTCAGTTGCAGAAACATGTTGAGTTCGTACTCTCTGCGCTTTTTAAGAGATTCAATCTCCACTTTGCAAGTATCACAAGTCAACAAATGGTTGACAGAAGGTCCCCCTCCAAATGTTGAATGGAAAAATTCCCACATTCTTGGTGGTAACTCTATGACTAAATCCATTATATCTGAAGAATATTGAGGTTTGACTGCTCCATGCCTACACAAGAAATCGTAGTTGTTTATTGGACCAGGCTCTGAAAATGTCTTAAACTTTGACAGCCACTTGCGTGATATATAAAATTTCATCAAACCATTGTTGTTAATTTTCATGACAGATTGAACTTTCTCCCTTAATATATTTATTTCATCATCCAGTTTTTGATAAAATAATACATAAGCTTGTGAGCGCTCAACCTGTTGTATGTCAACTTCTGTAACAGTTTGATCATCATATTCATACCACGTGTTGTTAATTGTGTTTAAACCATAAGCTGTATAATGTCCACCGTTAGCAGTTCCATGATGGCATATGACAGCTATCAAACAATAAGAGGTCACGGAGTCTTTACAATCCTTGTGCAAATATGGCTGCATATCTAGCCTCTCAACAGGAAACACAACAGCACTACTTATTTTACTAGCTGAGGAAGATGAAAACGTGTAGTCATGTCGAAACCTCTTCAAATGAATGCATAAAATCTCTGGAAGTTTCATAACCTTTGAATATTTCAGACCATTTCTTAGCTTTTTGCATTTCTCGCAACTGTACATGTTGTCACCTTTGAGATCATCAGCAGAAAAAAATGCTGCCAAGCAGTCTTGTAGATGTATTGAAGGTCCCCATATCATTCCTCGAAATAAATTATAAAACCACGACATCCAACCAGGCCTCTTAGCTAGCAGGTCATCAGATGAACCATGGGAACTCAAAACAATTCCATTTGAAGACCTGATAACAGGTATTTGATCTGAACTTGGAATTGGCAGTGATAGGTCCTGGAAAACTTCTTTGGTGGTTGAAATGTTTTCACATGTCATACATTGAACTGAACTTAAAATATGTCCATCGAATATATCAGATATAATACTAGAATATTCTGGTGTTTGATGTAATTTGTTCATTTCATTTGATTCTCTGATGTTATCAAACATATCCGCTCTTAAACTTGTTTGTGATCTTGTTCTAGGTGGTATGTCTTTTGAATAATTTTCCATTTCACCAGCAACTGATGATGATATTGAATGATCATCACCAATGATTAACGTGATTCCAGAAGTGTTTCCACATACGTTCTCGTCAACATGCTCAAAATTTTCATCTGAATTAATTTGTGTGTTGTCACTATCATGACTTTCTTCATCAACATTGTCTCTTGAGGTAAATTCTTTTTGAGTGAAGCCAGAACTGCTACTGTTGCAACTAACAGCAACAGAAGCCTGGTCATTAGCCAGAACAGATTCACATGTATCATAACCAAGGTCAGATGTAAGACTTTTTGATACACTGTATTTAGATGTAGATGAATTTTCACTTTGACTGTCATATTCCACTGGTGTAATGATAATTTCTTTCAGCTCCTCATGTAAGTTATCCATCAAATATCTTAGAAACTCTTGTGAATCATGTTGAGAAAATCCCCTGAACATGGGATGTAGTTGCTTGATGCAACTGAACAAACCTGTTGGACTCAATTGCCTAGGTCTGTTTTTATGCCAAATCTCTGCCATTAACCTCATAAAAATTTTAGATATATTAGGCCTTTTTGCCAAATTTACATAACCAGGGCAGTCCAGAAAAAATTGTGTGAGAGGTGGACAGTTGGATAGTGACTGTATAGCAGCATTCATGTAGCAAGTGTTGCCCAAGTTAATAAGACCAACCAGACCACGAGGTTGTGCCATCTTATCTTCAATGTATGAATCATCAGAATCATCACAAAAGAACATGTTCAGCTCCTGGTATGAACTACCATTGTCAGTTGCTGCAGCTGCAGGTCCGTGAGAAACACTGCTGTGATTGAAATTCATTCATATAATAAAATGAAGTCAATAAATATTTCATTAAAATTAATATTAAAATTATATTATTGTCATCTACTTGTTTCCATTCTTAGGGAGTAATGTTATCAAACAGATTAGCAAAATTATATCAAACTATTAACAAAACCAAACTTAGAAAAACAAATAACTAACTGTTGAGAATATTGGCTGAACATTTTCAAGTGTACTTCCATTTCACAGACATTGCACCACAACCTTTTAGTTGAAAGATTAATGATCAGTGGATGTTTACTAAGCTGTGAATGTTGCAAACTATGGTCCTTCACCGATTCTCCACAACCTATGTAGTTACACATAGGTTGCAAGCACAGCCATAAATTAGGATTGGGAGCCAAACATGATGAGCAATGGGGATTTTTGAATTGATTTAGTTCATCAAGTGAGAAATTTTTCAACAAATCCAAGTGCGAACAAGTCTCCATAACTGTAAAATTTAAAAATTTATTAAACATTAATTTGAAAAAATACTACATATAATAAATTAAAAGCTTTTTAAATAACATCTGATATTTATTTTAATTTAGTTAGATTTAATAATAATTAGTTAATATTTAATAAATAGTTTAATTTTTTTTATATTATTAAAATTATTTGAAATAATTATATTTAAATTTAATAATAATATTCACAATATTTAACTTTAATTAAAAAATCAATATCATTTTGATTTTATGATTTTCATTTTATTTATCAATGTTTGTAATTGTAATAATGTAATGTAATGTAATGTAATTTCATAATTTGTAAATTACTTACAAATTTTGTATGTAATTTAATTTGTAATAAAAATAAATAATAAAATATTGAATTAAAAATAATTAGACAAATAAAATTCTAATAAATAAAAATCTACAAAACTCACGGAACAACAACGACAGTCAGGATAAATTAAAAGTTTGGTTTATACAAAATAAATAAAATTCCTCCAACATCGATTACCAGGGATGGCCTATTTATACAAAATGACTGTAATAGTTTATCAGCGGTTAAAAACAGTTTTGGGGTGGTTTTTCAATCACTTAAACTTAGAATATACGTAATGATACATAATATAAATACATGCTTAGTATACATTAACAATGCCAATAAAAACACAAACGCAAATACCTTATAATACTTATATTTAATGACTTATAGATATAAGCTATTACATATAGCTAATATCTATATAAGAATAAATATCATATAAATATAAGCTATTACATAACATATACATTTATTAGGCTCAACGATTTTCCGTTAAAATTAGCTTTCATTCTTTACAAATATTTGAGTAAGGAAGACCAGGTTCACAACGCTTCGGTAAACTGTTCCAAACCGTCAGTCCAGCAAAAGCAAAATGTCAGTTCATTTGATATTCCATCAAACGGGGCATTTGAGTAGCTGCGTTTTGATCGTAAGAACCTAGAACGCGAGGCGTGTACCAGGATCATATATGTCCGTGACCAGGACAGCAAAATATAACTTTTGAATGACTTACTGGCAATTTTTTAATTCGGGTAGCAATTTCTGTGAGACATACTGTTGTTGTTGCTAACCGAAGCTTTGGATACATTCTAAGTACTGGTTTTGTCTCATAATTTTTAAAATTAAAATTCCAATTAAGCGTTATGGCATTTAATTGTTGGCGACTTCCGCATATTGTTGCTCGCTCTTGTTGATTCCAAGATATGAGATTGATTTTTAATTTTAAATGAGTCGTTGATGCGAATTAAAATCCACATTTATTTAAAAAAAAAATCCTCTCACTTACATTAATAATTTATTACGGCCAGTCCGGTCACAATTTGTTTGGCTTATCACAGCTACGGTGAATTTTTAAAAATTCAATTAATCTGGTTGTTTTTGTGGTTGATGGTGATCGTGATCATGATTGGATCAACTACCTGTGTGTTTTTCGTTGACCAGTACAACGAACGTTTACGTGGCCACCCGTTTTTATATTTTAACAATAATTATATTGACGTATTTTTGAATTAAATTAATTTCAACAGATGCTTGTTATAGTGCGATTGTTATTGCCTATCTTGGTGCTGCAGCTCTCACATGGGTTCTATGTACCTGGAGTGGCACCAAGAGATTTTAGTGATGGCGAGTCTCTCGACATCAAGGTGATATTTCTTGAACATTTCCCTCCCAAACAACCCTTGAATCCGTTTTAGAGTTTTTTTCCTTTCCAACTTGATCAATTTTCTAAAATCTCAATACAAATATATTTTAAAATAAAACTATTGATTATTTATTAATTATATGATTTTTATTATGGAAATAATTTATTTAATTTGCTATGTATGTGGACAAGTACTAGAATCAATAGGTGAAACAACTTTGTTGTGTATGCTATGTTTTGGAATACTGTAGAAGGATAGTAATATGAAATATGTGCTAATAAAATACATTGTTAAAAGATTTAGAAGCTATGTTTTAAATTATTTTACAACTGTTGTATCCATAGTTGAAATTAAGACCAGACTAATCATTACTCATTATGAACATATTATTTTTTTTGTTAACAAATGTTTAATAGATTTTTTAATTTAAAAATTTTCAGGCTGTTAAACTAACCAGTGTCAAAGCTCAACTGCCTTATGATTATTATTCACTCCCATTTTGTAAACCTGATAAAATTGAATACAAGCCTGAAAATTTAGGTTGTTTTTTTTAATTAAAATGTTACTTAATGTTATTAATTTTAATTTGGTTATATCAGTTACAAAAATTATTATGTGTAATGGTTTATGAAAGCCAAAGGGTTTTATTTAGGTTATATCTTTTTTTAATGGCATTAATAACTTGAAACTTTCAAATATTGTACAAACTAGTGGCACTACAAATTGTAATTCATTTTTGCTTTTTAAACCTACAATTCATATAAAAATGGTTCTTTTTAATATTTTGTTACATGATCACAAATTTTGATTCATTCACTATCAGGTGAAGTTTTGAGAGGTGATAGAATTGTGAACACAGACTACAAGGTGCGTACAATGGAATGCTTCTTAATTTGACATCAATCATGATGTCTTTAAAATTCTTTCATTATTCCTGAGGTCTATTAAACAATTGAAGTTTAAACTAATGAGTTTTACGATTTTTATAAAAATATTTTTAAAAATATGTGATTCTAGAACTCATAGTTAATTTAATTTTATTAACTGATGATAGCAATTTCATTAAATGTTTAAATGTTTTGACATCATTATGTGATCTTGATGACACAGGTCCAAATGAACAGGCCAGTTGAATGTCAAGTCATGTGTGTTGCCAACCTGACATCTGATGAAACCAAGATGCTGAACAAGTTTATTAGACAGGCTTACACTGTTCACTTGTTAGCCAGCTTCAGCTTACCATTCCTTCATTGCTTTTCATTATATTATTTTATTAAATCTATATTTTACTTTATGTTTTTCATTTATGTAGCATAGTTTCTGTAGCAGCTTGCTATGATGAGCTGTTTTTATTGATTACATGCAAATTTTGTAGAAATATAAACATTCATAAATCTATTGCAACTTAATATTCCTTCATTAAATAATAAAACTGGGAACATATTGTTTAAATTTGAATTGAAAGGTGATGGATGAGTTGAATGCACAATTTTGAACATTTGAACATTCAGACTCACTGACAACTTGCCATGTTCAACACCCATCAAGTCAACAAAATCTGAGGAAGAGCAGTATGAACATGGCTACAGATTGGGAATTGTTAAAGATGACAAGGTTTATCATTCATTATCATCATTGTTATCATTCATTGTCATCATTGTTATCATTCATTGTCATCATTGTTATCATTCATTATCATCATTGTTATCATTCATTGTCATCATTGTTATCATTCATTATCATCATTGTTATCATTCATTATCATCATTGTTATCATTCATTGTCATCATTGTTATCATTCATTGTCATCATTGTTATCATTCATTATCATCATTGTTATCATTCATTACCATCATAGATGTCATTCATTATCATCATTTTTATCATTTGAGATATTGCAAAACTTGTTCATGTTTTGTAATTATTGAAACAAATAAAATTAATGAATTAAAATAATGGGCAGGTTTACTTGCACAACCACATCAAAATGATGTTGGATTATCATTTAGAGGATGGGTTGGTTGACAATTCATATGTTTCATTATTGTATTGCTTGTTAGGCACTTAATATATGCACTTATATTCTTAAAAAATAATAAAAAAAATTATTTTCAAATATAGTTGTTAAGTTTGTGTTCAATAGAATTATATATCATATTTGCAATGTAGGTCTGATGCTCAGATATACAGAGTTGTTGGTTTCAAAGTAGAGTCAATCAGGTTTGTACTTATTTAATTTTTTTATCTTAATTTTGTTTGTGGAAGTTCACAAATAGATTGGTATGTCAGTCTCAATATATTATTACATTTTCATTTTTAAAATTCTGCCTCCGTATTTTATAAGGCTGTCTAAGTCACTTGTAATGTTTATGCTAAATCATTCAAACTGATCTTATTCAGCATAACTTTATTGTCTAAGATATATTGATGTCTTTATTCTTGTTTTTTTTTCTATTTTAAATAATATTTGATTTTTCCCAGTCAAGCATGGAAAGATTTGAAAAGTGCTAGCTGCAAAGATTCCACTGCAAAAGCTGGTGACCTTTTGGAAATACCGGCCGAAGGTTTGCTAAAAGTTTCTCATTCCTCAGCTTAGATACATATAAATATTTATTTTTGTCTCTTTTTAACATGGAAAATTTTGACATTATTTCATATAGGCATGGATTTAATTGAATGTCATGTATATCTCTGAACTTAAATTCTTTATCAGTCACATGCATTATCTTTCGCCGTTTTTATTGACACAGGGGCAATGAAAATTCCATTTACTTACAAAGTTGAGTGGAAGAGCAGTCCAGTTAAATGGGCTTCCAGGTATATTTGTGTAGTTACTTTTTCAAAAGAGAACATTTTTATTTTTGTTTTGCATGTGTATATGCTTACCTTTAAGCAAGGACCATAGAGTTGTAGAAGTAGTTGAAATTATGGAGTTGAGGCAATCTTGACACATAGAAAGGCGAAGATGAAGAAAGTTACAAAATTATCCTGCTTTTATATCCATTTATTTAATCTTCTAACAGTGTATTAGTGTTTAAAATATTGAAACATAATATAGATGGGATACATACCTGGCAATGAATGATGTGGAGATTCATTGGTTCTCAATCATCAATTCCGTGGTCGTTGTACTTTTTCTGTCTGGTCTGTTGTATTTATATTTGTATTGAAACTATGATAATAGCAGAGCAGACATCTTGATGAAATGTAAACTAATGTATGCGATGCAATTTACATAAGTTATGCTATATTTTCAGGCATCTTGACGATGATTATTGTGAGAACGCTGAGGAGAGATATTGCAAAGTACAACAAGATTGATGAAGAGGTTTCTGCTTGTCATTCATTATTTACTATTGGTCACTTTCTTATGTTGTTCAAATTTGTTAGGAGAGGGTCGGTCATTTTATAATATTAATATTGTCGAAATGGTTATCAGCATTAGATAAAAATACAAATTAACATTGAAATTTTCTGCTGAACAATATATCATTTAGAACGTATAGGTGATTTTTTTATTTTGACATGAACTTGAAAATGTTGACTAGGATGAGGCACTGGAGGAATCAGGTTGGAAATTGGTACATGGAGACGTCTTCAGACCTCCACAAAGACCTCAACTACTGGCTGCTCTCATTGGATCTGGCATTCAAATATTTTGCGTTATATTTATTGTCATTGGTAATTCTCATCTTTTTGCTTTTTTCATTATCAACTGAGCTGACTCACTGTCATTCTCACTATTTAATGGTTTTATATTCATCACGTTCACGATCACCATTGTAGTCACCATCATTGATGTTAGATTCGTATATAGTTTTTGCTCGATTGGCAAGTGATGTGTCATTTAATTAGGCGCTTTGTTTAGCTATTTGAAGTTTAAATGGTCAGCTTGGTGCAGTTTAAAGTGTACATCAGTGATAATGGGGAAGCATTATCATTTTATTATTAATAGTTGGTGGTTTTATAGAGCAAGTTGATGAAATGTCATTTAACGAATAGAGTGCCGAAGTTGATTGATTTCAAATGATTGATTATTTTGCATGCAGTGTTTGCCATGTTGGGCATGTTGTCTCCTGCCTCGAGGGGGGCCCTCATGACTGCTGGCATCTTCCTCTTCATGTTCATGGGGTTCGCTTCTATGCTTTAGTCTTTTTTATCATTACTTTAACATATCTTCACTCTAACTAAATTTTCTATTTGATTCTCCATTTTTTTAATTTTTGTGGTAATTAATATATTTCACGTTGTTTTACATTTATCAGTCTGATAGCAGGTTATTATTCAGCTCGTTTGTACAAAACAATGAAGGGCATCAAATGGAAGAAGGCAGCTTTCCTGGTATGCGCTTACATTTTTTAGGGTGTGCATACGTCCATGTGCTTGTACATGTACTTAATATTTAATTTATACAAATGTTTGTATGTGTGTCTATCAATGATATTTTATCTACTTTGAAAAAGTAAAAATATGTGAAATATTGTTTGACAACCAAACAGACTGGAACGTTCTATCTCTCAATTGTCTTTGGCACATGTTTCTTTCTCAACTTTTTCCTCATTGGGAAACATTCATCTGGAGCTGTTAGTTCTACTCTCATCTTCTTTCCTTACTTTTTGTTTTATTTTTATCTTTGTTTTATTTCTTGTGTTTTGTCATGTAAACTAGTTTTACAGTTATAGCTGATACAGTTTATTAAAGTTTTTGGTTTTAATTTTTGTAAATAAGAATCGATATTTATGATTCAACATGAAAAGGAAGCAATAGATTATTATTTTTATAATTTCAGCTCCGCCTTACTAGCATTCGATTTTATTAATGTGACATTGTGATTTTATGCATCTGATTCATTATTGCTTTGTGGCAGCTAACACGAACGAACATCACACATTAGGTACCATTCACCACCATGGTTGCCCTGGTGTGCATGTGGACTGGTATCTCGGTACCCCTGGTTTTTGTTGGCTACTTCTTTGGATCTCGCAAACAAGTATGAATTTGATTTTCATTGTGTTTGAAATTCTATTTACATTCTTTTGGATGATGGTAGTATGCTAATATAAACGGAACTTGATATAAATTTCACAACAGTCCTACGAACATCCGGTACGTACGAATCAAATACCCAGACAAGTACCTGACCAACAGTGGTATCTGCATCCTGTTGTTGCGTTAGCCTTCTCTCACATGTTTCCATTTTTAATTTCATGTTTGCTGTTTGTTTACACGTAACTGAGTTGGGTAGAGAGTAAATTCTGAATTTTTCTTATTGGAAATGGCTGCTCTGCTTCTGCTCTAAACGTGAAATAGCAGTGCATAATTTTCATTGACCACTAGATTGTTTTGCCTGCACATTTCAGAAATTTCAGTTCTTTGAGTATCAAATATTGGACATTCATCAATTCTGTTCTTCATGACAACATATTTGTATGATAGTTTTCAATAAGGGCTTTTTGAAACAAAATAACCAATTCACTAATTTTTATTTACAGAACGTTGTTGGCTGGCATCCTTCCGTTTGGTGCAATGTTCATTGAGTTATTCTTCATGTTTTCTGTAGGTTATGTGTTCATGCATAAACCATTCCACAAAATCACACATGTTGTTCTTATTGTCATTGTTTGTCAAGTTTGAATAGATTTTTGTCAAGTCAAGTTTTGAGTTGTTTATTTGAGTATTTTTGTTTCTTCAATAATAATTAAACAATGAAATCATTTATAACATAGTTTTAAAAATTTTAAATGTGTTCGATCTCATCATTTTATGTTCTGACGTGACGATGTGAGCAGGAAGAACGTTAAAATGGCGCACCTGTTATGCACATCTGTCATTTAATCATCAGCAAGTTAACTGTCGAACGCATCTTAATATTGTACATTCAACAATAATGTGCAAACCTGATTGTGGTTTCAGTATACACGTTTAAGCCTCTACACTTTTGATTTTTCTTAATATATTCATATATTAATTACAGTGTCAAAATGCGTGGATTCATTATTGATCCATTTATTAACAACTATTTTTTTAACTCATTACCAAAACCACAGGCAATTTGGGAGAATCAGTTCTATTATTTGTTTGGCTTCCTCTTCCTCGTATTCATTATCCTCATCATCTCATGCTCTCAGATATCCATTGTCATGGTTTATTTCCAGCTCTGTGGAGAAGTAAGTGCAAATGGCATGTACTGGTGTTTTGTGTTTAGAGATGCCATCATGTAACAACTTGTGTAGTTCAATGTTTAAGTAATCATATTGTAACTTGGATAGGAATTTGGCTGTTGTGGTTTGGTTCAAGTTTTATTTGTGCTGAAATAATTTGACCTGTCAAAAACAACATTAACATAATAATGCAGTATAAATACAACATTGCAATATATACACTTCGCAAAAAGAAGACATCCTAAATACAAAAATTTAGTATAATCATCCGCATATTAGCATCAACTTGCAAATTCTCATAGAAATGCAAGGATATATAATAGTATAGCAATGCAACTGACTTAACAACGCAGGATTACCATTGGTGGTGGAGGTCTTTCATTGTTTCAGGTGGGTCAGCCGTCTACGTCTTCATATATTCCATCTTCTACTTTGTCACAAAAGTTAGATTCACATTGTTTTATATAACCAAATAATTTCTTTATACTTCAATATTTTATAATTTATTAATTTATTTTTTTATTAACCAGTTTAATTTTTTATTTAACGGCTTTGTTATAGATTACCGAATAATTTAATTTTATTTTTTTATTCAAATAAATAATGTTCGTTTTTTGCACAGCTGGAGATAACTGAGTTTATTCCAACCTTGCTCTACTTTGGTTACACAGCGTTGATGGTCCTTACATTCTGGCTGCTCACCGGTACCATTGGATTCTATGCTTCTTACTTCTTCATTCGAAAGATTTATGCAGCCATTAAAATTGATTGAGAAATTAATAAAAGTTGAATTGTTGATGTTAATAGAACATATGTTTCTTCATTTAATATTTGTTAATATTATTAGTGGTTTTATTTATTGTTTCGTTTATAATATTTATTATTCATGCTTGGTTTATAACTTAAAGTAGAGGTTGCATTGATTTTGTTTTTTGCCAACATTACTATATTACTTACTGCTGTCAAAGCATTCTCTGAACTGTCGATGACAGTTTTATTTATTTGATTTAATAATCTATAAGTGCGTAATGCAAAGTTTATTGTCTGTATTTCTGTCATTTATCATTACTAAAAATCATTTTATTAAGTTTTCATAGCAACTCGTTTCTAATTGTTTGAAATGGTGAAAACATGTAGTAAAACTTCAATGATTTTTCATCCAATAATTCCTTATGCTTATTTGCACTGTAGATAGGAAGCAATGTTTTGAGATATTTAACAAATTAGACATTAATATGTTGACTCACACAAATGTTTAACATTATTTTTTTATTTATTTTTAAATCTTAGGTCTTTAACTCAAGATTTTTATTATGAATGGAAGGCTGGTTTCATACTGTATAAATTTCATTTACTGCTTCCGTAATTCATCTGCGTAACAATTATTGTTTCTGATCCTGCAACAAAATTCAGTTCCAATATAAAATATATGATTTATAAGATGGCCAGTCTAAGAATTTGGCTTCTTATTTCGTGAAGTTCGTAACTCAATTTTCAGAGCCTTCGTGAAACGTGTAAGGTGATTGAAAGAAGCTATCGTCATGTCATAGGAAACCAATGAACGCAAGAACTTCAACGGTAAAATAAAGTTGAAAATTGTCAGTCTAGAAAGAAAATGTGATCATTAATGGAAAATGATTTCTTCAAGAATGGAGAAAGATCGCCAAATGGAATAACTATAATTTATTAATACACACTTTCGGGCTGACGATCGTTTAATTAGACGCTGCCCTGGAATAATTCCATCCAAGTCTCATCATTGATCTTTGTGTTGTTATGGCACTCTCATGAACCTAAGTTCAGATGATTCGTTGTTAAATTTTAACGATTTTGGGAATGCGACTGAAAAAATTTTTTTTATTGTATAGTTTTCATGTATATTGGTAACATGCTGTTACAACGTGTACATATATGACTATATGTACATTTCAAACGTAGGCGTTAGTGCTGATTTTATAAATTCACGCATATTTTGACGCTTCAAAAACAATTTGCTGTTGACTATATTATAATTATTTTTTTTTAATCCATAGTGGTTAATGGATTATGAAAATTATTTTTAAATACGTTTGACCAAATCTTTCTTTTATGACTCATACTCAGCAGTGCGGTTGCTGTCATTTTCTTTTTATTATTTATGTAGACAATGTTGATGGCAAAAACAGCTGTCTCTCCGTTGGATTGTCTGTTGTGCATTTCCAGAACTAAAAAGGTTGTAGATCGTACTATGCAGCATTGGTGAATATCTAAAAAAAAGCATTGATTCAAAGGACAGTCTCTGGCCAGGGGTGTCTATTGGCTTCCCTGTTTCTGGATTTTTTTCTTAGATTTTCTTTGAAATTGTTGTCGTAGCAAACGTTTGAAAATATTACTAATTTCAGTTCAAAACAATTTCAAAGGTCATCTATACTCTACTCATTTGGTTTTGTTAGTTCAACAACTGTTAACATTCGAATCAATTACATCAGATGAATGAAAATATTTGGTTCGTTTATACCAGATTTATTTAGAATTATTACTGTATCTTATTATTATCGTGTAACTGTTATGGTTTTTATATTCATTAATGTTAACGAAGAAAACGTGATAATTCGGGCGCTTTTTGAATTGAAATGATGATGAGTTGTAAATTTTTGTTTAAACTTTTTTATTTGTCACCTTGAATTATAGTTAGACAGTTTAACTAAACGAAAGTTTTTGTTACTGCCAGGCTTCGTTAACTTTTGAATGTGGGCTTCTTTACGTTGGGACCCGGTCATAGTTGTACACGCTTGAAAATTTTGTGGGCTTTGTATTCTAGAAGACGTACACGACTCTGGTAGGCCGTTTCCCGCTAACCAGTTTTTCGAGTTTTAATTAAACACGCACTTGTCAGCCGTCAAGAATGTAAATAAAGATTCAACCAATCAATTAGTTTTTAAAGCGTTATTTTCGCTATGTTCGACAGCGCTTCTCAATGAATTTTGCAAAATTTTTGATAGGTCTTGAGATCCGCTCTGAACTTTGCAAAATGGTGAAGTAGTTAGAAAAGGAGGTAAAGGGTTCCAGATAAAAGGGCTAGAAAAACGCAGATTTATCATAAGAGTGTTTAACATGAGTTAAAAAGTAGTGAGAAAAAGAAGACGATCGCAAACCGGGGCGTTTAGGTTTAATAAATAAATACTGATAGATACTTAGGAAATAATTTAGATTGAGATTTATACATTGATGTGTAAATTTTAAAAATTATTCAGTATTTTAAAGGCAGTCAGTGCAAGAGAACAAGATATGAAGATATATGAGAAAAGATAGAGGCAGCAGAGCTTTACTCAAAGGATAGAGTGTAAAATCAGGAAGACCGTAGTAGAGTGAGTTGCAATAATCAATCCTAGAAAAAACTAAAAAAGTAACAAGAAAAGAAGGATCATAAAAGATGCTTTAATTTCATGGATTAACCGACTCCTACTACACAAGTACGGCGAGATAGCGAATAATTGGTTCTACAACATAAGTACAGTGAGGTGGAGAATAAAATTAAAAAAAAATCACGTTGGAACGATTTTCAATTCTTTAAGAAAAACCTGTCGACAGACCACTCTGCTTCTGCCATCAAAAACTCTACAAAAAAACGTGACAATGAATAACAACAAAGAGCAAAATCACGTTATAACAAATTTCTATTATTCAAAAAACAACGTGTTGACAGAACGTTCTGCTTCTGTCATTAAAAATTCTTCAGAGAAACGTAGACACTAATAACAATTATAACGATAATCAATAAAGCTGATGACAAATCAAAAAATTTATTAATCTTGTCTTTAGCAATATAAACATACATACGAACGCTACTGTTCCGAGCATAAAAAATAATAAATGAAACACTTAACAATGACTGATATTGGTGGCTGATTTCAAAATCACTAAAACAGTAATATTTATAATTCAAGTTTTTAAATGTTTGTTCTTGTCAATGCGACCAAGCATTCAAAATAGAATCCTTTAAAATTATGTTTATGATCGTTTTACGGCAACAATTTGTTCGTTCACAGGTTTATTCTGACTGCATGTACACTTTTTTCTTCAAATCTAAATCTTGTCAACTCGCTCAACTTTAAGACTTCATAAAAAAGCGAGAGTATAAAGATAACTAGCTATACAAGAACAAATACTAAAAAAAATTAAGAAGCAAAACATTAATACATGAAAATAATTTTAATTGGAAATTTTGTGTTTTTTGAACGAGTGTTCCTTCAATAACCTTTCTTTCTTGAACACTTGGTCACACAAATTGCATGCATACAGAAATCCCATCTTCGTCCTTACCCTTGACAATTGCTTTGAAGTCAATTGTAGCTTGTGAGTTTTCGTGTAATGGGACGTCAAACTTCTAACTGTAATGAAAGTTCTTTTACAACCTTGAAAAGGACAAGAAGCACTCTGAACTTCTTCTTCCTCATCTTCATCCTCATCTTCGATAGAATCGATCATAGTATAAAATGTTGAAGGTTTCGTATTAGTTTGAGGTTTGAACTTGTTGCTGTTGAAATACTTCAGCACATCAGCATTCATTGAGCTATCAGTGTGGTTCATGGAATAATGTTCAGCAAGGGACACCTCATCATTCAAATATATAGAACAGCGCTGTTGGAGAAATATATTTAACAACTAATCAACTCATATCTCACAACTTAAAATAATGCATCAATATTATTAGTGACCATTAAAAAATATTACAAATAGCAAAGTAAACTAACTTTGCACTGAAAAAAAGCAATTTCAGTGTTATTGCTTATCGGTGGGCAGCCATAAAAGTCTATATCACTTTGTAAGGAAGGGTTAGATCTATCTTCCACATCAGCAAAAGATTTAATGTTAATGTCATCATTTGCATCCGTACAACAATTGTAACTGGCACCCAGATTTATATTGTTGTTTATGCTCTCCTCAACAACATCAACATCATATTTATTTCTACTGCATGAACCAAACCCTGTTCCATTAGTAACTTCTGTGGTGTTTGATGCATTGCTAATAGTTGTTGCTGATGAACTTGTAGTGTAACTTTTATTTGTTGAAGTAACAGCAGTAGATGTTGCAGGAAAATCAAACAAGCTGCTGAATTCAAGCTCATTGCTGATTGTACTACCACTAGCAGAATGGTTGGCACCATTGCTGCCAGGGATTTCATTAGAGTACGTATCTTCTGACTGAATGGATTGACCAGACATACTTTTTGTGACGACTGTTTCGTTGCAGCTTACATTCATTATACCATAAGCTTCCTCACTGAAACACATTTCATAATTGTTGTTGGCACCACATTCGCTGGCACCATTTCTAGAACTTTTGTCATTGCCTTTTGGTGATATTTTGGAATCTTTCTCTAGACCCTCCACTGCTTTCAATACTTGACTGAGTGCCAAAGTTTCCAAATCATCATCACCATTTTTTGTAGAAAAGTTTTTCAGGTCCAATTTGTTATCACTGCCAAATGTCATTTTAGACGAATGGTGGTTAGGTGCTTGTGAATCTATTACAAATGCACTATCCTTCCCATTATACTTTAACTTCAATGTTGGTACCTTTGAAGAGTTGGAACTACATTTCTTGTCAAGGTTATCAACGTTGCTCTTGTTACAACTTCTTTTCTTATCATTATAATCATCTTCCAAATCACATTTACTAGTGCCAATATCAGCGGTGGGTATGGACATCTCAGCTTCATTATTATTGTTATTATTATTGGTTACATTTGTACTATCCTGGTGATTACTACTTTTAATGCTATTAATGTTGTTGTAATTAATATCATCATTGGTATAAAAATTAATATTTTTCTTCATCTGGCAGGCATCCGAGTTGACAACTTGTTTTGGGGACGCCTCTGGATTGGCGTGTTTCATAGCTGAAGTCAAATTTTGATTACCTACTGCCACCTCTATTGCTTGCTGCTCACTATGTTGTCGTTGTTGATGTAATTGTTGTTGATGTTGTGGATTACCTGATGGATGCATTGAATAAAAGTTGTCGCTGCTTGTAATCGTATACTCTGTTTGAAATGAGCAACTTTTTCTAGTTGAATTGTTGGTATTGTTATTTATATCACGTTGTGAATAAAAATTGGTAAATAAATTGTTATACGTTTTTTCACTGGTTGTTCTCTGCAATTTATCAATATCATTAGAAGCCTTACAAGAAGTTTTAAGATTTGATTGTTGTTGCTGCTCTAGGCATTGTTGTAATTGATGTTGTAAGTGTTGTTGATGATGTTGTTGCTGCTGTGTCTGTTGACCTTGTAACGGTTTATACTGTTGTTGTAGCTGTTGTTGTTGTAACTGTTGTTGTAGCGATTTTTGTAGCTGTAATTGTGGATTTTGTGATTGTTGATGCTGTAACTGTTGCTGCTGCTGTGGTTGTTGTAGTTGCAACTGCTTAGAAACAATTCCCGTTGGTCCAGTAAAATCATTCATGCTGAAAGTTGAGGTTGTTTGTTGAGGTGAGAAAGCAGATCTTAAATTTAAAATTGTATCATGAAATTGATGTTGCTGATGGGCTGATTGATGGACTGGTTGATGTTGTAGAGTTTGTACATGTTGTTGAACTTGAGGATTTTGTTGTAATTGTTGAGGACATTGCTGAAAATATATTGAAGAGTATTGCAGATGAGTCTGCACAGTTGGTCGGATAGGATTTACTACAGGAGTAATCTTCAAACCTTTTTTATGTTCATTAAATTTAACTGAATTGGCATTTGAAGGTGATTTCTGCTGTAAAATTTGTTTTGATGTTGCTGGCACTTGACATTGTTCTATTGGTGCTTGTTGCAGCTGATTCTGTGACCAAGAATGTTGTTGTAATTGTTGATGTTGTTGTTGCGTTTGATGTAGACTGTTTGAATTTAATGTGCTCTCTTGGATTATAGACGAGATTTCACTAATTTTTGTGATAGCTGGTGAGTCCTGAAGCAATTGTTGAAGTAGATTTGGTAGCCGGTTTTGTTGCTGCAGCTGCAACTGCTGATGGTGATTAGTTGTAGCTAAGAAATTTTGTTGTTTGTGAGGTGTCAGTTGTTGCTGTTGTGTTTGTTGTTGATGATGCATTTGGGCTTCAACAGGATTGGAAGAAATATGTTGTTTATAAGGCGTTAACATGTTTTGCTGCTGGTTTTGCAAATTATTTTCAACAAAAATGTTCTGCTGTGGTTTATTAGACATGTTAGCATTTTGCTGAGGATGTGGCTGTTGATGCTGCTGTTTTTGAATTTGTTTGTTTTGAGTGAGGTCAATGTATTGTTTGTAAGGCGTAAGCATGTGTTGCTGTGTTTGTTGCTGGTGAACTTGTTGTTTGCACGGAGTTGTTTGTTGCTGTTGAAATTGTTCTTTGCATGGAGTAAGCGAGTTTATTTGCTGTTTGTAGGGTGTAAGTTGGAGTGCATGTTGCTGTGGTGTTTGTTGTTGTGGCGTTCGTTGTAGTTGCTGAAGCTTGGTTTGAGTTATTTTTTCCTTGCTAGGTGTATTTATTGCACATTGTTTCTGCTGAATTTGTTGTGTTTGCAATTGTTGGTGCAGCTGAGACTGCTGTTTGCTCGGTGTAAGTAAAGTTTGGTACAAAGTTGAGTAATTCTGCTGAGATGCTTGCTGTTTATGTTGTTGTGGAACCTCACTAGTTCCAGCTGTAGACTGCTTAAATACAGTAAGAACATTTTGATACAGCTGTTTATCAGACACATTTTGTTGTGGTAGCAGTTGTTGCTGTATCTGTTGTTGTGATTGCTGAAATGGTTGCATTGCAGTAGTCAGCTGAGTTGAATGAGACTGTTGATTGATGTTTGTTTGTGGTGGTTGCAAGTTTGTTAGTGATTTGTAAGGTGAAAAAACTAATGCCTGCTGGTTGAGTTCGGATGATGAAGTCTGGTAAGAAACACTCTGAGAGACATGAAACTAAAATTAAAAAAATATTCATTCAAAAATTTCATCATATCTTGTGAAATTAATGTCATTAATCTTAAAAATATTTGAAATAATATGAAATAAATATGAATTTGAAAAAGTTAAAAAATAATATTTTGAATTTTGATCAGCATATAAACAGCTGCTTGTGCAGAAAAATTTCATTTTCTGCATAAATTTCACAGAGAAAAACAAAATCTTCAATATTTTACACAATACAAAATTTACAAACATATAGCACATCCACACTGAAGATTTCCTGAAATGATTTTCTTTCAAGACACCATCCCAATAAATATAATATTAAAATTGGAAAGAAGCCCAGTTAAATTTAATAAAATGTACCAGCAAGACATCAACCATAGCAGGTTAATCTATCAACTATTTAAATGTTTATCTTTCTTTATTTGCTATTCTGCTAATTTAATTTCTCATTTTAATTTATTTCTTTTATATATTTATTCATTTATTTTTACCATTGCTAATATTATTTCTTCAGTTATATTATTATTAATTTAAAAACTTCGTTAAACCCAAAGGCCATTCCTGGCGTTGTACAAAATCAACTCTAAGCAGCAGCAATAACAATAGTATGTACGTTTACAAAGTGACAATATTGTAATATCAACGAACTTACTTGTTGATAATTTAAAGAATAATACTACTGTCAATATGGATAATAATCTAATAACCTGTTGTTGTGGTAAACAGTACAAAGGTAGAAAAGACCTGAGAATGCACTAACGCTCATGCAAAACATTCAAAAATTTTAAAAATTCGACAAATTCTCCAAACGGCCCTAATGAAGATTCCAACATGCTGATACTAGCAAACACCACCACCGCCACACAATTACCACAACTATCACCTTCACCTCCGGCGAGCGACTCCATCGACGTCGTCATCAACAAATGTCACCACGGCAGAGATGCCACGACCATCATCTCCGCCTCACCAACGGACATCTCCATCGTCGTCGTCGTCGTCAACAGAAACCGTCATGAAAGACACTCTACTGCCAGGGATAAAGTTACCAAAAACAACAATTCAATGGTCTGAGGCTGATGCATACTTTCATTCTCAAAGATCAGCTCTACCAAGCATCACTGACATTGATAACTTCACTACCAGTTTTCAGTCATTAATATACAACTACTTTGCATAAACCTAAGGCACAATTAAACAACAAACAAAATCAATATAAACATTCGACAAACCAATAAACAAATTAAAAAGAGAATTGAAACAACTAAAGCTGCTAGGCCATAACAACCACAACTTCGACCTCCAAATTAAAACGCTAAGGAAACAGATAAGATTAAGAATAGCATCAACAAAGCAAAATAAAATTGAAAAAACACTCGATATCACAAACCAATTAAAACATTAATTTTGGGCGACATGTGAAAAATTATTCAACCCGACGGCTAGTCAGTCTGCTGCCTCAATTTAGCGTCGAGGAATGTAAAAAAATTTTTAACAACATTTTAAAGGATCAATGCTACAACAAACATCGCCTACCGAATTGGATTAAAACATTACCAAACCCCTCAATAGCCTGTGATACCAATCCCCCACGTATAATGAAATCTTTTCAACTATCCGGAAATGCATGTATTGTATTGCGATTGAAACAATGCGTGAACAAACTGCTTCCTATTTTTATACAAGCTATCATCTTGGTACTTATTTTAGGATAATGAGCATTGATGACTATTCTTATTATTTTATCATTTTAATTTATACTTAGCTAATTTTATCATATTTATTTACCTATTTTATTTCGATTAATTTGATTTTACTCGTTTTTTTCTTTAAATAATAAAAGAGTTCACAATATTATAATTGGTCTGATAATTTTAGAACTAGCTTAATTAACAGTGCAGATAACTTCTACTTATGATAACTTCTACTAACACAATGCACTGTGACAGAAAAAAATGTTGACCTAATTTTTATATTACCTTTGACATCTTTGAACTCAATCATAAAATGACATCTTTAATTAGTGTATTATTTGAATATTATTATAATTTTGCATATTTTTATTGCTGGAAAAATAAGAGTTCATATTATTAATATTATTAATATTATTATTATTATTATTATTATCATTAGTGGTAGTGAAAGCAAAATCATATTTGACAATAAGAATGTAAGTGGGAAAGGCATAGATTGAAAAAAATTTCAATTAAAATTAAATTGATTATGCACTAACTCTAACCAGTGGTCCAGCTTTCAAATCACATGCAGAACTATAGGATGGGGCTGAGTAAATCTTGTTTGTTAAGGCTAGTTGATATTTGACAGCAGAATGAGTTGTTGTGGCTGTCGTTGAGGAAGATGATGAGGACAAAAATGATGCAGTGGATGAATACATTGTGGAATGTTTAGCTGATGAAACAGAATTAACAACTCTCTGTAAGTTGTCAATTAGGGATGACTGTGGTTTCGGTTGAAATAAAGTAGAATCAGTTGCTGCTGTTGTTGTTGCTGTGGTAGCTAGCGTGGATGTTGAAACGGAATATGTTGAGGGTGATGATGACATATTCAAAAATCTAACCACTCGTCTGGTTGTATCGAGATTTTGATTGGAGTAGCTATTTGATTGTTTTACAGTTAAAACTACAGATGTATTTAAAACTAATGAATTAGAAGTCACATAAAAATTATTAGTGGAGGAAATAGAAGTGAACGAGAAAGCTACCAACTGCTGTTTGTGATGGGGAGTTGAAGTGAGACCCGAGTATGAAGCACTACTAAATGATCCATTATTAATGGTCATCGGTGAAGTGAGTTGATTTTGTGGAACTACATTGCAATTTTCTGTAACATTGTTAACCTGCTGACTGTTTTCATCAGTTGTGGATAATTTATTCAATGCAACAGAAATAATATCTTTGAATATTTGGTCCCTGTCTTCAGTCATGTCTCCACCACCGTTATTATCATTGCAGTTGTTGTTGGTGGTGGTGCCAGAGTAGCATATTGAAAGCATTTGTCTAGCATTCTGTGTCTGTTCAAATGGAAAAAAAAAAATTTCACCAGCTGAAACAAAATATGACTAATTCTGATAAACAGATGCAATTTTTAAAAATGTACAAACTTGTGTAGGAGCTATCATATTGTTTGATGTTTTGTTATTAATTGGTTCAAGTGTTGGTAGGCCACGACCACCAGCAGCATGTCGAGGTCCTGAAGAGAAGAATCTTGCAGGCACAAGAGCATTACTAAAATTGTTGTTAGCGGTAGATGGATAAGTCAGGCAGTTGTTGAATCTTTGTTGTTGTCGCACTACTAAAATGACAAGCAATTTTATATGGGGTTTAATAGAGTTTTCTACTGAAATTTAAAATACATTTATTTCACTAATAAATAAAATATTGATATAACAAACCATTCGTTTTCAATCTTGGCTTTATATGTCCACCACGTTTGTTCCCAGCAACATTGAAATTTCTTTTGCTTGTATTTATATTTTTTTTATTTACATTTGACATTCTTGGTCTCTTTCCACCAATTTGAAAATTATTTTCATAATTTGCAGGTGCATTAAATATGCGAGATGATGTGTTAGAATGATCATTCACAAAAGGGTTTCCTTCATTTTTCATTTTATTCTCATCAATTTTAATGACTAAAACATCACTTTTATCGCTGGTTATTACAAAGAATCCTTCAAAACTGAGAGAGGAATTGAATGGAATAAAATTCACACACATCTTCACACAATCTTTCAGCATCAATGTCACTTGTTCCCTACAAAAATCCAGCTTCTTCATGTTTAGGTGAATCTTACAAATGAATATCATATGGTAAAACACATTTCAATCAAAAACAAATAAAAATAATAATTCAGCCAATATGAGCAACTTTAACATGGTTATAGTATGAATGGTGAATAAATTAGATACCAAAAACGAAATTGTTATACTGATTTATGGATATGCATATTTCAGATGACCCATGCAATGACCTAGTTTATAAATTTTATATCAGAATCCACTAATATAATCTAATCTAATCTAATCCTAATCAAATTACTAAACCAACTAACTCTTCTAACTAATCTAAATAAAGATCAGGCATTGGCATTCTCTTTCTAAAACAAAACTTAAAAGTAAAACAGAAAGTTGAGCTATTCTATTTCCTCCAGAATACTATAAAGTTATGATATAACTTTGAAGTATTATAAGTATATAGTAGTATTATTATGTATATAGTAGTAGTAGTATTATTATTATTTATAGTATTAATAACTGAAGGCCATTTTTTATAAGACCTTTATATTTTCTTTGCCTACTTTCTACTAATACTACTAAATGAATCGCTATGTATGTATGAAGTATTGTACTTAAATAAATAAAAATTAAGCGCTTCTCAACCTTTTGAGATCCAAGGACCAATTAAAAAATGTGTGTCTGAATACTGACCAATACTGAAAATTTTGCTACAAGCGCACTTGAAATTGATATATACATATAAATATTATTTCATATAATGGCGTAATCTCTGCACATAATTAGTATAACATAGTTCTTTGTGTAATTATTAGTATTAGACTTAGAGAACTATAATTACCAAACTTGACTATAGGTGTATTAAAATTGTTATTTAAAATTATTTATTATATATCTTAATAAATGTTTCAACTTTAAATTAAAAAGTATAATGTATTATAACGTATTTGTAATTTTTCATTATTGTTTGCATACACTGTATCTCACAACGTATCTGGCGTATCATCAATATTTATGTCAAATATGAAACAAACTGTAATTGCATCTTTTACAATGAACAAATGTCACTCGCTAACAATAATGAATAATGAATAATAATAAACAGGTGATTTTTTAATGTGCCAAGTACATTAGAAACAATGCTACATTTAATTTTAGTGTGAGCCTTGAGCTTGCACAGTTGAGCATAGCTTATTGTTATTCAAATGAGGCGTAATGTTCATCTTTTTCATTTAAAAAATGCACTTCCTACTTTGCTCACGGACCACCAGGCAAATGTCCGCGGACCACAAGTTGAGAACCGCTGTACTAAATAATAGCAAACTGTAAAAAAAATACAGAAGCAAAAAAACTGTTGTGCCAAGTGATGGAAACTTAAATTTACCTTGTAGATCTTTAAATTCGGATGAACTTAAAAAGATGAATAAGTCTTAATAAGCGATCATTGGTTTAGTTGAAGAAGTGAAAATTCAGTTAAATTATCTCCTAAACGGAGCAATTGTTTGCAATTTAAAAGTAAAAATTGATGCATTTAGTCCACGTCCATATACACTTTTTTGGTATCAGGGCCGAAGAAAAAGTGCTGTGTGCATTTTGTTAAATAAATAGTTGGCTACTCACCGCAATTATATTTTATTAAATTATGTTAAACAAAAGTTTTTCCAGTGGTGTAAAGATAACTGGAAAGCGTGCTAAAACGCCGTAAAAATTGAAACGAACGAACAATCATATTTTGTGTTTATAAATCTTATATATATATATATATATATATATATATATATATATATATATATATATCATATATATATCATATATAAATCATATATATATATATATACATTTATTTATTTATAATAAAATATATATATATGTATATAATAAAATTTATTAGACTTCAAACTATTTTATTAAATTAAAAAATGTTAAAAGTATTTTTGAAAAAATTAATTTGAGGTTAAATTTTTGAAAACCCTATAGATACATTTTTGGTCAATCAATCAATAAATCAATCAATAAATCATTTAGCTTAAAGCGATATTTCCGCAATGTTCAACAGCGCTCCTCAATGAATTTTTCAATCAGATGGGTCGAGGTCCGCTCTGAACTTCGTAAATGATAGAGAAGTAGTCAGAGAAGTGGGTAGAGAGTTCCAAAGAAATGGGCCTGAAAAAGCAAAAGCAGATTTAGCAAAAGAGTGTTTAACACGAGTTAAGAAGAAGCGAGAACAAGAAGACAATCGTAAACTGAGGCGTTTATGTTCAATTTTTATATCTGATAAGTTCTTAAGAAATAATTTAGATTGAGACTGTTACATAAATGTGCAAATTTTTAAAATTATTCTATATTTTATAGGTAGCCATTGCAAGAGAACAAGATATGGAGATATATGAGAAAAGAAAAGGGTAGGAGCAACTAGACGAGCAGCAGAATTAAAAGCTTTACTTAAAGGATAGAGTATAGAATCAGAAGGACCATAGTAGAGCGAGTTACAATAATCAATCCTAGATAAGACTAACGAAGTAACAAGAAGGAGAAGAGTAGAATCATCAAGAAAAAGCAAAAGTTTTTTATTCGACGTAGATGAAAGTAAGAGCTTCTTGCAACACTATTAATCTAAGAAGAATAAGACATACTAGAATCAAAGATAAAGCCTAGACTACGAAACTTGTGAGAAACATCACGAGTTTTAGAATCAGGTAAGATAAAAGAGGAATAGTAATAGAGTGTTTAGATTTATTAAAACAAATTAATGCAAATTTAGAAGGATTAAGTTTTGGTCGATTCATTTTAATATTTCGTAATAATTAAATTATGGAATTCAATGCCGCCACCTACATATTTCTTATTCTAAGATGTTCATGTACATCATATATATATATATATATATATATATATATATTTATATATATATGTATGTGTGTGTGTGTGTGTGTGTATAATTTATGAAAATCACAAACATGTTCGGCGTTAGTTAACCTCATGTTTAACTTTCCGATTTTTCTAACGATTGATCGTAAATCATTCTCAAGTTTCTTGAGTTCTTGAGAATGATTTACGATCAACCGTTAGAAAAATCGAAAAGTTAAACGCCGTACAGAACATGATGTGATTTTCATCAATAATTGCATTTCTGACTGTCTTAATCCGGTAGATATTTAGTATAATCTTAGTTTGAGTTAGTATTTTTCGGATTTAGACGTTTGATTGAAGTAGAATGCGAATGCTTTTTTCAAGGTATTCTTGGCTTTTTTTAGCTTCGAATTATGATACAGGGTGTCAGAGTCGGTTATTAACTTAACATAAACATAAACATAAACAGATAATGGGCGCGAAGAACATATGCCCATATCTAAATGCTTCTCAACCTTTTGAGATTCAAGGAACACTTAAAAAATGTGTGTCTCAGCCGCGGACCACTACTGAAAATTTTGCTACTAGCGCACTTGAAATTTATATACAGTGTTGTATAGATTACTTTTGGAAAGTAATCTGATTACAAATTACAAATTACTTTTAAAATTAGCTTGAGATTACAAATTACAGATTACTTTGCAATGATGTGTCCGATTACAGATTACAGATTACATCATCAAACTTTTTGAAATTATAGATTACATCATAAGAATTTTATTTAATGAATGTCACATAGTTTTATGAATTATTGAATTATTAAATTGTAATTATTCATAAAATAATTTAAAAAATTGCATTTTTTTTAAATTTCATGAAATTTCAAACAAGTTTGAACCAGAAGCGACTTTGCTTATCCTGCTTCATAACGTTCTTGAGCAGACCAACTTTTTAACATTACGTGGGCGGTCTAATTAAAAAGCATACGACGTCAATGGATAAACTATTTCTTTTGAATTAGTCTTTTTTTTTAGTTTTTTAACTTTAAATTTTAAAAATCTTAGGTATTGTTGTCGTTAAAGTAATCTAAAATAAAGTAATCGTGACATCTGTTTAGATTACAGATTACACAAAAAAATGTAATTTGATTACAGATTACAGATTACTTTTATAAATGATGCGATTACAGATTACAGATTCAAAAAAATGTAATCGATTACGTAATCGGATTACTTGTAATCCGATTACTATACAACACTGTTTATATATATATAATTATTATTTCATATAATGACGTAATAGCTACACATAGCTAGTATAACATCAGTAATCTTACTCTTCTTCTTGCTCTTGACATTTCCTTGAGACTGCTAGATCTTTCTTTTAATATTACTGATTCTTGTCTATCTTGGTTTTCTTCTTATCTCTGTAATCGTTTTTCTTCTGTTGTTCTCAATAATTAAACTTCTAACTCCTCAACTCTTATTTTCGGGGTACCTCAGGGTTTTATCCTTGGCCCTCTATACCTCTGAACTACCTCGTATTATTAATAACTTTTCTTTCACTAGTCAACTATATGCTGATGATTCTTGTATTTATACTTCTTTTTCTCCCTCTAATCTCAATAGTATTCTTCATAATCTATCTCAATGATTTTCTTCAATTATCGCTTGGTCTGACTCTATGTGTCATAAAATTATTCCTTCTAAATTTGAATTAGTTTGTTTTAATAAATCTAAACACTTACAAATCACATACATACACATACACTCACATACACACATAAAGCACCCATGTAATAACAATGACACATAAATATTAATAAATTGATAATCAATTATGACCATTAAATAACCTGATCAATAACCTATATACTATTTACACGTGCATTCAGACACACATATGCACATTCATCCCCACATAAACTCATACTACGCACCAGTAGATAAAATAAAATGCACATAAATAAAATAAAAATGTACGTTACACACACATACATACCATCATATATACACCACACACACACACACACACACACACACACACACACACACATACACACACAAACACACATATGTGTATAATACATACATATATATAATAAAAAAAAATAATCAAACATACCTAGACCTACACAGACATATATTAACTTAACAGTATTACACAAGTGTATCTTCTAAAAAAAGACGAGCTTGGAAAATCATTTTTGGGATATAATGAACCTCCGACCAAAACCTCTGACTCCGACAAACGAGATCTACACAGTTTCAAACCATTTCAATGGGTCTAATTTAAAGCCAGCACACCAGTCTGATTAAAGGCAACTGGTCCTATTCTGCCGAGACTTTCTTGATCAACGTGACAACTAACTAAATTCTTCGCCTCATTATTACCTATGTTGAATTTATCTAAGACCATGTGGATCCTTTGTTGTATACATATAAATAGAATATATATATATATATTCTATTTATATGGTTGTACACAGTAACCTAAATCGACCGAATAGTTATGATTATGTAATACTGAGCATGCGCTATAGTTCGATTTTTTCAATGTGACGTTGACATAGTAAATTGTAGCTGGTAGTTTTTTGGTTTATCGGGTTAGAACTAAATCTCCTGAGCATGTATACTTTGATGATGGAAATCCTGATGAATAAACAACGTTCGCTAGGTATATCCTATTGACATAACGACTAATTCCCTTCTGTCATATATAATAATTATAAACCCAAACGATCGTTTTTCTCCTTTTCACTTTTTAAATGCTGTTAAATATTCTTACGCTGAATCTGCGTTTGCTTTTTCTGACCCTTTCCTCTGGAACTCTCCACCACCTTCTCTAACTCACTTTTAAGAAGTTAAGAGCGGATCTAGAGAAACGTCTGTTTGTGGAATCATTGGGGAGCGCTGTTGAATATCGCGGAAATTGTGCTTTAGAAATAGTTTGATTGATTAATTTATTGATTGACTGACTGATTGATTTTTTGATTGACTGATTGATTGATTGATTGAATGAATGAATGATTGATTGATTGATCGATCGGTTATGAACTATGAAGTCATGACAAGATCTATCTCTCCAGCCCTATTTTTTAGCTAACCTGATAAACCAAAACATCCAGAGTTGAATTTACATTCGTTTTTAAATTAATTTGTTTTTAATAATTTAATTTAATAAATTTTTAAATTATTTATTTTTATTATTTTATTTATTATGATGGAAATTTTAATAAACTAGCTCTAACCGAAGGTTTGTGGGTTCAGGTCAACATTTTAGATTTTATAATTTTTTAGCTTTCTTTATTTTATTTTTCATTTTTTATTTAGCTAATTATCAATATTATAATATTAAATTTAGTTTTCAATAATAATAGCATTTTTTCTTTTCCAAGAATTAAAAATTAAAAAATTGTTTATTTACCTTTTGACCTTTCAACTTGTTTTTACCCAGAGTTTGCTTTTTTGTGTTTGCTAATTTTGGTATTTTAAATTTTAATTAGTCATCTATTTACACATTTATTAATTATTTTTTAATCACTTGAACTGGACTGCAGAAGACAAAAGTACATCAAAAATATTTTGCAATCTTATCATTTGATTCATTATTAAAATAAAATTTAGAATTGAAGAAAACATTTCAGTTTTAGTTTAAACTTTAAAATAATAAAATCTTTTAAGCTTTGTTTTTGTTTAGCTTTAGACTTGAACTGTGCTTTGCTGTGCTAGCTGCAGAAAATATTTTTTAATTCAATATTATTTAAAGCAGGTAAAACAAATTTTATTGTAAGTTTCAAAAGTCATAATATTTAGATTTCAATTAATGGTTATATTTTTTCTAAGAACCTCCTAATTAAACCATCAGAATATTTTTAAGGATTTGCATCCAATGTCAGTAAGAACTTCAATATTATAATATATTTTGTTGAATTGCAGTCATCATGAGTGAAAAAAGTTTAAACAAATCAACATACGATTATTGCCAAAGTGTTTTGAAAGAGCTGTTGAAAGAAGAGCATAACAAGTACTGTGCTGACTGTCAAACCAAAAGTTAGTTGCTCATTGTATGTTAGATGTTGAAAGTTTGATTATTAAATGTTTTTTTTTTTATAATTTATTGTTATCAACAATTTTTTGTTTGTTAGTGTTGTTTTTAATTTGCTTACTTTGAAATAATGCATTTGTTGATGGAATTGTTAATCTCAATGTTAATATTTTAAATTTATTAATTATTTGTTTATGTGTGGTTTCACCAATAATTTTTCAAAATGAAACATCTTAATTGCAGGTCCACAATGGGCATCATGGAACATAGGAGTTTTCATATGCATCAAATGTGCTGGCATACATAGGAATCTAGGTGTGCACATTTCAAAAGTCAAGTCCATTACACTTGATATTTGGAACAATGACCACATCTTTGTATGTGTATTTGTATCTTTGTATTTTTTTTAAATTTTCTGTTAATAATTTCATTCAAATTTTTACTTTGTTTCTTTATGTTTTATGGATTTATAAATAGAAACTGAAGGTAAATAAAATATTTTTATTAAATTTGAATTATTAAATTTTGTGCAGATGCTACAAAAAATGGGCAACAAAAAAGCCAACGAAGTCTATGAAGCTACATTGCCTAAAAATTTTTGTAGAAATCGGTTAGATTTTATGATAACTGTTTTATATTTTGTTGTTTCAAAGAAAGTGGCAAGAAAAATGTACAATTTTTCAATTTGGCTTCAAGCTTAGCTTGTTATTTCAAACCTGAGATCATGAAAATGATTTTTTCCTATTTTCAAAATTGGTGATGGTAATTTACTCTGATGATAAACTGTTGTTCATTTCTTATGAATTGGCTTTTAACAATTGATTTTATTTATTTATGCTTGTTTTATGCATGGGTTTCAGGTTGCCATTTATGAAATATAAATGATGTTTTTTTTATCTGAACGTATCTTGAAAAATTATTCCAATCACGGCAACTATATTTTTTTTGCAGTGATATAGAATCTTGGATAAGATGCAAATACGAATACAAAAGTTTCATGTTAAAAGATTGGATTCCTCCAACACAAGATGAAGTTTGTTTCATAAATTTAAATTTTTGTTAAAAAACATTAAAAAAACTTTCCAATTTACAGAATGTGAGAAAGAAAAAGCATTGCAAAAGTTCCAAATCTAAGAAACAAAAAATATCTGAAGAAGTATATGCACACTCCACCAATATTTTTAATTAATTAATATTTTTAATTTGCCTTTTGATTTATTCTTTTCAATCTCGTTTGTTTATTAGCATATTTTATAGGTATTTTCATTTGAATCTGTAGCCTGCCATAGACAATTCAGTACGGAACAACCTAGTCAGAACGTGCTTCAAAGATGAATCGGGGGATGATAAAAATCAGACGAAATCTCCCACGATTGCTGAGGCTAACGATGTTGTCTCCTGTCTTTCTGATGCTGTCCAGGATAAACAATCAGTCAATATTGATCTGGAGAACGTAATAAACGAGGAACGCCTTTGTTATTCTGTTAATTTAATTGATTGTTCAAACGATGTGACGACGAAATCGAGAAGAGGTCATACTCTCTGCAGTAGTTTGTGGGAGTAAGGGCAGCTCGTATTTATTTTTTTTCCTTTCTAGGTTATTTCTTTGTTCCGCGCGCTTTAGTCTCATAAGCTGTACTTAATTATTCGCATTCGAAGTAAATCTACGTTGTGATTTTTACCTCTTCACGTGTGTGTGATTAATAAAACTGTTATACTTTTTCACATTCTTTTTAATATATTGATTCATGTCCTACTTTATTCATTTTTTCAATAAATTTGAAACACATTACCATAAAAATAAATTTCACTTTATCATTTACGATTTTAAAAATTAAATGTGGTGTGCAGCTGATTTAGTTATTAACCAACATTATATTCTCGTGCACTGTTGTAAATTTAATATTTAATTGTTAGCCTACATCTCTTAATTACGATTGTCTACATAAAAGCCTACATCTCTTAATTACGATTGTCGGATTACAGATGAGAATTTAGATAAGCACTGCCTGACCTGAACGTTGAGCACATATCGTTTGGGTCGTAGTTGGGAGTTTGTCGTAGTCGTAATTTTTCATCCGACTTTAAAACTTATGAAATTTTGTTCAGAAAATAAATTTTCAAACTTGTGTTTGTAGGTGATGACTGTAGTAAGGCAGGCAAATATTTACAATATTACTTATTGATTACTTTATTAATTTTTATAGCTAGCGATACATTGCGTGATAATTAGACGTTCAAGCATAAAATAAAAATTAATGGGTTTCAAAATGAACTAGCGGCAAGTGGATGCAATTTCTTATGACACGCAACGAAGATTTTTTACTCTCAACTATTGCCATTTCTTGCTCCTTAATGTTTTTGACATTCTTCGCTAACTCAAGTTAAAAATTTTTTATTATCTTCACTGAAATGTTTAACCCTCTTCTATATCTTCAGTAACTGTTTATTTTTACAAAACTGCTTGGTTTGGAATAAAATCACGTTGAGATTAATCAGGGTCACGAGAAAAGAGGGTGTAGGAATGTCTCTCTTCGGTGTGCCGGATACGTCATTACTGCTCTTGCTTCCGGTGAAATTTTATAACTTCGGTAGGCCAATGCCGGAATAGCAACCATGATTATGATGGAATTGAAAATGATTTGTCGAAAACAATAGATTTATACATTTTTATAAGTTTAACTAGTTGTAGTTAGTATGTAGGGAACATTATATTAACAATTAATAATGATTACGATCAAATAATTTTTATATAATTACTACATAATTTCGTTGAAGGGATTGAGTAATTTATTTCAGCAGCGCATTTATCAGGACGACATGGCATTATAACTGTTTGACAAACGGACAGTGGGTCATGTTAGCACTATATCCATGTGTTAACAGTATAATTTATATACTTATGCGTGCCTCAGTCCTTTTAAAATGATAAAAAGCGAAGTCTAGTGAATCTTCCAAGAATTGCTCTGCACGGAAAATATTCAAAACTATTATAAGAAAGATAATGTTGTTAATCGAATTGGGAAATTGTGGAATGGTTTGAGTAAAGATCTTGTGAATGCTGAAAAATGCTGGTGTGAATGAAATAGAAACTGAAACTGGATGTGTTTGAAAATTTTGATTTGAAATACGACTGGAAGGAAAAAGGAAGGAAAAATTGATTTAATTAACCCATATGTGTAACTCTCTCTCTCTCTCTCTATATATATATATATATACACATACAAATATATATATATATATATATTTGTGTGTGTTGTGTGTGTGTGTGTGTGTGTGTGTGTGTGTGTGTGTGTGTGTGTGTGTGTGTGTGTGTGTGTGTGTGTGTGTGTGTGTGTGTGTGTGTGTGTAAACCATAATGTATTATCGTTTGTTCTGCAGCAAAAGTTTGTTTTAAATTTTTGATGTTTTATTCTATTGTTAAACGTTGAAAATTAATGTTTGAAAGTAGATAATATTTTATCGCTCTTCCTTGAAAGAACTTCTTGTGTTTTTTCCATTTTTTGCATTTGTTTCATTTTTTATGTCTGTAGCTGGGAATAGTACGATTGACGAATTTGCAAAGAAAATTTACGTTACATGATAGCTAGCTGTTGCGTACCGGTCCATTGTGAGGCTGTGGTTGTCAGACTTCAAAGGCATAAAATATCATTGTAACTGTAAATGGAGGAAGTCACTGTATGAATCTATATGGTTATATTGTCATACTTCACGAACGTTTTACACATGACTACTCTGCACTGTTGATAATAATTATTTATTTATATCAATTTTAAAATGTGTAAATAAACATGAGTAATCAAACTAATATAAAATTATAATGAACTTGAATTTTGTCAAATGCTGCATTACGCGCATACACACACAAATTAATACATTTGAAACAATATCGACTACTATAGTATTTTCAATATTCTCGTTGTCAAGTTTTCATTGTAGTTTTCATATTTCATAATTACTCAATTAATTTTGAAATTTTGAAATAACTGAAACATATTAAAGTTTGTATTTTTATGAACGCTACACGAAACATTCAAATCTTCATTTTGAAATCTTTTTTTACAAAATAATTGACTGCTAAGTTTACACAACAAAACAAAAGAAATTTACGGCTACGTTCAACAGTAAAACTCCTTTGTTTTAAGATTATTACACAAAAAATGTCAACAAAAAGTTGCGATTACATGACATTTCTCTGGAGATTATCAAAAAAATTAAAAAAGTTTGAAGCGATTAAAATCGTGGGACATTGCCTAATATTTTTTCCAAACAAAAACATCGAATGTTGGACGGCGTTTGAGTTGTTTAAAAATTTAGTGGCAATAGGAAAGGTAAAATTTGATTCACCATCCAGAATCAAATGGGTCCTCTTGGTAAACATTCTCACAGAGATTGGAAGGAATGATCTGGCCAAAGAAGTCGATAAATTTGGTTTGTTCGAACATTTCTTAATATATTAAAAAGTTAAATTTTTTAATAAATAGCTTTATTTGCTTTATATATTGTGTTATCAGTAAGTTGTTTTGTTATTTTTCCTTTTTTTTCTTTCAATAAATTCTCTAACACCTTATCTTGAATTTTTGTGTTAAGGCGAAAATTATCAAACAGCAATCAACGATTTTAAAGGTACAAATTTAATTTTATAACATTTATTACATTTTAGCTATTGATTATTAAAACAATTGATACTATGCCCTTTGATCAGCTCTACTAGGGTTCTTCAATAAAAACACAAACACGTTATTGCGGGGCTTATTCTTTTTTTGTGGTGTAGCTCAAGCGTGACTAATTGTTTTACTCACGAGCCAAATAATCAAAACAATTTTCTCTTGCCGGACGAACAAATTTTTTTAGTTATTAAATATTTAACGCAAAGCAAGAGTTGACAGTTAATGAAGGAACTATACAAATAATTCCAAACCAAATGACGACCTTGATGTTTTATTATCTTATTTTATATCTTTCGGGCTCAATGTTTTTTCAAAGAAACGGTGTCTGGGCTTGAAAGATATAAAATAATATACACCAAGGTCTCGCTATTCCTTCTTTCTATAGTTTAACTTGAAATATTAAAAAATCTTGATGGAATTTGGAATGTATGAAACATCTAGTTCAGCATCTAGTTCTACATTAATAAAGAAGCTTTTTTCAATACTTCCTCCTAATGAGAATCGTCATTTATTTGCTTCACTATCGTCAAGTTAGGTTTAATTAATATCGACTGCATGATAAATACAAACAGTAAAAAATGGAAATATTTACGAGGATAGTTTTTACAATTTGTTGAATAAAGTTCAAATAAACGTTTTTTTTATTTTGGGAGCGCATTTTTTGGGATTTACTTACAATGGGCTTCAGAATTGAATGTCAGTTTAAATATTCATAAAAATTGTCATATTAATAATTGTTTGAATTCAGAAAATAGAAGCAACCTTCAAATAGAAAACGAACTCAGCGATGGCAACTGTCTCATCAAAAAGGGTAATCTATTTATTTAACAAACACCAGCTACACATTTAAATAAAAATAATTATGTCAATTAAACATTTAAAGGAACGTATTGCAAATTCTACGATGTAGTTGTCAAAATGTTCAAATATCAAAAAAATGAAAATGACGAAGCACGCTACTCGCGAAGGTCAAAATTCATCGAGAAAGCTGAGATGCTGATAACGTTCGATGATTTCAATGTTTTAGGTAGTTGGATTAGAAAATAGCGTGAAATACCCAAGCAATAATTCTTAATTTTTAGTTTGGTGAATTTTTGAAACATTTAATTCGTTTGTGAATTTCTTCAGGAAATTCGGACTTGTTTGTGATCATGAGAGACAACACACCTCCATTTTTTGTTGTGACGTATTTTGAAAACAGAGATTTAGTAGAAGTTTATAAAAAGAAGCAACAAGAGAGTGTGGATTTAAGAGAAATTATAAAGTTTTCAAAAGAGGTAAATGTTTTAATCGACAACCAGTTCATTAAATTCATTAAATGCGTTAAGTTTTATAATATTCGTAATGAAGCTCCGAAGGAGTTGAAATAATTTGAATAAGACAGATTGCAAACGGTATGCGATACTTACACGCACGTGGTGTCATGCACTGCAGTTTGAAAGCTGAAAATATTTTAGTGACGGAAGACAATCACATCAAAATTTCAGGTGACATTATTTGGTATTCAAATAAAGGTGTTAAAATATTATGTTAAATTATAAGAAATTTTTTAAAAGTTATAAATAAAATTTTTGAAAATTCAATCCAGGATTGTCATTTACTAGAATCGTTGCTCAGTCTTCTGGAGAAAACGACAACGCATTTCATTTGGATGATGGTTCGCTTTAAATTCAAAGCATTCAATCATTTATTAATTTTTATTCAAATTACAATAGTCGTACTTTTTTAATATTTGTAGTGAGCTAATATAACAATAATAATAATCGTAATAATAATCACCACACCTGACCAGGTTATAATAACCTTAGTTCATTCAAACCATTTAATTATTAACTATTAACAAAGAAAATGAGCTCTAACAATTTTTATTTTTCAAACATTCCAATGAGCAGACATAATAATAGCTGTAAAGTGGATGCCTCTTGAAGTTTTGTTGCACAGACAATTCTGCAAGAAATCTGATGTTTGGTCGTATGCCATTGTATTGATCGAGATGTTCACTTGTGGCCAGATGCCATATAAAGGTTAATATATTAATGTACGTAACGTGAAGAGGTTTTGAGAGTTTGATACGCTTTTCGATGCACTATTATTATTTTTAACAAAAGTTGAAATTGATTTGGGGAAAATAAGAGTTGGGAGTAGGTTTTGGAAATTATTTTTTCGAAAAAAATTTCTAACAAGTAGTTGGAATTGACACAAAGATCCAGTTAAAAGCAGCTTACATGTGTGTGTAGTGTACTCATAAACAAGTTTATAACTTTTTGCAATAAATTTTTAAAATTTCTCATTCGAATAAAAATTTGTTATAAAAACGTTAGTGTCTGAATTATAAAAATGAATAAAAACGAAACTTTCAAATGATATGTGTGCGTTTAAGCAAATAATAACTAAGAACATGACAACCATTTTTATATTCATTATTTCATTTTAACACGTTTTAAAATTCTAACCATCCAAACGCACTTTGAAGGGTTATCGAACGAAGCGACAAAATATTACTTGATGGATGGTTTTCGTCACGAACGACCAGAAAGTTGTCCCACCAACCTTTACATTGATCTTCTTCTAAAATGCTGGGACATCAACGTCATGATGAGGCCTGATTTTGAAAAAATATTGACTATTCTTGATGACAATTCAGATTTTCAAGGTGAACATTTTAAATTAGTTTAAAATTATAGGCAATGATTTTTGGTATATGTATGTATATAATAGTGAATGCAACGAAACTCTAGTTTACGAAAAGCTGGTACCCACAATCATTGAATCGAAAAAGAAAAATGATATAAGAAAATCTTTCTTGCAATGTGATACGACGAGCCTTCAAAAGAGACCCAACAGCATATTCCCAGAAGAATTTCATTTGCCGACAATGAGCAAAATTGAAAGGTTGTCATTAATACGAATAATTGGATCTGGCGCTTTCGGCACTGTTCATGAAGGTTAATATTCTTTACGTCTCATAAAAACATTTTATTAGAAAGAACATTCGAGCGTGAGTTTCATTCTACAAAAACTTACGTCACTGGCTGGATGATTGAGTTTTATTAGGGACTGGTTTACAAATATTATAACACTTGGTGCACGCAATCTTCAAATCTCTGCTAGCATAAGTCGCATGATTATTTTCAACTTGATTGAATTAGCTATTCTCGAATACAACGGAAAAAATTTGTTCGTGGCTGCCAAAACGTTCAACAACCAGACAACCACGATGGAGGAATTCAACACAGAAATAGAAATGATGAAATCGCTGCGACACCCAAACATCGTGCACATGATCGGAGTTTGTCGTATGAATGACTGCCTGTACATGGTCACTGAAATTATGGCAGGTGGTTCTTTACAAAAATTCTTGAGGGAAGATAAAGGAACTGCTATCCAAATAAAGGATCTTTTGAATATTGCGCTACAGGTAATAAATTGAAATTAATTTCATCTAACAAATTTGTAAGTAAATGATAATAATTGTTCGTAAAAAAATTGTTTAATTCTATTTAATATGGTTTTATATTGCCTTCTGTTTAAATAGTTTTTTTGAAGCTTGTTTGTTCTTTCAAAAAATAGAATCTGACAGACGCAAAATTTCTTTCAACATGCAAAACCAGTGACCCCGTTATTTTCTTGTATGTGTGATGATTTCGAATGATTTATTGAGGTTAAGTGAGAGATAGCGTTGTTTTTGGCATGTAATTAATGGGTCGAGTTCTGATCGGGTGGTGAAATCGAGGGTTTAATCGGTGTAACTTTTTGTTACTAATCCGCAAAAACAAATAAATTAAAAATCAGAAAAACTAAGTGTGAATTCTGTATTCTGTAATTAAAACTCTTAATTCTTTGTGGTATTTGCTTTTGTTGGTTAGAACCAGACTGGGGTGTTTGTACGGACGAGATCAGATATTGGTAACAAGCGCGCGTTTGTTAAAAGGTATATGTTAAATCTTTTTTCTAATTCTACGACAGAAGAAAAGCAGTTAGCTAGACCAATTAAAATGCTTCAGTTGAAAATTACACTAACTAGTTTTCTGAAAAATTTCAACTGCTATATTCACTTCAAGATTGTCAGGAAGTGTTCGTACTATATGTTTTCGACGGGCAATCCACATGGAAAATGACAATTTTTATTTATATTTATAATCAAATAATTTTTGTTATCACACGCTTATTATTTATAATTAATTAAATTATTTTATTTTAATTAGTTTTTAATTAATTAATTTAATTAATTTTAATTCAGCAAAAATATATATCTGATAGATATGCGGAGCAATGACATATTTGGAACAGAAATGTATTGTCCATAGAGATCTGGCTGCTAGAAACGTATTGGTTTCAAAAAACCATAACGTGTTTAAGCTTAGCGATTTTGGAATGGCAATCATTTTAAATAAGAATTTCTTCAAAACAAATGGTTAGAAATTGGTTAAATATAATTCAATAAATAGCGTAATAATTAGAGACGCCTGGTTCTGCTGTTGTAATGGCTGGCTTCGAATGTAAAGAGATCCCCGCTATTATCATTTTACGATGTTTCTGATGCCTGGTTCTCACGCGTATTCTCAAACGTCGTTGAAACCTCTGAAGCAGGTGCACAAAAGATTGACCTTTAACATTTTAAACACAGTTTGTTCTATTCCTGTTCGTTGGGCCGCACCTGAAATTTTATCATCCGGGAAGTACCATTTGAAGTCAGATGTGTGGTCATTTGGCATTTTCCTAGTAGAATTATTCACATACGGAAACGAGCCATACGATGGTAACTAAGGACGACAATAATTACAATCATTTGTATTAGCTCAACCATAATTAATTAATAAAAACCCAGATTGGAACTTACAAGAAGTGAGAGAAGGCGTTTTGAACGGTTCAAAACACCGACAACCACGAAGCTGCCCCGATCAAATTTACGTCATCATGTCAAGCTGCTGGTGCCTGAAACACACGAACAGACCATCTTTCGACGAACTCAACAATTCCTTAGAGACTTTCAAAAAAAGTTTCGGAATTTATTTGACCACAAGTGTTTTATTGTAAATTTAACAACAAAAATGTTGAGGTTATATTTAAAAATTGTTTTAATTGCATAAAAGTTGCTCATATGTATACGATAAAATTATATGATAAAAATAATTTAATATCTTATAAATGAATTCGTAAATGTGATACTTGTAATATAGGACTGTAATTATTGTATTATTTTGTAATTATAATTATTTTATTATTTTGATTTTTCGTCAGCTTTCAAATCATTATCTAATGTTATCAACTGACCTGTTACAAAAATTTAGCTATACAAACTGATGATCTATATATAAAATACATCTTTTAACGAAATGTGCTGGCCATATATATAAAGTATATATATTATATATATATATATATGTTGTGCTGGATATATGGTGGCACTGTTCATTGCTATCTCTTGTTTTAGTCGAAACTGTTAAAATTTTACTACTAATAATTTAACTGACTAAAAAAATACAAAACAGAAACATTAATTAACTCTATTAAAGTACATTTTCAGCTTTGATCAGTTTCTAATTCCATTTTTCAATATTTCGTATCGCATTTTTATATATAAAACAAAGTTCGTAACTAATCTTTAATTCATTATTATCCAAATTTTACCTTATATACCTTATACGGAAAAAGCATTTTTTGGTTAATTCTTCACCATTTCAATGTAGTAGATTATCAAACCATGCATCTAATATTTAATATTAATTATATTTTTGTTTCAAAAATGAATTTGAAAATATAAACTGAGATTATAATATTAAGCGCCACACTATTATTTAGCATCTCTTATTAAATATGCCTCATTAATTCAAAATTCGGTTTATTATTTTTAAATATTTTATTTTATTGCTCTTTTTTTAATTCGTTCTGTTTACGAAGAATGAGATGAATAAGAAACAAGTTGTGAGTTTTTAAATTTTCTGCTTCATCATCTTGCAAAATATTAATTTCATCAGTTTGTTTTCCATATTTCATTTCATCAACAAAATCAATTGATGGATTTTTTTTATTTAAAATTTGAAATAATTCCAAATGTTGATTACTGGCAAACGAACAATGTTGAATTGAACGCGACCAGGACCTCAACGGATCATGCCTGGAAATGGCGTTGGAAGGGGAACGGCTTTGCAGAATCGGTGAATGCGAGTTAGGGATTCAATATTTGGAAGCAGCTGTGAATGTAGGAACCAATGATTTAAAAACACTCAGTGCTATATACAGCCAACTCGGCAACGCATATTTCGTACTGCAAGATTATGCTAAATCATTAGAATATCATACTCATGATTTGAATTTAGCCAGGTAAAAGTGATAAAAACACACCTTTTTTTAACTTTTTTTTATTTTATTTTGTTCTTTTTTTATTTATTTTATTTATATTTAATAATTATTATTAACCAACCAGATTTTTATTAAAATTAAAGACAACTTTTTTATTTTTAAGATCAACTGGAGACAGACAAGAAGAGGCAAAAGCTAGTGGTAATATAGGTAACACTTTAAAAGTTTTGGAGAAATATGAAGAAGCGTTTGCTTGTTGTCAGAGACATCTCGATATATCACGAGAATTAAATGATAAGGTATCACATTGCTTATTACATGAATTGATTATTATTTATAAATAAATGATGCTTCAATTTATCAGAAATGTTGATTCATTATGATTATATAAATACATTATGTTTAATTCATTTAAAAAGGCAAATGAAGCAAAAGCCCTGTATAACCTTGGTAATGTTTTTCACACAAAAGGCAAACAACTTGGCAAGGCAAGCAGACGAGATCCTGGGGAATACCCAACTGAAAGTAGAGAAGCACTTGAGACGGCCATTCGATATTATGAGTTTGTTTCTTAGATTTTTGTTTTGATATTTGTCATAATATTCAATTCATTATAATTGTTGTGACAACAATTGCAAATTTTTTAGGGCTAACTTAGCACTCATCAGGGAAATGAATGATAAGGCCTCAATGGGTCGAACGTTTGGCAACCTTGGAAACACTCATTATTTACTAGGAAGTTTTCGCAGAGCTATCAGCTATCATGAAGAGGTTAGTTTACTTTTCAATATTTTATAATTTTTTAGAAATCATTTTGGTGCCTAGGCTCTTAAAAGAAGTTTTCAAATTATTTGAAACTTATGAAAATTTAATTTAAGATGTTTGCCACCTCTTGTCTATTTACTTATTGACAGTTTAATAAATCAAATATGTAGAGACTGACTGTGGCCCAAGAATTTGGAGACAAATCTGCTGAGAGAAGAGCATGCAACAATTTGGGCAATGCTTACATGTTTCTGGGAGAATTCAAAACTGCTGCTGAACTATATAAGTTACTATTGTTAATTGAAATGGTTCATTACTTCATTTATTACTGCATCTCTTCGTGTGCCTTTACTGTTTCCAATTTCAGTTCACATTCTTCTTTGCATAGTCAATTTAATTTAGGGCGGGCCTAATTTTTAGTAATTTACTTAAAATTAAATAACGTTTTTTTCTTCCCTATTTTTCTTTTTTTCTTTAGACTGACTAATGAATGCATCTTTATTGTTTAAACATTCAGTTGCTAATCTCAATCTGTTCCTTAATTTTATAAAATAAACTTTTTTGTTTTTACTTAAACACAAACTTTTTTATATGTCATCAGCCTTCTTTAAACTCTATGGTACTATTTATTTTGCCTCTACACTGAAGTTTCCTTTATTTGCTACCACCTTATGACTGGTGAATTCCTGAACAGATTCTATCTATGCCTGATTGAAACATCTCCATGTAGGTTGATAAATAAAGTCTTTCACTGGCAAATTATCATTGAAACTATTTTTCTAAACTGATCACAGCGCAAAAACTTTTATTGTCGTAATTAAATTTATTTTAACTTAATTATTTGTTCATTTAAATTATTTTTTAATTAACATTTTAAAATTTGTATAAAAATTATTATCTAGAAAAACGTTAGATTTGGCTTGCATGATGAATGATAGAGCATTAGAAGCACAAGCATGCTACAGTCTTGGCAACACATACACCTTGCTGCACCAGTATGAACTGGCCATAGAGTACCACTTGAGACACCTGAGGATTGCCCAGGAATTGAAGGACCAGCTGGGAGAAGGCAAGGCCTGTTGGAGTCTGTCAAATGTCTATGCCAGTACTAAAAATGCTGATATGGCCATATCCTATGCTAAAAAACATTTAGATATTTCAAAAGAGGTGAGTATTTTGGTTATTGCATCAGTCTATATTGTAACATTTCATGTAACTAATAAATTTTGAAATTTCAGGTTGAGGACTCCAATGGTTATGCGCTTGCCCAAGTGAATTTGTCAAAATTGAGGGCATTGGTGAATACCTGGGATGATTCAAGCTTCAAAAGAACCAACAGGTTTCATGAACTACAAACAAATCATCTAATTGATTATTTTAGTTGATAAGTGGTCTATACTATAATAATTTGTTATATATGATGTGCCATTTCACATTTCTACATTAAAAATTGAGTTCATGTTCCACTGAAGCTCTACATATGACGCTATATAAATTTTTAAAAAATAAAAAATTTTGAAGTTGTAGCTTGTAGCCTTGTAGGTGCTATAAATTTGTATATTCAAAAGTAATTACTAGTTTATCTCTTAACTTTGCAATAGCTACAGAGACAAGACAGAAACAACAAGAGAAGAGGACACTTATTCTGTTGGCAGCAGATCTAGAAGAAGGAGCATGGAGAACCTAGAACTTGTCCAATTAACTCCTGATAAAGTTTGTTGATAAGATAATTTTTTGTTTTTAAATTTTTGTTCTGGTATGTTCGATTTGATAAACAATACTTGTAAATTTACAGCTTGCAAATTTTTTCGACAAGTTGGCTGTTTCTCATTTGTTGTCCCCAATGATCATTGCTATTTTATTCTGCAATCAGAATTGCAGTATTTTTAACATGGTAATTTTAAGAGCAGTTTAACGTGAATCACACAGAGCAAATCACTGTTTCGAACACCAGACATTTCAATGTGGAAAAGGCAGTTCAAATCATCAAAAAGTATGAATGAGAGTAAGAAGTACAAACCAAATAAGGTTCCTGTATGCACAATGTTAAACACTTTTTTAACAGTATCTCTATAAGTCATATTATCTTGTATAGTTTACTGAATAATGAAATATGAATAATAAAATAATGAAATATACATTATTTAAATTGAGTTGATCAAACGAAGATACGTTTCAACTCAATCCAGTTATATTAAAAATAATATTTATTTAAACGTCCAAAAACCAGAAGCAGTTGTCGATGGATTCTGAGGAGGAGAACTTTTTTGACCTGCTAAGTCGTTTTCAGAGCCGGCGCATTGATGACCAACGCTGCAGTTCCAGTGTTTTGGCAGGAACACGTCTGGTGGCATCATCGAACAGCAAGCACTCTTTATCATCAGAGTATGAAGATGACGACAAGGAAAATCATCATCTTGCAGCTGGTTTATAATAATTCACTGAAGTTTTTTTAGATTAGAATTAAAACGTGAATTTTGTTAGATTTTGATAACCATTGTTTGAGATATTCCGTGGTCCACAAGTTAGTTCATTGGTTATGACAAATCAACATAAATGCTTCTCTTGTTTACAATCAGATAGGAGCAACATATTCCTTTAGTTATTCATTGGTTTATTTATTTTGCAGCACGTGGGACTAATTTGAACAACAACAACAGCAGTCGACATGTTGATTTGGAGGAAGAGTTTCTTGACATGATTGCTGGCATCCAGGGATCACGCATGAATGATCAGAGAGCTGAATTCAGAGGCTTCCTACCTCCACCACATCCTGGCAAACGATTTGGAGGGATGAGTTCTCAATATGCAAGATCATCACCCAGTCATTCATTGGGTGGTGGTTCAGTGGCATCTGGTGGCACGGAAGCAACAACCTCCTCAGATGATCAGTTCTTTGAAATGCTCATGAGATGCCAGGTATGCTCCTCTTTCATAAATCAAAATCTTATTTTTAAGTTTATTTATTTTTGCACTTTTTACATATTTTATTTTCAGGCTTATGCATTGATATATTCAAATAATTATTAATACATTCGAAACTATTAATGACTGATAGGGAGCCAGGTTGGATAACCAACGTACAGTTATGCCGAGCAGCCGAACCATACACTCAGCCCCCACTGTACCTGATGAAGATTTCTTGAATCTCCTGCAAAGATTTCAATGCAGTCGATTGGACGAACAACGATCTAGACTCCCCACAATTGATCTTCAGATTGTTTGTAACTCTGTAAAAAACAATCAGTGAATAATGTCATCATTTTCGTCTCAGAGATATTATACAAATGAATCTTCATTGAAATCTGTAGTTTCCAGCTGGCGGTACTTATTTCCGAACTGTTGTTTCAAGTTTGTATCTAGAGCAGATCATTTTAACAAGTAGATCAGCTTGCTCTAAATCATTTGATGGTTGATGCGAGTATCATGGTATAATACATCAAGTGTTTTGTCCATTGGGAAGATCACGTTTCACGTGAAAATTTCATTCAAGTTATTTAATGTTAGGCTGATAAGATTTTTTTCATGATATCAAATTAAGCTACGTGGTTAAGTGTTGTGATTGTGTGTTTTATTATCTAATCATTTAATGATTTTATTACATCTCTTATACTTACTTAATTTAAATGATTGTCTAAATGTGATTATTCATTTCGCTGAGTCTTCAGAGGTATCCTTAAATGAATTGATAATTAATTTTTCTACATACAAGAACTTCATTTAAAAATTTTATAATCTAATTAAAAACATGAGACTCTATTGAGTCAATAAATTGTACAAATATGGGACGTCAACTGTTATTTTATTTCACCAAGTTGAAACAATTAAACGCCGTGGAACAAATGTTCTTAATTTATTCTGATATATATATAAATATATTATATAAATATATATATATATATGTGTGTATATATAACTAATATTAAAGATACATGGATATACTAAGCTAAAAAATTATCTGGAATATGATAAGTGAATGTATATATTAAATTTAACTAAGTAAAACTTCACGTTGAATTATATTAATTTTATCTCATTTTCTGTGAATTTTATTTTCAATGAAACGTTAATTAACAGCTTGTTTAGATTTAACATTAACATGTTATCTTAACATATACGTACACCTTTAAAATCATATGTATATTAAGAATATCCAGTATTTATTCGCCAGAAATGTGTTAATGACTTGTGAAGATTCTAATTGCGTTTTACGTTTTATCTTTTTATTATATTCGTAAGTACTTACATACGTATACATATATACATACATATTTAAATGTGCGTTCGTGTGTGTGCGTCTACGTATAAGGTACCCACAAATATTAATTTTTACGATGTATTTAGCTTAAGGAGGCAAATTAATTGTATTCCGAAAATTGTGTGCGCCAATGACTTGTTCTCCTTTTGATAAATGATTATTTTTGTGAAGAAAACTTGTATTATTTAATTTTATTGGACTATCTGTTCCATACAAAATATAAAATGACAACCAAACTGGAACAACAACTTCAACGAACCGACATGAAAATGCTCCGATGGATGCAACGAATTAGTCTGTAGGACCACATCAAATCTACCGAAATCCTGCGTCGTGCTGGTTTAGATGATATAAAGGACGAATGCCGGCAACGCCGTCTGCGGTGGTTTGGTCATGTCAAACGAAGTGGAAACAGTGCCATAACTTCTCTTGCAGATGTTGAAGTACCTGGCACACGTCCCAAAGGCCGTCCAAAGAAGTCCTGGTCGCAAACAATCGAGCAAGACACGAAAGCTCTAAATTTAAATGAAGTGGATACAACTGATCGTCTAATTTGGCGCAAAAAGTTGATGGCAAAGAAAACAACGTCCTACCTCAGGAAACCGGGTCTCTGGACGCAAAACGAAGATTGATTGATATCTGTTCCATAACAGATGGAGATTATAAACGAGGATTGATTGATATCTGTTCCAATAGCTAGGGAATCAGGTTGAGTTTCTTCCGAGTTGAGAATTTACAGAATAAAAAATGGAGAAGCTACCAAAAAATCTCTAGCCTGTTTAAGCAATGGGCACTCTTGAATAAATCATGTCACGCAAGGCTAAGGGACATCTTAAATGTACATGACTATAGTTTTCTGAAAATATATTGTGGCACCACCATGGATATATATATAATATCCATGGGCACCACTCGGCATTTTTCTATATCTCGTAAAATTTGTATGCATGAGGTTGTTTTATATGATTGATTAAAACAAAATATCAAAATTTCAAATACATTTTGCACGTCATATAAGCCAACTAAATTGAAATAAATTTAAAATAGAAAAACTGAAAGAAAAAATAGAACAATGTACATGAATGCAGAGCATGTTTCTGACTTTTTTTGTGATATTTTTGTGCTTTAGTTCAATTTTATGAACATTCATCATAAGAAACAAATTATTTATATTAAAAGCAAGTATGCACTCACATTACATTAAACAATTACTCAGTGGTATCAAATTTATTGAACAGGCTTTATTTATACTGCCAATCTCTCAGATAATATAAATTAAATTGCGATCACAAATTATCCAAAAAATTACTTAAATTAAAAGATGAAAATTGCGAAAGATATGAAAACATGAAGTTCAAACAAAACAGAATCATTCATATTGTTTATTACGCCAGTCCTCACTTTTCCTCACACCATTCATTTTCACGTCTGACCTGCAATAATTAAATTTTATTAAATATAAAATTTATGGAAATCAAAGAAAAAAACAGGAGAAAAGGAAAACGTTTTAAATAGGCACTAACTTGTTCCTCTTCTGCAGCGGTAAAATCATTCTTTATATTAAAGGTTTTTCTGATTTCTTCTGGGGTTTTACCCTTAATCATGTTAGCCACAGTTTTGCAAGTAACATCAAGCAGCCCTTTGATGTCTAGATAGTTTGCAGCCTGAAATGACGTTAAGTTAAATATTAGTGAAGAAAAATAAATTTAAACTGATGAAACTTACCAGGATCAGTTCGAATAATGTTCCCTGGTCCACTTTGAGAAATTCTTGGTCCCATGAACATATGTCATCAGTTCTCTTGTCCTTGGCATCATCATCATCAGGGGTTGGTGGATCATCTTTATGATAAGTACACCACTGAATGACCCTCTTTAAAATGCTGCCATTCACATTGGGCAGGGGCACTGGTTCTTCATCCGAATCATCAGTTACCAAATCTGTGTTTGCATAAACAAATTTTCTTTTACTTTAAACCGAAATTCATCACTAAAAATCAGGTTCCTCTAACAGTCTAACTACCTTAACTATGGCCTACCTACTGCTATTCTTTAACTAAGCTTAAATCTTAAACTTAAATGGTATATTCATTTCATAATTAATTTATTAAATTTTTTTATATTATTTTAATAGCCACAAAATTATATTTGTCACACCTCCCCAAAAAAACGAAACTTTTACCTTCCAGCATGGTTTTTATCATGACCGACTGCTTGGCAATCTCAATGTCCACCGGGAAGATGTCGTTGTCTGAGCTCTGTAGCTTGATCTGGGGCATCTAGTATAAATTAAATATGAAATAAAATAAATTAATAAAATGACTAGGAGTATGCTCCAGAGATTAAAAAAAAATGGTGAACAAGTTAACAAAATTGACAAATAAATGAATAAAAAAATAATAATATACCTTAGCTTTCTAGAAAGTTTTTTTGCAGAAAGAATCGAAAATTAAGACGAACGTCAAACACAAAATACGCTTAATAAGTTGTGGTCCTGGAACACAGAAAATAAAAATCGATAAAAAAAAGCATGAATAAGTTAGGTAATAAATTATGTGAGTTTCATTTTCTATGAAATTTCTGTTTTTGGTGATTAATTGATAATTATTTAACAAATTCACATATCACTTTGTTTAATTTTAAATACATATGATATTTTGATTAAATTATAAAAAATTTCAAGCAGATTGTTACAAGTTGAAACTTTTTATCAACAAGTAATAATAAAAATAACAATGTTAAAGAATAAATTTGTTAACACGTATTTTTAAAGTTAAATTTAACAATTTTACTCTGGTCAGAAAACTTATCGAAATAACTATCTATATAACTTTCTTTGTTTCTTCTTTCTAAGTCTATGTTGTCAAAATGGATCTAGCAAGTTTTCTTCAAAAACTTGAAAATAATTTGAAATCAGCGATAGGCAGCACGGAGACAGACAAGATGAATTTCTATCACTTGTGCAACACGGTCAGTTGTTTAATTTTTAAGTTCTATAGCGGCCACACGACATTGAATATTAACATAATTTGTTGTCCTGCAGCTAACACTGAAATTCATATCCAGCCACAAAGTGAACTACATAGAGAAGCTGCAGGGTCTGGTGGTGGCCTTCATCGTCTACAGCAAGATGAGGACCCAGCAGCTCGCCAGGAAGAATCTCATCATCGCCATGAACTACCTAACCAATTTGGCTGTGTAAGTCCTCTGCTTGTTTAACTGTTTATTATGTTATTTTGTAATAAATTTATTAATTTTTAATTTAATTTAATTTTAATAATTAACCATAATAATTGAAATCCTGAACATAACTACACAACAACACGACTAATGAATCTTTTAATATGCCCTAGGTCTGGAAAAAAGATTTTTTTTTTTCTTTTCATAAATTAAATTATTAAAGTAATCTTTCACCTTGTTTAAGTTTTGTTTTCTTTAACAGTGTTTTTAATTTTATTTATTTATCTCTTTAATGATTATATAAATTAATTAATGGATTAATTAAATATGTTAAAATACTTTTTCTGACTATAAGATTTTTCTATCAGATTTTTGTTTTCATTGAAAATCAATGCTATTATATTTTTCTTCATTTTAGTGAAACAGGAAGATTGGTGTTGGGATACGAGTACACTACATTAGCCACGGATAGCCCAACAAAATCTGCCCTGCTTAGCACTATCTCTAACTTGGAGATATTGTTGGAGTCTATATATGATGAATGGAAACTTCTCACTTCACTTCACCATTTGATAAAATCTGGTTGGAATCATGACATGCTCATCAAGCTTATAAATGGAGACCCGGTTTCAGATGAAGAAGGTTTTTCTTCCCTTTTGATGCATTTGTATTATGTTACTTGCTGATTATTAATGAACCGCAAAAACATTGTAAACATGAGCATGCAAATTACTACTTCGTAGGCCTAACCTACTTGAAAAAGGAAGAACACCCACGATTGCTGCGTCTGAGGTTGGACCTGTTGATGTCACACAATTGTCCGGAGTATGCATCCAATTTTCTTCTTTGGTTGTTGAAATGTGATGAAACGAAGGATGATCCATATCTCATGTACTTGCGTTTGTCACACCTTTGTATCACTGGACAGCTGGATGAGTTCTATAAGAAGGTCTCGGTCATTTCATTCTTACTTCTTTTCACTCTTTCTTTCTCTCTGTCTCTCTCAATAAAAATTTTTTGCCTCTCAATGCAAATAACAACAAAATTGAATTAACATGAGTGAATGCTGTTGCAGTGCATGGATCTGTCATGTGTGACGGCCTGCAAAGTGATGACAAACAGTCTTATCCACCCTCATCATTGCTTCTCGACATCGTGCACATCACTCCTTCTCTCAAGAGTTCTTGTCAACATGACGGTTATTCATGATGAATACTTCTGCAATAAGGTTTGTTTCTTTAATTTTAATTCTATGTATGTTCATGTGTTCAAACATTTTTGGTCATCCAAACATTTTTTTACTTAACCAAATTTCCTTGTAAGAAGCAAATTTTTCAGTTTCTTTTTTTTCTGGCACATTTAAAAAAAAAGAGTTTTTATCAAAAGATTATAATAAAAAATGTTGATGATTAGATGGATAGATAAATAAATAGATGGATAAACATAAGGCAAGCAAATTAGATGGAAAAGCAGGCATTTTATGCATACTGTTTTTGAAAATGACTATTTTGTTTACACATCATGTTTAAGTGCATGTAGTAAAGTTGTTAAAAGTTTGTTGTGAAATTTTATATTGCTTCTGCTATTTGTTTAAAGAATATTGTAATATTTTACATTCTTTGTCAATTTTCTCACTGATCTTCTAATTTAGAAACAATTATGCAAATCAAAATTTAATAAAAAGGTGAATGTGTGGTTTTTAAATTGATGGTTACCAACTATTTTTAAGCAGGTTTTTGATTCGTTCAGTTAATATATAAATAAAGTGAAAATTGTGTATTTCTTGTCAGGCTATTCAATATATAATCTCATTGCTTCATTGTAACAGGACATTATGAAGTTTTGGGTGAAGACAGAACATTTGTATTCAAAGGGCAACCACAGTATCTTCATGAAAAATATAAACGAATATGCAAGGGCTGTCAAAGAGCCAAAGTTCATTGTCAATCTGGTTGAAATTCTTCATCAAGAAGTTTGTCATTACTTTCAAAATCTCACTTTTCATAACGACAATTCATTATCATTAATAATAAACTGAGAATTACTTTAGAGAGGATTATTAATTAACTTAAAATTGCTTTGAAGAGAGAAAAGAGAGAATCTTTTTTACTTTTAATATTTATTAAATATAATTTTAGTTGTTCAGACAGCAAAATTTATGATCAATAAGTTGATGATTGGCTTTTCATTTATACTCTCAGTACCAGAAGCAGTACACCTCATTATGTACAACATTGATCATGAGAGCACTGGTCATATCTCGCCACGCTTATGACAAAGCTCGTTTGTACCTGCCCGAAACATTCAGCAACCAATCAGCTCTGAGATGCATGCTGGCACTCCTGCACCTTCTCGAAAAGTTGTACTGCGACAATATGCTCATTAGAGTTGTTAGTTCATAGTCTGCTTTTCTTTTTAAAATTTTCATTTCACGATCACTATTTGTTCCCATCAATTTAATCAATTGGATTTGTTTGTAAACTGTTTTAAATTTTCATCTACAGTGCATCTCTAATCACAATAAAAAGATAACTTCATTGCTTTAAAGATATTGTTTACTTAATTAATTTAATTCTTTGATGTTTGCTTTCCATTGCAGTATTGCCAGTTGTCCAACTTAACACTCATGCCTTGCGATGCAATTTATTTTGCAGTAGAAAAAACATGCACAGAGCTACAAATCCGATACAACATCAAAAACAACATCGAATCATTTAATCTCGTCAATGGACAACTGGTATCTACCTTCATCAAAACGCCAGTTGAGAAATCTTTGTACAATCTACTGAAGAATTATGTTGACCGGTTCAACCACAAAAGACCCTGGCTGTGGAATGAGAGCATGAAGTCATCCATGTTGGCCCTCATGTCCGATGCAGGATGGATATTCGATGCCATATTGAAAAGGTTCAGAAGGACTAGAGTACCTTCTGCTCTCATGGTTGTAGCTGCAAACACTACTCACAACACAAACGCCACCAACAACACCAACGGAATGCTCGTGAATGTAGCTGCCACCAGAAGTAGAAGTGTCAATGGTGTGAGGAACCACCGCAAAGTTAAAAATAAACGAAGGGTCTTCAAAGAAACAGATCTGACGTATAATCCATCAAAGTCAATGAGTAGGAAAAGAAGGAAGACCAGAAGAACATCGAGAAGTACAAGTAAGAAGAAGAGGAGGTTCAAGATGGTGGACGAAAGTGATGATGAAGACGACGATGGGGATGGCTATGGAAGGACAACAAGCAGGTCAAAGAAAAATAAAAACGCAGGTGAAGGTGGTGATGGAGATGATGGGAAAGATGTGAGTGATCGAGATGAAGATTTGAGCGATACAGACATAGACAAGACAGACAGTGATATGAATGAAACAGAATTAGATGACGTGCTAAGCAAAGATGAAGATGACAACGATAACAACAATGATGATGATAATTTTGTAAGTAATTCTGTAACCATTAAAAGTGAACCAATCACAGAAGAGAGAAAAGTAGAAATTGCTAGCACTACACACTCTATGGTCTTGAGAAATGGTAAGGTTCCAATCTGCAACATTACAAATGGAGAAACAGTTGTGGAAAAAAAGGAAACAACATTAAAGAGTGAATGTCTCAAATCATCATTATCGTCGCCTAGAGTTCGTTTGACGAGGATAAATGATGATAATGCCACAAGCAAAATTGATAATGACAACATATGTCAAAATGAAAATGATGTCAATAATAATCAAAACGTAAACGTTAACGACGACAACAACAATATGAATGCAGAAAGAAATGATGACACTATGGAATGCGATGATAACGTCCAGTGCATCAGTGGATCAGCAGATCATCAAACTCATAACTCTCCCAACATCAACATTAATAACAACAGCAACAACAATGTTAATGAAGCCACATTTAATGATGACCACATAAATAATAATAATAACACTGGCAATAATAACGTTAGTGAAGTCACATCATCATCACCATCATCATCGATAACAACAACATCCGACCAGAGGCAAGAAGAGATTAGATCATCTAGTCAAATGATTGATGAGGGTGTGGCCGTTCGTGAGGCTGGCGGTCGGGGCGAGTGTGTAGCTGGCGACAATACTCAGACGATTAATGACAACAATAATGACAATGTGTGCAAACTACTGAACTGATTTACACGTTAAATTTTAAGTTATGCATGCTCGCATATACTTATATGTATACATATAAGTATATAATTATATATATATATATATATATATATATATATATATATATACGATCGTTCAATGAAATACAGAACCCATATATATGTATATATATATTTATATATACATACATATATAGTTGTAATCATACAATTATACGATATATTTTTAATGTTACTCTTAATGAAAGCACGTACTAGACGGCTGAGCGTATGCATATAGTATATCAATATATCACATACCTAATGTCACTATAAGTATGCACTAGGTCTTCAGTTTAAATGGTCTGAACTCGTTTTCGGCATTCTACTGACGTTATGCAACTTAATGAGTGACTTTTAAAGTTTAGAGCCACTGCAGTGTTATTAAAGAGAGATACATTTACGTACGCACTTCTGTATGTTGGAGCATAGGCGTGTTTGAGTGTGTGTGTGTGTGCCGGCACCTGTACCAAACGTTTTGAATGTAAACGGTGCTTCTTAATTATCATTGTGAACCATCAAGTAACATGTTTTGCTATTTCTTTTTTTTACTTTCAATTTTTGAAATTCTCCTTAATTTGATGTCAGATTTTTAAACAAATTTTATAATTTAAGTCACCTTAGAATTATCATGAATGTTTGCAACGCACGTTCATATTAATACCTAATTTTTTCAATTTATTTTAATTGTTTTTATCAGACTTATTTATTTTTAACGTTAATAAATTTGACTTTGTTTTTCATAAATGTTTTAACTACTTACTAACAAGGTTGCAATAGATAAGTATGTACACGAAAATATTGAACAATTATTCAGAGCAAATTAGCACAAAACAATGATGAAAAATCAGTTAGCGGAGGACGTGGTTGATTTGAGTGCTTGATTAAGAGGATTTTCTGCTGATTTGTTCCAATCTTTCCTTAGGAGCTGTTTCAATTGGGAGAGTCTGAGGTTTGGATTTTCGGCTTTAAGGATTGGTAGATATTTTTCTTCAAAGGCCAGGTACGCTGCTTTCATGCGTTTCTCAGGATGGGCATCAGCTTCTAGCTCTGTTGAACTGGTAAGGAATTAATCATTTAATTGTGAACAAAAATATTTGCACTGTTGGTGAATAATTTTCGCTCTATGAGTACATTTTCTAATAAATTATTTTCAACTTGTTTCAGAGAATGAAGAAACCAAAATGTTATTTTAAGCTTATAAGATTAATGAATTTATATTGATAAATAAATTCAGAAATTAATGTATGAATGAAATAATGATATAGAAATAATGTAAACAGAGGTTGGGTTTGATTTACATAAAACAAAATGATCTATATATACCCAATTATATTACATGAATTTTTGAAAAAAATAAAATGGACTACGAGAAAATTATGGTCCTAGAGGTAACTTTAATTCAACTGTGGACAAGAACTTGATAGTGCTAGTATTAAAATACTTAATTTGTTAAATTAGGAATGTATGGATGCTTTAAATTGAGGAAACATCTTACTTCAGCAGATTGATAGCATCCTCCACTGTCCTGGCAACTTCTCCTTCAATCACAATTTTGTTCAAATTTTCTTCTAGTGGTTCCTCTTTTGGTTGTAGTTTCGCTGTTGATGCTGCTGTTACCAAATCAATAACAGGAAATAACAGGATAATGAAATAATGAAATACTAATTAATTCTTTCAACACAGACTAAATTAGTGTTTTGGTTTGAAATAAACTTCATTTTGTCAAATATTTGTAACATATTCATTGATAATCAGTAGGTAACATGACAAAATAGAAAAACTGGACAAAACCTTTTGGAACATCTCCCAAACTAGAAACAGCAATAAATTACAAAATCTTACATATTTGTTGATGATTGGAGATGTACATGCTTAATCTTACTGATTAATAAACAGCTTCAAAAAGGCTATTTACAATGCTAATTTATTTTTGTACATAAAAGTTCTTGTCAAAAATATACTTGAGCTATAACAGATGAGCATTTTAGATCACTACCCCACATAATAGTAAACCAAATATTACTTTTTGTAGATGCATTAATAGCTTCTTTGTGCATTTCAACTTGAGTTCTTGTTAATTTAGATGGCTGTTGATTTTTTGCTGAAATTTTAGCAAGAGAAGCCATTTCTTCATCTGCAAGTTTTTGTAACTCTTTTTTCTTTTCTAACTGCTCTGACTTTTTTTTATCTTTTTCTTCCTAAGTAATTGACCATTTAAAAAAAGTAATTAGTAGTGGATAATATTAATTATTATTACATTTAAAAATCTTTTTAAAAAATAAATTAATAAAAAAAATTAAATTTATCAGTTAAAATGTCCTTATTTCATGGCACATGAAAAAATAGAATTAAGCGCCGATAAAAACCTTTCTTTGAAGTTTTTTCATGACATGTTTGTCATCATCCTTCCAGTATTCATCTTCCAATTGTTGTTTCTTCTTAAGGTCTTGTTCTTCTTTTATTGCTGTTTTTCTTGCTTTTGCTTCGGCGGCTTTAGAATTTTCCCCTTGAAATTTTTTCGGCATAATTCACCAAATAAAACAAACCTAGTAATAATTAAACCTTAAGAAGAAGTCGCATTCAACTTAACGGAAAGTTACTATAATTTCAATCTACTTTTCTCTTATTTAAAAGTTTTATTTAGGTCTTTGTTTTATGGAAAGTAAAAAGTAGTGATTGTCATATAAAAAGTGTTGTAATTCTAATCATATGTGTTGTTCACATATACACTTATAATGTTGTTCATACGTTCAATTTTGTTTCCTTGCAATGCAAGAGTAGATCGAATTTCGTATACTTGTAATTCGTTTAAATTTAAACTTTAACAAATTTTTGTTTTAAAATAGAAGAGTTGATCAACAAATTCCATGAGGTTGACCAAAACCCGTACTTGCTTGCTTATTGTCAAAAAAAAACGCAAAAAATATTCTTTTTCAGAATCATTTTCTAATTAATTCTATTCGTTAGATTCATTATCAATAACGTTTTTTCAATTTATTTGTTAATAGCTACCTAGTTTGTAATCGCAAAATCAACTAACGAAATATAGTCAAGTAATTGATCGAAAAAACACGTTTTATATCAACAATTCACAATATAAAATAGAAATTAAAATATTAAATATAAATTTTAAATCACACACGTACGCAAACATTTAAAATCAAATGAAAACTATTTTGAAAAAAGGTATTTTTCAACTTGTCGACGAGCCCTTTTGATTCTAAAATCTTTTTCCCTAAAACTGTTCAAACAAGCTTCATGAACTGCCCAGTAAAATCCTCTACCACCTTTTATTCTTCGACTCTTGACAAAAAATTCATAATGGGACAAGGTATGTCTGACGTTGTTTTTCCATTTTTCATCCGTCATTTGACCATATATGTTGCTGTTTTCTTTGATGTAGCGGCAAATATTAGCTAAGTTCATTTTATTATCAGATGAACTAAGAATTGCAGATGCAATTAATGGTACAAGTGCTTCTCTTGGTTTTTTTTCAGCTTTTTGAGACGGTTGAGAATGCTGTTGGAGGCTTGAACTGTTTGAACTATCATAAACGTCGTTGAAAAAATTTGAGTCGTTTGGATACAAATTATTATCGTTGAAATAACCACTTTGGTAAGCGTTTCCAGAATACATTTGCATACCAGACCCTTCAAAACTTGTGTTTGAACACGAAATTGGTCTGTTAGCGGTCATTTCACAATTTTGTCCCATGCAATATTGGGGACACCACACTTTTTGCTGATTTTTTGCAAGCACCACATCATCGAAATTCGGTGTTTGGTTCGGTTCGTAAAAACGTCTCAAATGTTGAATATTTTTGTAATCATCTTCTGAATAATCGCAGTAAAGATTTTTGTAAGGATTACACCTCTGCATGAAGTTTGCGTTGCGTGTTTGGTTTTGATTATTAAACGATGATGAATAGTTGTAGCCCACAGTATCAAAATTTCCATCATTCCAATTGTTATTTACACAGTTGGGGTTTGAAGGAAAATTTTTGCCAACGCAGTTATTCATCGCTGAATTTACTGGAAAGTTTCCTTTATCCCAACCGTTCATTTCTTGATTTAAATGTACGTTTCCATTGTCCCAGTTGTTCATAACTGGGTTTGTGGCGGCTTTTCCATTATTATTCCAATTGTTCATGTCTGGATTAAAGGGTACGTTTCTATTATTCCAATTGTTCATTTCCGGATTGCTAGGGAATTTTCCATTATCCCAATTGTTCATTATTGGGTCTATAGGATGATTTCTGTTGTCCCAATAGTTCGTTATAAGGTTTGTAGAAAATATTCCATTATCGTAATTGGAATTTGATTTCCAATTACAATTTGACTGCGATTGATTGGTGGTTACATGGTTATTGTTGAATTTGTGACACGAATTGTCGTTATTCATTTTTCGATATTCTAAATGAACAGAAATTTGTTGTATTTTTAATAATCGGTGGTTAAATTAGTAATGGAAGTTTGACAACAATGATAAACTTGAGTGTTCTCAATCCTTTAAATACTTCTCCAATATAAAGCATCATGAGTAATTAATTACCCTTTGATTATGATCAGTGTCAATTCTGTTTGACATTTACCTGTCAGAAGGCGGCGACAACTTTGTTCGTACAGAGAAACACGCATCATCCTCTTACGTAATTCATCATACATTTCCTACTTTCATGTCACAAATCTCTATTTATATTAATATTTGTGCTATTATGAATATTGAAAATAATAATTTTGCTAATGATACTACTACTAATAATAATAGCAATGATTACACTGATAGAGATAACACATACTGCTGAATACTAAAACCTTCAGGTTGATTATTATTAAAGGTTGTTATATTATAAATTATATATTATCATTATATATAATGTATAATAATAATAATGACGAATGCTCCATCTTTCTCGTGATATATATATATATATATATATATATATATATATATATATATATATAATATACATATATATAATATGCGTTGTACCGATAAATTGTACATAAGCATCTGTATATTTGTGTGTGTGTATGTGTATATGTATGTGTGTGAGTGCGTGCGTGCGTACATATATATAAAGATGTATGTGTGCGTGTGTGTGTGTGCAATTTTTTGACTTAGCATAATCACTATCATGATAAACAATGAAAAAATTACTATCCATCTCACTCGTTGCGTAATATTGATATAATAAACAATATGGCCATCAAAAACCCACACACGAATATATACGAGTGAAGATGTTTAAATGTATTTGTGATGTTAATCTTTATAAGCATCATAACTCGTGCACAAGCAAGCGCACACCACATTGTATATCAAATATTCATGTATATGCGTGTACGTGTGACACACACACACCACACATCACACACACACACACACACACACGTGCACAAACGACTGGATATTATTTAGATAAAAGTCGCATTTACGAATAATGATTGATGTTAAAACTTATTCAATTGTAAAATCTGGAATCTTTAATTTATTATTTCAAAATTATTCAACTAATTAACTTGACTTAGGAATTATAGATTGTCAATGAAAAATGCCTTGCTAGAAGGCCACAATTGATGAACATCACAAACAACTTGTGATGAAAGTATGAACAAATTTATCAATCGTCGATTATTTTAATGTGCAATTGCTATTTCTTTCCAGTAGAAAAAATTATATTATATGATTTACATACATGGAAAGTCTAATCAGTCAAAATGTAAGCAGTGCCATCAACTACATACCATGACAAAACCAATATATATATATATATATATATATATATATATATATATATATATAGAACATATATGTTCACAAATTAGTCTTTCATAAAAAGTATTTTAAATTTGATGTTTTACATGACAAAAACGACAAAAACTCGTTAATTTTTAGGATTGAAGGTTCAGCTAAGTTAAATTTAATTAGTTCATTTACACATATTAATAAAAATTATTCTCTACAGATTGATTAAACAATTTTAAATTCTTGTTCGTAGAACGAAAATTATTTTTCTGGTAAGTTTGCAGAATTAAAGAACGGCGGCGTTTTTTTAGCGCCTTATAAGTTCATCATTATTATAATCAGATGATCGCACTCATTTAAAATTGAAGTTGATTCGCGTTTCTTGTTGCTATTTTCATGTTAAATTTTTATTCAATACTTGCTTTTTAACATTTTTGTATTTTATTAAAGTTTACACATGTAGCAGACGATTGATTGTTTCTACCAACGGCCAGATAATGTCTGAGTGTAAGAGTAAGTTTTTTTTTTGTAGCATTAAGATTAAATTATTAAAAAGAGTAAAAAGTATGAATATGACTCTTGACGTCTTGCTGAATGTATGTTTGTATTGTATTGATATCGTAGTAAACTGCAGTATTCAAGAGTAGTGCTGGTAAATGCGAGTTACGGGTGTAGCATAAGTTTGTACTAACACGGGTTTATTTAAAATTTAAATTAAACAATTTCTTTTTAATTGTCACATATTTGATTTTGTTAATAAACTTTACTCTAGACACCAACAAAGAAAGCAAATTGATTAAAAAGTTCACAGCAAATTTTGGGACAACAACAAATTATTTTCTCAATTTTTGTCCACCTGGTGTTGAAGAGTTGTTGGAGGCCAGTCAGCTTGTTGTACACCTGGCCAATTTTCGTCATGATATAAGTTGGTACTCAATGAACTATTTTTAATATTTCATTATGTAATATTGTAATGATAATCTTGTTTAAGTTGTACTATTTATGTTTTTATTTATATAGTTTATTTTGTGTGTTGCTACAAAATATAATTTACAATATTTTAAATTTAAACTATCTCTTTACTATGCAGTTTTTAATGCCAGAAATAAAAAGAGAAGAGAGGTGATCAATGAAATGAGAAAAGTTTTGTTTTATGTTGAACAGGGTCAGAATAATTTTTAATCAGCATTTTTTGCACCATCTTGATTATGAACATTTAAAAAAAAATTAATTTGCTGATTTCATTATTTTTTTAAGAACCGACACAAATAACTAAAGGCTCAGTTCTTTTCAAAGTTTATAATAACAAAGGGCAGGTTTGATAATTATTTATTAAATATATCTGTTTCATGTATCACTAAATGAAACTAAATTAATATTTAATGAGTTATAAATTTTTATTGACAAAATAAAATTTTTAATTTTTTTGATATAAATATAAAAGGAGGTTATTCATGTGTTCATACCTCCATACAAAATTTCTTTGTGTTGTGGTCTGAGCTGGCATTGCATATCAGCATGCCACTTCCAAGCAATCATTTATGTGCCATTGGGAATTATTGCTGGATTTGTTAAGAGGAAGTTAGCATTCAAAATACTTTTGTAATTTTATACATTTCGTTATTCTTAGATTTACATCACTTCATTACATTATAATAGACAAAGGTGATGTTGCACATGTTTCATCGCTTAACACATTTTAGTTGTACAAATAAAAAAAACATGACAAAGATGATAATATTTTTTTAAAAGGCACACACTCTTTGTTCAGGAATTTGAAATATTGAACTGCCATGAAGAAATTTTATTAAGAATACGCGGAACTTTAAAAGACTTAGAAGTTCATACATTTCTCTTAATTTGTTTTTTGGTCATTTGATTCTAAATAGTATAAAGTTTTTGCTTAAATTTCTTAATTCACATTATTTTCACATTATGTTTCAGTTATTCATTAATTTCAACTTTTATTTCTTTATCATTTAAAATTTTAAGCTGAAATGAAAAATTTTTTTTATTTGAATTCAAAAACATTGTTGATCATTTTATTAAGCATGTTTTTGTATACTGAAGTTCAGACAAAAACTATAAGCATATAATTCACATGCTTCCTACGTAGATATACTCAAAAGACTTGGATGTTTGTTTAGGAAGAATGAGTATCTACAATTGGGTTGGGATAATGCATGAAGTCAGAAGAACTCCTCACGATATCGGACTGACATGTAAAATGACTGTCATCATTTTTATATAAACAATAAAGTTCACAAATAATTTATCTTGTTAGTTATTTTTAATGTGTAATTCAGTAACCTAATTTTGAACCAACTTTTAAAAAATGTTATTTACAGTTCCTCTGGATCTAGATGTGCACGTGAAGTGCTTGCTTCTTGGCGCTCTTTTTGCTATAGTAATTATGTTTTTAAGTTGTTTTCCATATCGTTATTTTGATTGAACACTTATATACTTGATGTCATAATAGTTATGATGTATCATTGTATGACACCAACAGGAGCAGGTTTTTTCTAATGAAGCAAAGTCATAATTTTCAACAACACTCCACTATCTGCATTTTATGCAGGTACATATTGTAGTAAATAATTTTTCTTCTATTTTTAATTTTGAACAGTTATGAAATGAGCAATCATTAAAAATTAAAATCGTCATAGTCTCTTATTAGTTTTAATGTGACAGTTAGTAATTCATCTTTTGGATTCCATTGAGCTTTGGCAACTTTAGGATCATTGGAATGAGGCAAAAATAAGCCGAGCTTGCTGAAAAGTTTAAAAATTTAATTTGTTAAAGGATAAGGCACAAAAATGAAAAATTTAATTAAATTTATTACTATTTCGGTGTTCTACAATCTAAGAACAGTTCCTTCACATCCAAATTGACTTCTGATATTTTTGATCCTGGCAGATATATTTTCACCTATTTGTTGATTAAAAGTTATTCAAACAAACTGAAGCAAAAAGTTTTTAAGATATTTTACATCGTTGAAAACTCTGTTATTTTCTCCAAAGTTCTATTGCACATTTATTTTCAGCATTAAAATGTACGGACCAAAGTGACAAAAACTACTTATTTGACACAATATATGTAAATTGTTTCAAAAAAATTAGTGTCTAATGGTTCTTAAGAGTGCATACGAAATTGTGTTAGCCGTTTTAGTTAACTTTAAACATTTTAATTTACAAAAAGTTGAGGGCATACTATCAAATTTTCACAGCTTGCAGTTGAAGTAGTCTTGTTTCCCATCTGCAAAAACATATCCTCTGGTGTGACAGACTGTTTGAATATCATCTCATATCTGAATTTTATTTAATGTTCACATATAATTTTGAGCAGACACTTTGTTTTAATTTTGTTGTATGAATACAGATGAATGTTTTTTTAAAAAATACCAAAACCATCAAAGCAGCAAATCATAGGATGTACTTTGGTTCAGGCCTAGGATCATCTAAGTCATTGAACTCTGAGCCCTCGTTTAGCTCTCCTTCATCCCAAATGTCCTTTGTTTGAGTTTTTATTGTAGTCAAATGTGGCTTACCCTTGTTACCTATATATTTGCAAAATATTACTATAAAATAAACAACACATTTACTATAACGTCTTGAATTGGCCCCATTTCATAATTCATTGTGACTGGTTTAATAAGATATATAGAGCCTTCATTTTTTATTTATTGCACCTCTATTTTGTTTTGAATCCCTTACTTAATGAAAAATGTCAATTATTTATTTTTGACCTTATTCTTTTTCTCTTCTAGTTTGTATAACATTTTAATTTTTTAACAAATCTTTTTTGTAAATTCGTAATTTCATTTGCTCTGATTATTTAAAAAATGATTTATTTGTTCAAAAATTTTGTTGCAATAAAATTTGGGTGTTGCTTAAAATATAAATATGCTTGACAGTAAAAATTGATAATTGTTGCTTAATTTTTTGGGTGAAATTGAACCATGAAAAGGAACAAACCTGTAATTTTCTCCTTGCATTTTGAACCAATATCACCAGGGTTCATAGAAGAAAGACCTGTTGAAATCTTTTTTAATTGAGGTTTGATAAGTGGATAATTGAGCAAACTCGCCGTATTTATAACTACATAAATTATCTAATTTTTTAATAAAAGAAGTGGTAAAATAAAAATTATAAATAATTAATTATAGTAAATGAGGGGCAGCTGGCATAATAAGCAATCATTATCTATATAGTATTGTATGTATTATAAAATAAATAAATAAGGATAGAAGGCCATAGTTGTTAATATAGTAAGCGAGTAAAAATCGAGTCTTCCTACGTTTTCTTCATCACTGCTATCATCATTTCCATGTGTTTTTAACAGGTCAGCTAATTTTAAAATATCAACTTTTTGCTCCATCTTTCAAGAATTGCTTAATCTAGAAATTAATATTTTGAAATATTTTCGACTGATTTTTGTAACCACGGAAACAAAAGACGAGTAATATATATATAGCTTTGTAAGTAGAAACCATATGGTCATTAGACAAAAATTTTGTCCCCAAATTCACAAAACACTTACACACAATACACACTTTTTCAGTTTTTATTTGTTTTTAAGTTCAATTTTGACTAAAAAAGTCCTCTGAATTTGGCTCAACAACCGTCTACTGTTAGATAAAGTTGATAGTGTCCACTAATGAGTGATTCGAATAATGAAAATAGTTCGACAAAAGAAGGTCTTCTCTTTGGTTCCATGAACCAGCATTGACTCATGATTGCATAAACGTTGTTAGGACAGTTTCGCGGCTGTCTGTGTTTACACCCATCCAAGACGCGGTTCACGACTTCGTGCACGTTCCACTCTGTCGAATGAGTAGAAACGTTGCAAGAAAATGAAAATTACGTGTATATAATGTAAGTGTGTATGTATGTATGTGTACAATGAACTTAACCTTGGTATGGAGTTTCTCCGAAAGAAAATATTTCCACTAATAAAATGCCATATGACCAAACGTCCGACCTGAGTTCATGGTTTTTGTTCCGCAAAACTTCTGGTGCGGTCCATCGAACTGGTACCTTAGATGATGCTGAATAAATGTAGAAAAATATTTGTTATTGGATTCAAAAATTTTTAAGTTGAGAATGACGGCGTGGCCAGGTCGGAAATACCCTGTCTCAATAGAATTCTTTTAAAAATCAGCACAAATAGCCGATTTGTGGTAGGAGACAATTGCAAAAAATGCTAAAAAATTTGTGGGAAGAGTTCCATTTAGGGTGTATTAAAATTACTTTGAAAAACTTTTAACATATGAAAAATTCTTAAAAAGTATTATAATAATTTGAAGACGATGAATTTTCGAAAAAGCTAAAGGATTTTTGAAGAGGGCGTTAGCTCTAATGCTATAATAGAAGTTTAAAATATATTAAAGTAATTGAAATAAACTTTTAAATATCTAACCTTGTTTGTAAAGATTATTCTGATTTAAATCCAAAGCCATTCCAAAGTCACTTACCTTGAACACATTTTTGTATTTAGAAACTAAAACGTTTCTAGCCGCCAAATCTCTATGAGCAATGAAGTTTTTTTCAAGGTATTTCATCGCACTACATACCTGGTATTTTAATTTTTCAGTCAAAGACTTATTACTTACTTTCATAATTAAATTTGAAAAAGTACAACTTGAAGTGCGATTTTTATGAGATCTTGGGTTTCAATAGTTGAGCCTGCATCGTTCCTCAGCATATTTAGTAAAGAACCATTCGCCATTATCTCTATAATTAAATATAAATTATCACCTTTCCTACAATCACCAATCATGTGAACAATGTTTGTGTGTCGTATTTTTCTCAGCATTTCGATTTCCACAGCGAATTCTTCCATAGTTGTTGTATGACTGTTGAATGTTTTTGCAGCTACCATTAAATCTTTTCCGTCATATTTGAGGTATGCTAGTAGTGTTAATTAGTATTGATGCATCATTCTCAATCGATTTAAAAATTGCACTTTTAAACTAGATAAACAACATCACGTTAGCTAAATCAATTTCAAAGTGAAGTAAAAATCGATATTGAAAACCTTCATAGACAAATCCAAACTGTCCATCTCCTATGGGAGACATCAATACAAGATCATTTTCTGAGATGTGATCGATTACTGGCAGGTTTAGTTCTTCAGGAAAAAAACTGTTTGCTCTCAAATTTCGAATGAATACGTTAGGCTGGTGGTAGCCAGATTCTCTATTTTTTTTACGAGTTGCATTCATCCGCTTAATATCTGCAAACTTCTTTGTATCTGTAGTTTAATCAGTATTTAATAGTTTAATTTTATTGCTTAGTTGTAATTTTACTACGGTAAATATTTAAATTTCCCATCTATATATGCCCTTATTAGAATTTAATTGGTTTAATTTGATAAATTTGCAAAATTAAAATTTCATAGTAAATAGACGGTCGGTTTGTTCAAAAGTATGATCTGTTTTCAGGCATTTTTTTATCAGTGAAATCATTTTTTTTGCACTCATTTCTCTGTTCTAATTCAGTAAACATCAATCTCGCAAAACGTTGTTCGACTATAAAATATTACTTTTTTACCGAAATCAAATTACTAAAGTACATGGTTAATGATATCAAAAACAAATGAAATGTAAAAGCCACGACACAAAACTTGTACCCACTGTAAAATTTACAAAAATGTTTATTAAATCATTTACCTTGAAAATCTGAGTTGTTATCTAAAATCTTCAATATTTCATGAAATCTTGGTCTCTTTGCTACATTGATATTCCAGCATCTCAATAGAAGATTGTGGTACAAGTTTGTGGGGCAAGCTGCTGGCTGTTCATGACGATGTCCATCAAACAAAAAGTTTATCGTCGATTCGTTCGATAGATCTTTCAAACAAAATTCATTAATGTTTTCAGATTTTTAACATTTTTGACGACAAATTAACATCAACTAATATAAATTGATATCATAATTCCTCGAGTAATTTTACAAAAAATGGTTTTCAGAAATGCAATTTTGCAAATTTTTTTTTATTACGTTTTAATACAAAACATTATTAGAAACAAATTTTAACATTTTATAATAACAAACATTTGGCGAAATTTTGCCATACAGTATATTTAAAAACATTGGTTTGATTTAAATACTTAGGTGAAATTTTTTTGGTAGAATATGACCCAGGAAATGAAAATATGAGGAACCTTTGTAAAGAACATCACCGCGGTTGAACATTTCTACAAGGACCATAGCATAAGACCAAACATCAGATGTTTTACAGAATTGTCTATGTAATAAAACTTCCAAAGGCATCCACTTTACAGCTATTACTATATCTAAATGTTTCGATCGCAATTTAAATATAAAGTTAATTCCTTAAATTTTTTTGGAAACTTGCCTTCCGTCAAATCGAACACGTAGTTGGCGTTTACGTCGTCTGCTATTGCTTGATCAATGACTCTACATGAGGACAATCCTGTTTAGTTTGATTTTGTGTTGATATTTATGTTGGTTTCTCTATCTCTCCTCCTCTCTCTCTCTCTCTCTCTTTATCTCTCTCTCACACACACACCACAAACACACAACCCAAACACACAACCCAAACACACACACACATATATATTTATGTATTTATTTCTTATTATGTACCTGAGATTTTGATGTGGTTGTCATCTGTTACCAAAATGTTATCAGCTTTCAAATTACAGTGCATAACTTTATGCTCATGCAAATATTCCATGCCAGAGGCTATCTGAAAACATTTTTTCAATTTTATAATAATTTTGGATATAAATTGTATTACAAAAATTTATTACATTTCCTATTTATTTATTTTCATATTTAATTAACCTGTTGTTGCATTGTTAATGTTTGTTTCCTAACGTAATTCATTCGCAATTGTGAGCGTTCGTGCAAAAGCTTACTTTTTATTGCATTGTTTTATTATATTATGTTCCCACAGGTACGCATACATTTACGTGTTCGGTGTTCATAACTTTTTAAAAATTTTTATGAATCCCAGAATGAATTTCAGAGAATCCCTACATAAAATCAAGCAATCATTAATGAATCAACAAATTTAAGTATACAAACTTCTTTAGAAAATTTGATAATACGTTGTAAATCGAGAATCTCTTTCTGTTCCTTTCTGACCACTTCAAGTAAGTTTCCTTTTTGAAGGTAGGTCATGACGTAGCAGGGTACGTCACTGTCCCTCATTATTACAAATAAATCTGGGTGGCCTGCAGAAAGGAAAAATAATTTTATTAAAAAATTATCAGTTCTTCCAAACTCCACACCAATGCTTCAATCTTTTATATTGCGAATCGTTTCTTTGTACGAGATCAAACTAGACTGGATTTCAACAAAATTTCAATCGTAAATTTTAAATAACAATTTTTGAAAGAAACCTATGACATTCGAATGATTGAACTTAGTGAGCATTTCGGCTTTCTCGATGAAGATGTTTTTGCGTCGAATGGCCTCTTCATCGCTTTCGTTTTGACATTTCAACATCTTAATGGCTACATCGTAACATTTGCAGTACGTTCCTACAATCATTCAGTTCAAAAATTTCTAATTCAATTTATACCTAATGATAATAAGAATCAACTGCACCAAGAAATATTATGTAATTTATTTAGGCACCTTTTTTGATTATACAGTTATTATCGCTGATCTCGTTCTCAAAGTGGAGTTTCTTTTTATTCTCTAAACAAATTTATTTAAAGTTTATTGTTTCATTTACAAAAACCTAAATTTAGAAAAGTGGCTTCAAAAAAATAGTGAAAAACATATTAGTAAGTAAAAAATACAATGTCACCTGTAAATATTGAAACCGCCGTTTGGTACTTTTCTCCTAAATTAAATAAAGTTTAATTAATAAAAATACAACAAAATGTTTATATGATTTAAAATTAGAAATAAATTGAATTCGAACAAATAATTTTTATTATTTTTATTACCGAATTTATCAACTTCTTTGGCCAGATCAAGTCTTCCAATTTCCGTGAGAATATCCACCAGTAACACCCAGTCAATTCTAGAAGTAACGCTTGATTGTTTACCAATTACCGACATTTTTCCGAATTTTTTCTTACTAGGTTTTGAACCATTATTACTTAATAGTTTGTCGTCATCGTTCTCGCCTATGTTTGTCTGATGTGCACTTCCAAATTTGACCTTTCCTATTTCCATCAGTTTTGTGAACAGTTCAAAGGTCGTCCAGTTTTCAATGCGGTTGCCTTTGAAAAATGTCAAGCATTTGCACATAAGTTTGTTACTTTCTGTTCGTTTCAATTTTTGAGACAATTTCCAAAGAAATGTCAAATGGTCACAACTTTCAGTTGCCATTTATTGACTTTTTTGTTACTAAATTATTTCACCAATATTTTATAGACAAATTAACAAACGAGTGTCGATTTCAAACATAATGTAATAGCACACATGTGTGGCCAACATGAAGCGATTGTATTGAATGAACATAACTGATAGAAGGCTGGCGAAGCAAGACTGCTGAAGAATTGGGAAAAATGAATAGCTTTGAAAATATATATAACAAATGAATAAACAATCAGTTTAAAAAAATTTTACAAAGGACCAACCGAATGTATATTAAATGGGCATGCAAGTGTCTATCGTGTGCTGTGTAGTGCATGCGTGTGCTTGTGTGTGCAAATTCAATTTTTTTTCACATAACATGCTTTGCGTAAGCGATATGTTTGTGCCGGGCCTATTTTACATGCTCGAAAATAATTTGTTGTTTACCGTCGCAACTGAATTGAATAATAAATTCCCGTTACTATTTCCCTTTTAAAATTGGATGCTTTTGTTTTGCTATTGTACTGTATTTTGAAATTGACACTCGTTTGTTAAAATTCTGATAAGCTAACATAAACTAACAGCGCGCGGGTGGAGAGCGACGTTAGAAATGATTCGAATTCACGAGTTCACTGCCAGACGGTAGTTTGTGATACTACTTCTTACGTATATTTCCGTGCACGTTCAGTTTCATTGAAGATATTATTATTAATATATCTGATAAATACTCAGGAAATAATTTAGAATGAGACTTATACATAAACGTGCAAATTTTAAAAATTATTCTAAATTCTATGGGTAGCCAGTGCAAAAGAACAAGATATGGAGATATATGAGAAAAGAAAGGGGCACGAGCAACTATACGAGCAGCAGAGTTAAAAGCTTTACTTAAAGGATAAAGTATAGAATCAGGAAGACCATAGTAGAGCGAGTAGATAAGACTAACGAAGTAACAAGAAGGAGAAGAGTAGGATCATCAAGAAAAGGCAAATTTTTTTTATTCTACGTAGATGAAAATAAGAGTTTCTAGCGACACTATTAATCTGAGAAGAATGAGACATAGTAGAATCAAAGATAAAACCTAGACTACGAAACTTGTGAGAGACATCAAGAGTTTTAGAATCAGGTAAGATAATAGGAGGTATAGTAATAGAGTGTTTAGATTTATTAAAACAAATTAATTAAAACTTAGAAGGATTAAGTTTAAGACACCTAGAGTCAGACCAAGCGATAATTGAAGAAAGACATAGAGATAGATTATGAAGAACACTATTGAGATTAGATGGAGGAAAAGAAGTATTAATGTAAGAATCATCAGCATATAGTTGACTAGAGAAAGAAAAGTTATTAATAATACAAGATAGTTCAGAGGTATAGAGTATAAATGGAAGAGGGCCAAGGATAGAACCCTGAGGAGTTAGATGTAGAATTCAAATTCAATTCAAATTTTCAAAAATAGCTTTATTCAGCAAAATAACAACAGTTTTTCGCTAGGAGACCCGAAGTATCAACTTGTAGGGCCACCTATACACAATAGAAAAGGATTATGGATAGTAATAAACATAAACATGAAACTAATTCTATTATAAACAAAATATAAAAATAATAGATGATGAGAAAGGAGTTCTTTTAACTATACACTAATAATAATAGTAAAACATTTTCGAGTAATATGAAAATTAAGACAATAAAACTAAATGGTCGAGTTGCTATATTAAAAATTAATCAAGAAAAGTAATTTGAACGAACCAATTTGTTAATTATAGTTTTATGAGAACATAGAGTCAATGAATTCTTAGCATATATTGGCAGTAAATCCCAAAGATGCATTGATAAAGAAAGTACTGAATTTATATAAAAATTTGACCTGGGTTTAGATAAATAAAAATCAGAATTATATCTCAAGGATCGAGTATTATGGTTTTTAAATATGATAATTTGCTTATGAAGTAACGGACAAAAATTAAGTTTATATAATTTAAAAAAGAAAATTAAAGAATAAACAGTGTGTAATTGACTTACATTTAAAATATTTGCCATATTATAATAATGGCTAATGTGATCAATTCTATTTAATTTAAACAAAATACGCAAGAAAAAATTTTGATTAAGAGTTAACATATGAAGATTGGACTTCGAACTACAACCCCAGACAGGAATGCAATAAGTTAAGTAAGGCAAAATGAGAGAATTATATAAAGACATTAAAGTAAAGATAGGAAATCTAGATCTCAAACGATAAATTACACCCAGATTTTTGGATAATTTACTAGATATCCACCTTATATGATCAAACCAATTCAAATTACTAGAGATAACAACACCCAAAAATTTTACAGAATATACTCTTTTAATTAATATATTATTTAGTACTATGATAGGATAATAAATGTCTGTACGAATTTTAGGACCAAAAAAATAAATAATGTTTTGTCCAGGTTAATTCTTAAGTTATTAGAAACAACCCAATCATAGACATGAATTAATTCATTATTAATGGTAGAAACCAATAAATCAAGATTAGAATGCGAAAAAAGTAAAATAGTATCGTCGGCAAAAAGTACAAATTTTAAAACACTAGAAGAGTTAATAAAGTCATTAATAAAAATATTAAATAATAGAGGACCCAAAATAGAACCTTGCGGAACACCTGATGCAATAGAAGACTGTTGAGACACAGAATTATTAATAGAGACATATTGATAACGTTCATGCAGATAAGAATAAAACCATTTATAAGCTATTTCTCATATACCGTATCTAGATAATTTATTTAGTAAAATTTTTTCAATAAGTTTGGCTAAACTAGAAATAATAGATATAGGTCGGTAATTATTAATAATAGGCCTATTACCAGATTTAAACAAGGGTATAACCCTAGAAATCTTTAAACATTTAGGGAAATAACCATTATTAAAAGACAAATTTATTAAATGTTGTAAAGGAATAATAATATTATTAAAAGTTTTTTTTAATAAAATGTTTGAAAAACAATCATCACCCGAATTAATGAGAACAACAGAAGAAAAACGATTACAGAGATAAGAAGAAAACCAAGGTAGACAAGAATCAGTAATATTAAAATAAAGATGTAGCAGTCTCAAGAAAATAGCATGATCAACAGTATCAAAAGCCGAGGAAAAGTCAAGAGCAAGAAGAAGAGTAAGATTACTATTGTCACTAGAGAAAAGGATATATTTGTGTATTTTGAGTAAAGAAGTTTCAGTACTGTGAGCAGGTCTGAAACCAGATTGAGTTTATAATGAAAAGGAAATGAAATGACAGCTCACTTTGAAATACCATGTTGAGGCTAGTGGGAAAATTGTTAAGCGGACGGTGAAATATATATAGAAATATATATATATATATAGAAATATATATATAGAAATATATATATATATAGAAATATATATATATAGAAATATATATATATATATATATATATAGAAATATATATATATATATATAGAAATATATATATATAGAAATATATATATATATAGAAATATATATATATAGAAATATATATATATAGAAATATATATATATAGAAATATAGTTATATATATACATATATTAGATAAATGATTTTGACTTAGATAAAAACTAAAATCATATACTAAGTATAAAATCATATTTTAGTTATGTTTTAAGAACATATAACTAAAAAAATAATTCTCATGTTGAATCAAACATAGCTTTCCATGAAAAGTTAATTTTTGAGTTTAAACTATTTTCAAATGTAAACAAACAATTGATAAAATTTAAACGCAAGGACCAACTAGTCGTGCATAAGGGAGCGACGAAACATGAGCGTTGTAACAGTCGAGGACCCTAACGTAAAACATTGCCAACAGCGAATAACAAAGTTAGATTTGGAAATCAGAGCCGTTGTGCAAGATATTCAAAGATGTACTGGTCCCCTAGTAAAATTGGAAGAACTCAACAAAATAGTGGCTAAGAACTTGAGTGAATTAAAATCAAAAATTCAAGAATTAGAAAATCTCGGGTTTGAACAAGATAAAGAAACTTCTAAAATTGCTGTCCTAAAAAATGTCGAAATTTACAGCAAGCAAACAAATGGGATACAAAATTTGCTACGAAAAGCCAACTTAGCTTGCCAACTTGCCATGGAAAAGAAGAATACTAGTGATCTGTTCAGCAACAAAAGTGGCAGCGAATCATTATCTGATGTGAGAAAACGCCCAGTAGTGATCCACAAAGATTCTGCAATTAGCTCACAATCGAACATAACTCAGAGCCTAATTAATTTAACTCAAATGATGGCTGACGAAGTGAAACACTCAGAAAAAACTTTGGGTGTCTTGCTATCATCTTCTGATCAAATTAAAGAGACCCATGAAGAATTAAAAAATGCTTCTGGACATATTCGTAATGCCAAGAAATTGCTGACCAAATATGGCCGCAGAGAATTCACTGATAAGCTACTCATAATTATTGCATTAATTTTTTACTTTGCTTCCTGTTTATATGTCATTAAAAAACGATTATGGACCAATACTTAAATTATAATGTATGATAGTTATGCACAAATTTAACAAGTATGTCAACAGTTTATGAACCTAAATAAAATCACTCTATCATTCTTGAATACTTTAATAATTTAATATTAATTATTAATACTGTTAATAATGTTGGACGTTAATAGTTAATTTAATCAGAATTTAATATGAAAAATTTTGATGTGATGTTGCATCGTTCCAAATAAATGTTATTTTTATTATATAGATCGATATTAAGTCAAAGTAGCTTTCCATCGGGCACAGAAAATGACCTCACATTTCTTATTTACCAAAAATTTCTGGCCTTGTGTTGCTTTCTAGTTTTTTGCTAACATTTGGCATCAAGCCACAACACAATTTCATGACTTTAAGGTAAGGAAATGAATAAACCATATATAATGGTAATTAATTTAAAATTGAGTTGATATATATATATATACATATACACACAAACAGCAGCGGTTGATTTTTTCAGCATTTATTTATAATCAATAAAATTAACCTAAAATTTATTAAAAATTCAAGATGAATGAGGCATAGAGAGCACAGTTGTATGTCGAGCTGACATGTGCTGCAAATGTTCAGGTACAGAAGTCCAAGAATTTGAGGGAGATGACAGTTGATCGATAGCAGAAAACCTGTTATAGACATCGAACATTGCACCTAATGGCCAGGCTATCTCATATGATCGAATCTTTTTTCTAACCTGTATTATGAATTGTATTTTTTTAATTTTCAATTTAATGATTTTTTAAGATATCCAACAATTATTCATCAATCGACGTTATAAAAACATTTAGTATAGTATTGATTCGAAACAAAGCAAGCAGTTACTAATAAATAACTTTATGGAGGGGACTGACAAACATTTTCTGCGCTTAAAAAAATTTTTCCGGCATTTTTAATAATAAAGTTTTGGTAAATATTTTACTAAAACTTTAAAATTTTCAAATCAAAAAAGCCTTTTATTCATTACCAAGCACAGGTAGGCCTAATTACTACTGACTTGCTTACATTCTGACATTCGTATTATTGAGACTGACATTCATAACGTATGTATTGTCTTTTCGTTCAACAAAATTATCATGATAGTTCAACAACAGTTCTAACTGTTAATGGCCTGTGGACTGAAAAGTTGTAGCCTTCAGTTAGCAAAGATGATATGTAGCACAAGTCCAAACACTGGAAGGGATTTGAAATGCTGGCAACACGGCAAGCTGTCAGTGATATAAAACATTTGTAAATTTTATTTTATTCATTTTAATTCAAAACAAACACCTTTTTGGGAAAAGTGGACATATGTATTGATGTTAACGACGAAGCCTCCATTTTGATCTAGCATGATATTTACCATTAACAAATTTAGTTGTTTCATGAGACTTTAATGTAATATAATAACTAATAAAAACCTTTTGTGACATTTAGAAATTCAAGTTGATCAAAGAAGTACGATATTGCGTAAAACTCAGAATTTTGAATACTAAAACTTTTGTCAATTTTGTATTTGCTGATGAGATTTTTGACCTCCTTGTTGCATAAATGCCACCTGCTCTTTGTCTCATTTTTGTATGAAGATCTGAAGATTGGTAAATTATTCGTGACAAAATAAAAAAAGTGATATAAGATGAAATTACTTTAGCCTGTGAACACCTCCTCTGTATTCCCAAGTACCATTCCAATTAAACGGCAAACAGAAGCTCTCCAAATTTTGAGATGGTATGTCCCCTTTGAAATGCAGCATCATTTCAAACATTGGACATTAATCGAAAATATTGCTAAAAATTTATATTAAAAAACTAATGCAAACAAATGAGCACATTTAAAAAAACGAGGTTACAAAATAACTACCTGTAACTTGTTCAGTACCTCCCAGGATTTGAAAACGAGCCGACATCATACCTAAGCCTAAATAACTGAGAAGACAATTAAATAATATGAATGATTAGATCAACTTTGAACCGATCCGCATAACATACGTTAACAAATGAGTAACTAAGTTTTAAATAAAATTAAAAATCGAAATTCCAGAAAATATTACAAATACTTAACAACAAGATGAAACCTGTGAGTGTATATTGTGATTTGATCACCAAATAACTTACGGTGAACTATGTGAGGGTGGCCTTGATATTGTAACAGTTCCTAGGTACATATTTTACGGCATTTTCTAAAATTTATTCATAATAATGCAGCTTACATGTTATTCTATACTTAGATAATTGAACCATCGTGCCACAAAGGTTGAACTATTCACACCACACGACGTACATACACATTATATATGCAAGCGTGTTTGAGTTTCGGACAGGCAGTAGGCCTATTCGAACCATGCCGCCGTGTAATAGCACCGCGAGAAGTTGGAGTTCTACCGACTAACCAATTAAATGCATATAACAATAAAAATTCACAAATTATTGAAAATGTACTGTTGCTTTGGGTATGAAAGTAATTTGAGTTGATCCTCCTCCCAAATCCAACACTCCAACAGTTTTTGACAATTCGTTGAAATTGTCTGAGAAAAAAATGGTAAGTTTGATGGTTTGATATGTAATGAAGATTATTTGTTAACAATTTGAAGAAATTGACTGGACCATTTAAAAAGTTGACAGTGAACCAGCTAAACAGGCCCTCGTCATCTCCCTTCATGATGGACACGCCATCAGCAGACAGGTCAAATGGATAACTTTCAAACAATTTTTTCACCTGCCAACCACAAGTACAAGTTGCAAATATCATCATCAATTTAGAGATATTTGTGTTTACTAAACTAGTTTCATCTCATAATTTGTCAAGATGATTCCTTTTTGTGTAGAATTCAAAAATCATTACAGTTGCTATTAGATTTGAAATATCAATGATATGTAATTGATATTATAAATTATTTCGAGTGATTCATGAAAATTTCAGAACCTCAGCGAGAATATTGTCAGAAGCTTTCTGTGGAAGCAGTCTCAACCCAGCAGTGGCCTTCAACGCAAGTGGTGTTGATGACCAGAGATGTTTAGGCACATACTTCTTGGCATGTCGTAACAGAGGTTCCAAAGATTCAGCAGCCTGATAAGTTAATTAAAATTTCAAAATAGAATTTTATTGCAGTGAAATTTATAAATGAAGAAAAAATTTAATAAGCCTAATTTTTTGTGGAACTTATGAGTTTATCCAATGAAACAATGAGAATTTTGTAAACAAATTTACTCAAGTAAAAAAAATACCAGTTTTGGAGATTTTGCATAAGATGATAAACCAGGCTTGATGCTTTTGAAATAAGAATCTTCTAAAATCAGTGAATCATCTGTAAGTGATGTAAAATGTTATTAAAAAGTGATTAAATACAAACCAATCAGAAAATAAAAATGTAATTAGATATGTTGAACATCATCTAGATGTTAATTGGAACAATTAGATTTTTTAAACGAGTTAAAATGCATTATTTTACATTGGGTAATTTACTTTGAAATAAATATAAAAAAAATAAAAAGGTAATAAAAAGTAAAAATTAATGTTCATGATACCTAAAAGAAAACAAATGGAAAATAGAAAATTACACCAAATAACATTTTTTAAGAAAGTTACAAATCTGATTAATTTAAATTAATTACATTTAAATGCTTATAAAATGTTGTTAGAGATGCCATAATTTCATGAATGAACCTAATAATAGTTATTGATAATTCAAGTAGTTACTTACTGCTGACATAACTTTGAAACTTGAAGACATGTATTCGACTTCCTGTGCTTCCCGCATCAAATATTATGCCAAATTTCTTAAGATGATTTGGAACTGCGTTATTCCATGTTGAATTAAAATAATTTGCAGTGTTGCTGTACACCGAAACTCTATGCCAGGCATATAAAAAAACTACAAGAACAACCAACAATAACGATGACAAAACAGTTTTGTTTCCCAACTTTTTAAAGCCTGAAGGACTTTTTATCATAATTAATCCAAACAAAAATATACTAAAAGCCAAAGATAAAATTGCTATCATGATTTAAAAACTAAGATATTGATTTGATTTGACATTGATTGGTTGGCTAATTTGTCATAGATCTCATAGATCAATCAATAAATACCATAATTTACAACATAACAGACAAAATGCTGGTCAATGTTGTTTTATATGTAGTATATGAATGATGAACTTTGAAAAAATCTAATTAATTGTCATATTAAATAAATAAAATCAAAAATAAAAATTAACAGTAAATCCTGAATAAATTACAATTTAAAAAAAAAACACTGCTAAATTTTTCAATTCCTATTTATTTGTTGTTAAAGTTAGTTAGAATGAGTCATTTCAGATCCTTTTAATAATTAATTTAAGTTTTATTGCACCAAATAAAATTAATTAATTAATATTTATTAAGATAATCAAAATATAATATAATCTATATAATTAATAATTAATACAATGAATAAATAAATAAATAAATTAATAAAATTAATATTAAATTGAAATTTAATTAGGAAATAGGTAAGGCAAAACCGGAGATCCGTCCTAAGTTTAGTTTAGGTGCATGCTAACCAATTTAATTCTTTAAGTTTTAATTAACTTAGACTTAAAATGAAATAGTTAAATCTTCATATTCACGTAGAAGACGCTTTTCTGTTTATGTCGAATATTTGCAACTTAAATCCAAGCTTAACCAAACATATACAGGTCATATGTAAAAATCCAATCCAGGTGTTTCTGTTAAGTTTCATTAAAACGCCTAACTGAATGAGAAATATAAGAAATTAAGAAAGTTAGGCAAATAAGTTATGAAATTTCCATTTAACAAATTTAATTTTCAGTCACAAAAGTTAAATTTAAGTGATGGTAAGATATTAACTATAATTTTCATTTAACCATTAATTTAACATATTATATTTAACATACAAAGGCAAATATAGTTTCTGCATTGAACTACAGCACTTGTCAAAATGATTTATATCATTTTTTTTTATCTAAACATTTAGTAAATGTTTGTTATAATATTTAAAAGTTAATATAATTCATCAACATGTGTTCATCACATGAATGTTCCCAGTTGGTGTTAACACCTTTCTTTAAGTTTCTTTAAAACTTTAACAATTTAACATTTAATAGTTTTGTGTTAATTAATTCTCATTTGAGGTTGTTTAAAAAATGGCAAAATGTGTTTAATATTGCCAATTTAAAAAAAAGAATCTTCTTTAAAAATATTAAACAAATCAAAAGCCATTAAAAAGCAACCGATCATGGAAATTCTTCGATGGGGAGAAAATGCAATTTCTCGCAAACAATCGTACGCAGATCCGTTATTGTGAAAGTCAGGATCGTTTTATCAAATGATTTCATCCACACGTAAGAGTTTCGCCAGTTGAACACATTTCAATTTACTGATTTTTATTCAAAATAATTTCAGCAAAAACATTCTTGAATAAAGCAAGCATATAATGCACGAATTTCAACGGCGATGACTAAAAAGTGAACTCATCACTGTTGGATGAGTCGATGGAACACTTCATTAATTTTCATTAGCAACAACTTGACTGACCTTTTGTTACATTTCCGTGACGACGTACAACGATTTTTTTACATACGAACTTGAAATAAATAACGAAACAACATTGAGAACCAGTTAAGCGAAGTTAAGTGTGAATTTCAAAATTTGATGTTTAACGGTATATCGATATTTTTTCTTTTCTTTCTTTTTTTTGTGAAAAAATGATTGGGACAAGTGTGCACACGCATGCACTTTTCGTACAATATATGTAGTTAATAGTTTCATATCAGAATTTATTCCTATGTTTAAATATTTTCATGTTTCGGTTAAGATTATTAAAATAATTGTGCAGACTAAAAATGACTTTTAACAAAAATTTAAAAACAGAAAAGTTTCGTTTTCAACCAAATTTGACTTCAAAGAAAGGTGAAAATAGGACGAGAAAACGTAAAATAATTACGAATTAATATGAGACGCAAAAAAACTTGACGTGATCGGTGAACATTTTTTTACATATGAAAAAATAGAAGCCTCCAATGCAAATAAAGGCATTTAAATTATTTCGCTGCTTGTTTGCTCTGATCGTACGTGCTCTACGACTCAAAACTAGAACGAAAAATTATTAGATGGAAAAATTAAAGTAGGACCGTTAACAATTCCCATTATGTTTCATTCGGAAGAATTAGGGGCCGTTCGAGTATTACGTAACACGAAAAAACGACTTTTTTGACCCCCTCTCCCCCCTTCGTAACACTTCCGTAACAAACGACTTACCCCCCCCCCCCCTGTTACGTAACAAAAAATATTTTTAATTTTTCGGTAATAAAAAACAAAATTAATTCAAATTTCTATTATTTTCAATAAATCATACATCAAATGTATTTATATAGCGTTGTTTCTAAGATCAAAATCAAAATTGTTAAAAAATATCAAAAATATAAAAAACAGCATTTTTTTCTGTGTTACGTAACAATTTTTGAACCCCCCCTCCCCCCCGTAACACTCCGTAACAAAATCTTAGACCCCCCCTTCCCCCCCGGAGCGTTACGTAATATTCGAACGGCCCCTTAATAAAATTTGTGTTTAAATTTCTACACAATTTCATGAATCTTTACAAATTTAGGAAATTCATATATTTGACAAAAAAATAATTGTAGATAAAAATTATACAATTTTGTAAGCTGAAGTTTCTGTGCTACAAGATATTTTTTTGAAAAATTAAATGTTCTCAAATTTGTTATTAATATACTTATTTAGTAGCAAATTTATGTTCTGTTTAACAAATTAATATCAATATTTATTATTATTATCTTATTTATAATTATTTTTATTATAATTATCATAATCATTATCACAAACATCACAATGATTATAATCATCATCGTCATTAGACAAACGATACATTCTTCACCAGAAGCACGGATACGATGGTTATATCGCGAGAAGGTTTTTTTTGTTATTTAGGGATGCATTACAATATTTGCTAACTAGAGCATTTGTCCATAATTGCGCGAATGTATATCTACACACGCAGCACGCTCATGTTATTTTATACTTAGTTAATTGAACTCAGAATTAGACTTGGGTGATTGAAATCAGAACTGATCAATACCAGCCATCCACATTGTTTTGCATATATATTTGCATATAAATATTCAGATGTATCGGTGGGTGGGTAGGTACCAGAAATAGTTCATGTACATAATGAAATAATGAAAAGATTAGAGACCATCCCTTCGTTGTTGTTCCGAGGCTTCCAGTACTCAAAACCCGGCCTTGGACATTAATAAATATTCATGTTAACTTGTTTAAAGTTTGATGATTCAAACAATCAATTGTTATGCAACCATTTTCAGGTCATTTATTAACTATTGATGGTATTGTTGTAGATTAACTAACGGTTTCGCTTTTGTGGAGCACTGGTTGAAAAAGACAAAAGCATTGCTATTGGCTTATGAAATCATTTTGTAATAAAATTTATTGCGTTAAATAACTTAACATTTATGAAGATAGTTTTCTTTACAAAGTTACAATTACGAATAAAATAAATTATATAACAACATAATATATAAAATATATTTATATTATACCGAAAGTAAATAATCGAATAAATTCATATTAAAGCATAATTAATAGAAAATTATGATTGATAAGCAAGCTTCATCACCCTTTAGCACAATAACAACTCATCCATCATCACCATGATCCTCATCATTATCAACATCACCAACGTCTACACCCGCATCATTGTCTTCATTGTCGTCAACTCCATCTTCATTGTCCTCCTCATCATCCTCATCATTTTCATTGTCATCATCACCATCATTGTCATCATCACCATCATTGTCATCATCGCCATCATCTTGTTTTACCATCACCATCATCACTTCCAAATATATTTAATGATGCTCATAATTGCCTCTTTAAAACGCAGCAATAAAAATGTTAATCTCTAATTACGTACCTGTATATATGTGTGCTACACACATAACTAACTATACAATAAATGAATGAAAATAAGTGTAGCTAATTAATAAACTTGAAGAAAAACTTAAAAAGTATCCTTATTAAATTTAATTGGCATTGTTAATTATTTCATCAAGAGCATTTTTCGGTAGCAAATTGAATCAATTGGAAGAAGGTTTTCAAGAGTTTTCTAGAAAATGTTTATCTGTGAAAAGATAACATTTGTGGTTGCTGTCATCTGCTGCTAACATGGGTACTGAGGTATCCACTATCCAGCATCATTTGGTACATCAATCAGTCAGTAACATACTAAATTGCTCCTATTATTTACTTTTTATAAATTAATCGATCAAACATTTTGAGAAAAAAGTACTTCTACGTGCTAACCGGATTCATTTTTCACTTGGTAAAATTTCAAATCTAATTTTTAGTTATAGTAAAATGTTAAATTTTGTAATAATGAACACTGCGCACAAATGGAGGTTAGAGTGTGAGTGTGTGTGTGTGTGTGTGTGAGTGTGTGTGTGTGTTTAAATATCAAATTCAAACACAAATATATAATACAAACACAATATAAAAAAATATAAGATGTACACACAACAAAAACTAAAAATAAATGAACACAACAAGTTGCAATTAATTTCCTGGGACGACAAACACAAAAACGCAAAAATACACGTAGTGAGAGGATTTGTAGAAACAAAGATGGAGAGAATGAGATAAGCAGAAAAAGAGGTAAATGAACATCTGTTTGCATGAATTTCATGTGTGTCAGTCACAGTCATATTGCATAAGGTAATATGTACACACACACGCGCATGCACGCACGCACACATACACACGCACGCACGCATACACCTGCATCATCCTGCATCATTTTGAAACATTCACCCATAATTCCATCACATGCATATCACGTATGGTACATTCCATGACCCACCCACACACCAAGATATGTACATTGGTTGCGTGCACGGTTGCGTGTATGCACAGAACACATACGTTAATAAATATACGTTGAACGTACGTACGTCACGGCACTTCATTCGATAGTTGCTCTCATATAAAATTCTTAAGCAGATTCTTCGACCTGCATTCGATCTTTAGAATTTCGCAGCGCATTAGTTGGATTAATTTTTTTGTCGTGTCGGATTATTATTTTTCACATGCCGTCAACATTGGGTCTGTAACGTTTCCAGAAAAATATTTTAACTATAAATTGGTTGATATGTGCTTCAGTTATTCAGGTTCAGATATGTAAAATTTCTTTCAATCTTGTTGCAAATGTTAATACAACAGACAAGATCAACAACAATAACAATAACGACAAAAGAACACCAACATCATAACCACTAAAAAAAAGAGACAACCCCTTCAACACAACGAAACAACAAGAGACGGTATATATGAAGGAAGAACAACCTGACTGAAAACATTTATAATGGATGAAATGAATACTTCTGCATTCTTATCACCTTCTCAACCATATTCTTCATCTTTATTCTCACCACCATCCTCATCGTCATCATCGCCGACAGAAGAAATGATGATGACGACAACAAAGACCATGATGATGATGATGATGTACAATGTTTCCTTAATGCTCAACAAGTCGATCGTCATTCCTGTTGGTCAGTTCAATTTTTATTGGCTTTTTGTTGTTAGTATTTGCTGGCTCTTGTTGGTGTTGTTTGTTTGTTGTTGTTTGTTTGTTTGTCAGTTTTTATTGTTGTTGTTTGTTGTTGTTCGTTAGCTGTAGCTACAGTTGTTGATATGCCTGCACGTATAAAAACGTTTGTTGTTGTTGTTGTTGCTTGCGTAGCTTTCTGGGGATTCGTTGCCAGTCAGTTCAATGTCTCCTGCGATTGCGTCTGCCGGTTCATTCATTTGGTGACAAACTGTTGTTGTTCGTTCTATGTCTTCTTTTTTATTTCTCTGCTGAATGAGCTCATTTAGAGACACGAGAATTCATCGTGAGGCTTGAATATGTCAAAGTCACAATATTTGACATCGTACAACATTTCAATGAATAATTGAATTTTTAAAACTTGGAGGGGGCTTTTACCAAACGTTTGCCCTCCCGAACTATTGGGCCAGGAGGCAAAAAATGCTCACATGTCCGCAAAATTTTCAATGCCTGTTTAAGTAACATAAGCCAGCAGTAAGGAGAATGCTAGTACAAATGAAAGTAATGACAGCGGTCGTAATTATAATTACATCAACATTAGTAGCAATATAATGAATTTGAAAGCATGAAACATAATAAAAATGATATCTTGAATAAACGCCGAAGAGTCCCACTTTTCTTTTTTTTGTTTTCATTTTGTTCTTTCAATCTCTTTTCTCTCTCTCTCTCTCTCTCTCTCTTTCCTTTCTCTCTCTCTTTCTTTCTCTCTCTCATCTTTTTCTCTATCTCTTTTTCATTTTCTCATTTTCTCTCTTCCTCCTCGACATGAAAGGTCATCGAAGATCGATTGTTGTGGAATTGTGGAATGATTCGTTAGTTCAAAGTGCTCGCACTGCTGCCATCCAGTTTGCATCACATTCTTCAACATGAAAGAGCAGTTGTTGTCATTTTCACTGAGTGTTACACAAACAAATGATTATTTTTTAGATTACTGCAAACAATAAAAATAAAAAACAGAACAAAACAAAAAAAACCACAAAATGTTGCAAACAAATTAACATTATCAAAGGTGAGCAATGAACAACAACAGATATAAAGATAACAACAAAAACAACAGTAAATAATATCATGACAATGTTATCAATATTATATTAGAATATAATAATTGCATTATACAAATTTGATACAATTCAAGTAATGCAAAAATGGGAACAAACAAACACACACACACACACACACACACACACACACACACACACACACACACACACACACACACACACACACACACACACACACACACAGACACAGACAAACGCACACAAACACATACACATATGGTATATTTTCGAACAAACATGTTTAGTTAAATGTTGGAATGTTTATGAAGTAAGCGATGGGGTGGCGTCTAGCGGCGGTTCCCTAACAGGCCATGAATAAAAAAAATATTATATGTATATATATTATATATATATATATATACATTTATATATATATATATTATATATATGTAATAAATAGCATCATTCAATCAAACATTGTGTTGTGACCCCAATGCACTTGTAAAATTCTGTATGTATTTTCACGCACAAACGCACATCAGCATTTTGTTAAATTTACAAAAAAACTTTGTTCATTTTGATGGGATTGAAAATGTGCAAACCACACAGATTACCAAGAGACATGGGGGTGGTGGGTCCTTCACATTGGAACGCCAACTTTGTCCTTATTTGGAATACCTGGAAATCTCCTGACCATTATCATCATGCGGTCGAACAAGTATCGGTCCAAGTCCTACTCGCATTTTTTAACGTCGCTGGCAGTTTTCGATAGCATCATCCTCATTAGCAAATGCACCAAACGAATGTTGTACAATTCAGCTGGGTTCGATGAAATTACTTTACTAGGTACGATCCTCTGCAAGCTGCACAACTTCTCACTGCACGTCTGCTACCTGATGACGTCGTGGTTGGTGATCTGCCTGACTATCGAGAGGCTCATCGCTGTACATTACCCATTCCTGAAGATCAGACTCTGCAGAGCGAAACAAGCGACCATCATCATAATAATCTTATTTCTCATTCTTTCCTACTCCCAGATCTTCCGTTTGGTTCACATTGGAATGTATAAAACGAAGCAGGCCTACGTGTGCACAAGTGACCTGAGGTACCTGAGGACTTATTTGATTCTGCACACCTACGTTTACCAGTTGGTACTTCAATGCGTCATTCCGAGTATCTCCATCATCTCCTGCAACATGTTCCTGCTCTTCAAGTTGAAGTTCAAGTTCAAAATGCTGAAAGGTCGTCACATGAGGGATAGCATTTCTTCAACCCATTCGAAAAAATCTAGTTTGGACCTAAAGACAACATTTATGTTGCTGGTCATCAGCTTCTTGCACGTCGTCACGCTGGTTCCTACTGTTGCACTGACCATCGTCGTCCACATCACCATAGCCCTTAAGAAGGACCTTGGACTGAGCATTTTTCTCTACACTGTTAACATCAGGTGTGTGAGTTGTTGTGAAGTGATGTGTATTTTTATGAAGTTTGTTCATTATTTGTATGTAAAATTTTTGAGCATGTGTGTATTTGTGATGTTTGCATGTGTGCAGGTTTGTGTTGGTTTGTTTCTGAAGAAGTGCTGCTTTGCGATTGTAGGAAAGCACAGCATGAATTTATAAAATGATGTGATGATATGATGATGAAAAAGATGATGTCATTTGATGTGATGTCATTTGATGTGATGTCATTTGATGTGATGTCATTTGATGTGATGTCATTTGACGTGGTGGGACGTGAACATAACGTGTTTTTTTTAAAGAATAAATAATGTACGTATTATATTTTTTTAATTGTACAAACATTTATTGTTGAATCTGCTACTTATATTATAAATAGATTACCTGCAACATATGTCTTCTTCTTTCTCGTGCCTTATTCATTCCAGACATTGGCGACCATTGACCTCCACAAAACCTTACCTATCTTTAACACTTTGTAGTAGTTGAAACGTGGTGATACTCAACAACTGACACAAGGACTTCACGAATGTTATTCGTTGTTGACCGCGTAATAGTTAAATTTTCCATTCCTTCCTTCCGCATGATGTGACCAAAAAACTTTAACTGCCTCAGTCGGATTATTTGTAGTAATTTCCTCTTTTCATAACCGGACTGTTTTATTACATCCTCATTGGAGGTATGAGAGGTCCAACTAATTTTCATAATTCTTCTCAAAAAACACCTCAGCAGCATTAATCTTTTTTCCATCTTTTTAGAAATTGCCGTAAGTTAGCACAGAAAAAATGTAACATCCCAACAGTTTTAATTTTGTTGATATTCTGATTTTACTGTTGGTGAGGATGTTTTCATTTTAAAATAAGCATCTTTTGCCATAGCTATCCTTTTTTTGATATCAATACCCCATTTACAACCTGAGGTAATCAGACTTCCGATATTATTAAAGCGGTTGACTTGTTTCATTTGTTTGATTATGGAGCAGATCGGGGTGGTTTTACTTTTACTGATAACCATGTACTCTGTTATGTTGATGTTAATTTGCAAGCCTTTCATTTCACTCACTTTCGAAAACCAGTTTGGAAACAATTGTTTGCAATTTTTCCATTGAATCTGCTATAAGAGCTGTATCACCGGTATATCTTACATTGTTTATATTCACGTCTCCAATGGATATTCCAGGTAGATCTTTTATCTTTCTCATGAGATTGTACAGGTCTGCAGAGAATATGCAGCCTTGCCTAACACATTTCTTTATTTTGGCAAAACTAGTCATCTTGCAAGATGAAGTAAACTTAAAAAATTATACAATTTCAAAGTATTAAAAATTGGAAAACAGAATAAAAATAATAAATAAATTACTAACAAAGGCGATATCTACGGGGAGAAGTTCACCACCACGCTGCAACCACTTACAATGCCATTTTTGTCTCAAGGCCATGTAAAAAAAGCTGGATTGAAACACTCAAAAGAAAGAAATTTGATTGCATTGCATTCACGGCAAAACATTCTTCTGGAGTCACATTTTTTTGCATTTCTTATTCGAAAGTTAAGTGGACGTTTTTAGAACGTTTCATCACTGTTTGCATGCGCATAAATAAAGAGAGGCCATGCTGTATTGCAAAGAACCATTATGTCACGTTTTAGTAGTTTGTTTCCATCAAAGGTACAATTAACGTCATGTCACGGACTTGTTTTAAATATTCTTGTTCTTCAGCAGTGCTCTTTGGTCAATGACCTGCATTCTCCTACATTTTTTTCAAATTTTCAACTTTTTAAGTCAAAAATTTAAGGTTGTTTGAGGTTAAAGTAAATAATCAATTTCAAAAATTTTATAAAAAGCAAATTGTTAAATATATTTTGACCACCTAGGTATTTTGAGATTTACTTTTGGCGAAGTTTTTCAATTGAAACCTCACAAAGCCTCCAATGAACGTTAGATAATAACGTTTTTGTATCCACCCGGCAAGTTTCATTGTCCGGTCATTCTTCAATGCTTGCTTGCATTTTTAGAGTTTCTATGAATTTAATTAAAATTAAGGAGTTGCCGCTGTGAAATATGCATGGAATGTCAGGTGAGGTGGAATGTGTACATTTCAATTGTGAGTTATTGTTGGATATGTAGAAAGTGAATTTAATTTAATTTAAAAAAATGAATAATTGAACAAAGATTTTAAAAAACATTGTTTTTAAAAGTTAATTATTAAATTACAAAATTGAACAAAGTGACTTTAACCAGTGAATGTAACTCGATTGAGATAACAATGAAACCTGAACAAATTGATGAACATTAAGTGCACACGCACGCACGCACACATGCACACACGTCTTCTTGTGCACTCATGTAAACACACACACACACACACACACACACACACACACACACACACACACACACACACACACACACACACACACACACACATACACACACACACACACACACACACACACACACACACTGCACGTGAGCTCGCACTTATTTATACACGTTAATTTAAAATATTGATGAGTTTTATTTTTAATTGATTTAATTATAATTGAATTTTAAGCCGTTTCTTTCATTTTTTATATTTCGGCATATTTGTTTTTTATTATTTATAAGTTTTACATTTTGTTCTATTGTTATTGTTTATTTTTGTTTTTTTTTATCTCAAATGCGATTACCCGCTCCTGGCAAAACATACCGAAATTCAATTGCAACAGAAATCTTGTTGCTGCTGCTCTAGTGCGTCTGTGCACGCGCGTGCCTGTCTGTGCTTGCATGCTTGTTTAGATGCATGTGCGCGTGTCTATGGGTGTACGTGTAGGTTTGCGTTGCAATGAAATCTCTAATAAAATGAATACAGTACAACTTAGTATGCACATTAATATTTACTAGTTTCTACCCGGCACCATAATTCTGAGTTTTTCTAGTTAAATGACCAGCATGGGTTAAGGTGTTGATGATCGCGTTGAATTTTAAATGTTTGCTGATTAATGACATCAATTTTTTCGTGATCAGTGGCGGATGAATTTTAAATGAGAGTTGAAATAACACGTTTGAAAGTTGTTGCAAAAAAATCAACGATGGGCTTATGTTTGTGTGTGTGTGTCTATGATTTTGTGTATGTGTTTGTGTCAGGGTTATCACAAGACAACAGATAACACAAAGATTTTGCACATTTAGAAACATAGCGTCGCTGCGATTGACAAATTTATTTTTAAACAACAATAAATACTTCTAATTGGAGCGATTTGGATTTTTAACTATAAAAAACTGGCACTAGAATATTTCAAGCAGAGCAACATTAAAAGGTACCTACTTACATGTAGCAATCTATGTGCCAAATTCAGAGTCTGATTTTTAAAGAATAAAAACAAATAATCTATACAATATTTAAATAAATTAACTAATTAATTTGTATATATATTTAATTAATACATATTGTCGGAAATTTTAATGAAAACAACTGATGGTGTGAGGTAATCTCCTCCTCTATCTTTCTCAGGGAATTTTTTTTATGGTCCAACAATAATTTTTGTGTATATTTTTATCGTGAGTTCGACCAGTCCTGTGTGGCACTGGGCTTTTTCGAATTATATGATTTTACTGAGTAACACACGAACGCGTAAAAAAAAATATTCGATAACAATTTTATTAATTGACGGAAGTAAATGAAAAGGAATTGAACTAAATGAACTCTATAATAATGTAAAATGTCAATGAACAAACTGGAATACAGGAATTAGAACTTCTTCTTGTTGGGTCTTCGACTTGGGATATGTTTCCTGCCGTTTAATCGTACAACATCGACGTGTGTAACCGATGGTGATGTCGTTACAACTCCAAGAAATAAATAAAATGAATGCGGAAAAATTAGAAAAATCGGAGCCTATGGAAATTGCAAGCTGCGTGTGAAACTATACCAATGAGTATAGAATCCAGCAAAGAACCCTAGGTCCACAAATAGTACAAGAAACAAAAGAACGAGGCGGATTCGTTTTCACAGAATCCAAGGCCTGTTTCACTGGGCCTGTCAGCCAGTCGGTCGGCTTTCGCACAACCCTGGCCTGTTTTCACTGAGTCTGATTGGCTTTCGCACGACCAAGGGCCTGTTTTCACTGGGCCGTCGAGTCTGGTCGGCTTTCGCACAACCAACACAAAACAACAATAGTCAGAAAAACACTGGAAACAATTTGTGTTACTTTAATACGTGTGCGAAACTATGCCAATGAGCATAGAGTCTCGTACCAAATCCACTTTTGAGAACTTAAGACGTTTCTGAAACTATGCCAATGAGCATAGAATCACGAATAGAATCACGAATCTCTTAGGGACCAGAATAGGCAGCGATTATTCGAAGCTGCCTAACTAGTCAACCCCAGTGCGGTCTCTCTTCCAGACTCTTCCTCCACTCAAAGATAAGATAAAGGAACTTTATATCACAGCAAAATTAGATTTTGTTTCGGGTGTTTTTAAACATAAAAATTTCCAAGGTATGTCCAATTAATCAAAAAAAACTACTAATTAAATTTTAAAATAATTTGTAATAATTTATGGCGTCATGCCCCCATGCACCATGCCCCCTATCGAGTGAATAAATTTTGCGTTAAAAACTTTGAAGTATTTTTAGTCAGTATTATTTCATAATTCTGACAATATATATATAACATCAGTAGCTTGCCATGGCGCTTCATATATAACATTATTATTGTTATTATTATTATTAATGCCATTGTTAATGTAATTACATATATGTTTTTCTAAATGCATCCATATGTTAGCCATATCGTAGCATACATAAGTGTAATTATATATAAATTCCTATTTTTATAATTCGCATGACAATTTATATAAAAATATCTGAAAAAATAATCATACGGTGAAATTTTCAACCAAGTGAAAGCTTCAACCAAACGGAAATTTTAAATAAGGAAGAATTATTATGAGCACGTGACGTGGCGTTGAGTTTTACGTGGAATCAGAAAGGCCAGCGTGTGAATGATAATTGGTTGGTGTGGATGGATTTAAATTAGAAGGCCATTGTTTCAGTCATGTTCCAATTTCCACAGTTTGTTAATGGAATGGTACGTCAGGGTTGACAAAAACTCAACAAATTTTGATATTCTACTTGATATGTTATTCCCACTTGCTTTATTATTATTATTATTATTTTCTTTTTCTTTATTTTATTATAATAAAATTATTATGTCTTCAGTTGATTTTATGCTGCTCAATGTTTTATGCTGCTAAAGTTTTGAAGCTTAACTATTTCAAATGTAAATGAAGTTACGTTAATGAAAGATGTATCGTTATTCTTAAGTGTAAACCAGCAGACTAACTTAGCATTCAATTCATGCTTTTCAAGCAAATATATTTGTAGGTCTTAGTAAAAAATAAATTTTAATAGAACGTTTGGTACGAAAACTGTTTAAGGTTTTTTCTAACGGCTTCACAAATTATGTTGCACTGTAATTACTTATTGTCAATCATGATAGATGCTACCTTTATATATATATATATATATATATATATATATATATATATATATATATATATATATATATATATATATATATTATCTGCATATATATTTCTACATTAAAAATTTTGTTTTTATTACATCATATTATAAAAACAATGTTATATTATTCTGTTCGTATTTAATTAACATAAAGTTGAAATGAAATAATTTTGCAGATGCTTGTTGGAGTTGTTATCGGAAGTGACGTACGCCAGCAATTTCTACATTTACGTCCTCTCTGGCGTGCAGTTCAGAAATGATCTCAAAAGAAAACTTCTCTTCAGAACTTGGAAAGTTGCCTTCTAGCTTACTCACACACACACACACCCACACCCACATGCAAACTCATTATTCACAAAGACACACATTTATTATACACATCCACTCACCAACATGCATTCTACACAGACAGACACTCACACATGCACGTTTAAACACACATTCACTCACTCACGTACTAACATACAAACACACACAAAATTATGCACATTGTAAGATAACTTTTACTTAAACCCAGTATTTGTCAACATGTTGTTATGCGGATGGATATATGTACGTACATGTGCAAATGATATGAGTAGGTGTCATCTCAACCTGTTAAAGGGTTTGCATGCCTCCAAAAAATTGCTCGCAGGATGGAAAGTCAAATAGGAAGCAAGTGAAATGTGAACATAAGTAGGATGTGCTGACATAAGAACAAAACAAACGCGGCAGCAAGCATACACGACAATACAGAAAAGTCACACACATATACCCTCATGTAGACAAACACTTACACAGACGCAGACAAACATATAGACAGACGCACACGTACTAACACGCAGGCAGACGTATTCAAAGAAAATGTCAGCAAACACTCAAGCTCTGCAAAATTTCATCATCACTCATTACTATCCAAATAGTTTTCCACAAACAACCGGAATACATATTACTAATTAATGTTTCATATTAACGTCAAGTAATTTAATTTGTTTTCGCAAAAATTCACGTTTAATCAAAGTGATTAAGATTTCTTTTCATTTTTGTTACATTTTATCCAAAATTTTAATTAGTTGATGCAACATACGTAATTGTTTAAAAATAAAATTTACAAAAAAAAGAACTTCAGTTAAAAAATAACATTAATTTCCATAAAAGGGATATGATCACGTACCAATTCAAACCCAGAAAGCTAGGATTAGGGTCTACTACAAATAAAAATATTTGTACCTTCAGTTTTTAACGCGAATATGGTTTTACAATTGAAAATAAATAAACGAATCCAACATAAACACTAAAAAATAACAATAAAAACAAAAACAACACACCCACACAACAAACGCCCACACACATATTGTTCATATGTATTTTGAACTGAAGCAACAATGAATTTAACTACACCTCAAAACTGATCAGTTTCAAAGAATTATATTAAATTCGGACTCTGTAAATTTTGTTAGCCTGATAAAAATATTTTAAAATAATGCAAAATTATTATATTTACATGATACATTGCTTGTTTCAGATGTAAAATGTTATTTTTAAGTGGATATAAATCACAATCAGACTGTCTCGAACCTTGCGTTTTGCTTGTTTGAATAAGTAAATGAACATGCACGTAGTTCTACATGACGTTGTAACTTTTCTGAAAAGTCTTTAAAATAAATTTTCAAACAAGCATAAAATCATTTTTAAATGTATTTACAAAACAACATTTTTACGATGAAAAAATTCATCCTAAGTTCGCTACCGTTTATGTTCCTATTTCTCGCGTTTTCAGCAAACGTTCACTTTTTTTATTTGTTTTGGTTTACTGCATGTTCACACCTACGTACAGAAAGCAGCAAGACACGATTGCATGTCTCAATTTCTTTAATTGGAATATCATTCCATCATTGACATGCGTGAGTGGGATGGTGAAATGATGAAATGTAAATGATGGCCGTTCGGCGGTCAACACTTTCTTCAACTTATGGCAATTTGATTTCTTTCTTGCTGTTTGCATCTGCTCATCAATTGGATCAAAGTAGTCTCCAGACGTTGGGCTAGAAATTAGGTTGGCGCGTTTTACAGTTTACATATATTTTGAGAATCATTTTTAGTTATTCAACTATTTTTACAACAATAAAAGCCAAACTTTTCTGACTTCAGAATTAGTTTGTAATGAAGTAACTATTGATTGAGACTAAGTTTTTGAAGCCAAAATTGTTTAAAAATCAAACCAATAGCAAAATGTTGGTACACGTTTAAATATGTGCTGCAGAATCATCGGAAGAATGTTCATAAGTATTACATTAACCATATCAGCGCCAAACATCTCGAGTGACACCTGCATATTGCGTAACACGTCCCGATGGAAATATTTTTCCATATAATCAAACAAAACAACGGTCTTTATTGACTAGCGTGTTCATTAATTTTTTTTTTCTTCTAACGTTAACAGTCGTATATTTTTAAGTGTAGCTCACAGATTATTAACATTTAATATTTGTTGTTTCAGTGTAACTGCCTCGTCAAAATGACGATCTTTTGTTAAAACGTTATGCGCTTCATCATGATATTTTGCTGATTTTAAATATTGTCATTTTGTAGTCATTATTTGAAAGTTTAAAAAGTTTATTTGAGAGTGTACTGATGGTCACGCAGCATGCAAAACTTGACTGAATGATTACATCGTTAATTGTTCACTATTTATATATATATATATATTGATGAAAATCACAGCATGTTCGACGTTTGTTAACTTCCAATTTAACTTTTCGATTTTTTTTTAATTTGAAGTTAACAAACGCCGAACATGCTGTGATTTTCATCAATAATTGCATTTCTGACAATCTTAATCCAATATATATATATA